CGAACTTGGAATCAAAGCTCTCAATTCCACTCAAGCACCACCTGGTATACAGTGTCGACCATTTTACACTGTCCCTGACGTTATGGGTACACTTCCACAATCAGACTGTGTGTGGATGTCTGGTGCTAATGCTTTTTTTTGACGTTTGGTCCTGATCTGGACCTTGTAAGTGGACTTTGGGTGAGAAAGGGCCCTAAATTAAGAGTGACTTTGGACACAGCAATTGTTTTAAAAGTCTATATTTAGAGTTCTTTTACTGTGTAAAAACAATGTTGAGAGAAATCAAAGATCTTGAAGTAATCCCTACAGAGGGTGGAAAAATGTCAAGTCTTCATTTAGAGTTTTTTTTTTATTGTGTAAAAACAATGTTGGGAGAAACCGAAGCTCTCGGAGTAAACCCTGCAGAGGGAGGAAATACGGCAAGTCTTCATTTAGAGTTTTTTTTTCATTAAGTAAAAACAATGTTGGGAGAAACCGAAGCTCTCGGAGTAAACCCTGCAGAGGGACGAAATACCAGCTGTACTTGGTAAAAAGGGGTCGCTGGAGTTTCTCGGAGGGGGGTTTTCTCACACAGGTGATACTTTATTTTTTCCCCAAAAGGGGCGGAACCCTCTTGCAGGGTTGTTCTCAACATTTATCTGAATGTCGACCTGTGGTTTGTTCTCTGCACCGATGTATTTTTTGTGCATATTTATGACTCTGTCCTTCAGATTTTTAGGATTTTGCAAGTCAGGTTTGCATGCGTTGATGTCATATTTAAAACGCTCCACAAAGGTCTGAAGTGATTGGACTGTATTCTTTAGCTTGTCTACCTCTGACTCTTTGGCTTTATTAGCAAGGTCCAGTTCCGTGTTTTTCTGTGTCAGCTCCCTTTTTTCCCGTTCAAGGCGTTTTATCTGGAACCCCTTCTCTCGTGTCATCTCCAATAGTTCCTTGTTCTCTCCTTTAAGTTTTCTGTCAGCATCCCTCAATAACATAGTCTCCATGCCTCCATGGAACTGTTTCTGATATAAGTTGTAGTTAGCTGTCTTTAATATTCCTGTGGCCTCTTTGTGATTTTTAATCTCCTCGCCTTGTTTTTCAATGGTGTTTTTGGCCTCATCCAGTTTTTTGCTTTCCTGAGACGCTTTACATTTGAAGAAATCTCTCTGTTCCTTCAGGAGTTTAGCCTCCAGCGCCACTTCATTTAATTCAATCAGTTCTTCTTCAGCATCTGTATATTTTTTATCGAGTATGGCATATTTTTCATTTAATTCTCCAACCTCTTTATTGTGGGCCACGATCCTCTTCATATCCTCTGTCACCTGGTTTTCGAGAAGGCGTTCCAGCTTTTCCACTTTCTTTTCAGAGGTCTGAAGCTTTTCTTGTAAAGACTTTATCATCTTCTTGTTATCCATAAGGTCCTGGACATTCTTCTTCACTATGGCCTCATGCTTTTTTCTCTCCTCTTCGAATTCATCCTCCATCTCTAGTTTTTGCTTCTCCAGCTTCTGCTTAAGAATTTTCTTTGAAAGGGCTTCCTGCTGGTCATATAGTTTTTGTATCCGTGTCTTTTCATTTTTCCATGTAAGGACCTGCCTCCCTAACTCAAGCTTCTCAAGTTCAAGCTGTTTGGTGTTGTTTTTTGCAATCTCATTTTGCTTTTGTTTTTTATGGAGATCCTTTGTCCAGGTTTCCTCTTTTTCCTTTAGTTGTTTCTGCAAGGAGTCGATAGTTTCGGTGTATCTGAGTATGTCCTCCAGCCGCGCTGCCCTCAAGTCCTTGTACTTTGCATTGAGGCATCTGAGGTTGAACTCACAGTCTCTGTGGTCCTGCATTTCGAAGAGTTTTCAGCTCAATAGAAAAAGATTCAGAGTTGCAGTTGTAAAAATATCAGCGTGCTTATCCAAGGTATAAACTAGTGGAAGAGTTTCCAGTCCCTCTCAAGGAGATCAGAGGGCATGACGTCATCATGCACACTTCAGAGAGAATGTGGGAACGATGACGTCACGTTTGATGATGTCACACCCTGACGTCACGTTTGATGATGTGACACCCTGACGTCACGTTTGGTGATGTCACACCCTGACGTCACAGATAGTCCTGATGAGTGATAAGAGAGGGCGTGGAGGACTGTAGGATTTTAACTCCAAAAATAAAATATAGAACTATTCAGCTGTAATGCTGCCGGGGCCGGCTCGACGCTGGGGCAAACAAATGGTCTGCCCCTCCAATCACATTTTTAGAAGTGGAAAAAGTTAATGATTTTCCTCCACTCATCTCTCACCCATTCGGCTCCGTACAGTGTGTGTACCCTGCAGTCAGAGATCGCCTCTCCCGCCCCTCCCTCCCAATCCGTAAACATCCAATCACTGTTCAGTATGCAAATGAGCCAAGATGCGCTGACCCGGCCTGAGACTGTGGTGTCAGGTTTCAAGACAGAGCTGGAGTCTTTGAGGAAGCGGCGAAACTCGACCAAACTCGTCGTAGCAACAACTAAAACAAAGTTAATATAACATCCATTATGTCAACTACCATACCTTGGCTCGGTACTGCAAAAAATAGTACTGCCGAAATACAGAGTCAGACAGCTCTCCAAACTCCAGAGCATTTTGCATAATATTTAATGTTAACGTTTGTGCTACAACTTTTTCTTTCTCAGTGCTAAACGTTTTGTGTGCCTGACTTTGATGTTCACTTTCAAGTAAAAAATTGAGAACAATAATAATTTTGTCTTTGTTGTATAAGCCGCAAAATCCACTGTGACATCTTACCCCATATAGTGAGACAACTTACCTGATGGTGGGGCACCGTGTCACGTGTTCACACTTTCTATTTGATTGTTTACAACTCTGAACTGACACAAGATATGAAAATGACATGAATACGAAATATATACCTGAGACTTTGCTCTTTCATCTGGTACACATTTTGTTTACATATGATGTATTGATTCCAAGTAATATATTAGAGTGTAAGAAGTGTGACAACAAGCCCCGGTCTCCTCTACACGATGGGATTTAATTCACCTGAGGTTGTTTAACTGTGTGTATGTCCAACTGTGAACCCTTGCCAAGTAACTTGCATGCAAAAGGCATAATAAATGGATTTTTCATGCCTTTCTAGGTTACATGGATATTATTGCCGCGTCTAAAATACTCAAAGTCATCGTCAAGAGTGCAAAGTTTGGCCTACTTTGAACATTTACTCCATTGTTAGCCTTTATTTAGTACGCCTACTTCAGCATTTATATTTTCTGTTTCCTTACTTGTTTTTGTTGTTGGCCTTACTTTTTAAAATTTAATTCTGAAATGTATGATTTTGCACGTTAAATGTTTTTCTTTTAATGTTAATTTCAAAAGACTAAATCACTGATCATAAAAGGCCCACTTTTAAATTAGAAAAAAATGGGGTACTTATTTCTCTTATAATATTGAAGTGCAATAAAGTGCTTGTATTGTATTGTATTGTATTGTGAATAGCTGTGAATATAACTGTATAAGGGAAAATGTAATTCAACTTCTCTTCGCTAGATGTCACTACATAACTTTGAATTTTTGTACTCATTTGACAAAACAAATGTAATGTTTGGCTTTTTTTCTTCTTTTTTTTATAAAGCTAGTTTCATTTAATCACCACCAAAAATACCAGAGCGTATTTTTTTTGCTTGTTTCCTGTTGTTTGATCCAGCTACCTGGGAATATATATCAAGTAAATTGCAGGTTCTGTTTCTTTCATGAATTAATACATAATTTTAGGGTGCAAATCTCAGGGAATATAATTCCACTGGAGCTGCAGATGGAAACACCAGGTAGATTTAAATCCTTTTCCAAATACCTGCATATAGAGTCACAACATTAATAATTTAGCTGAAACAAACTAGTTTGATTTCGTTTTGCAATTGTAGTCCCACCTGAAATGTTCATTTCTTTCCCATCTCCCCTTTTGTGCTTCACTATGTTGTCCAGGAGGGGGCGACATATCACAGCAATTAGTGTCCAATCTGAACCCTAGTTTTTGAGCATGTTCAGACAAAACAACTGACAGAAAGCCTTTGACTTTGACAAACTGCAGCTTTAATTTTCTTTAAAGGTTATTAAGGAGAGGACAGTTTCAGCAACTATTTAATTTCTTAGAGAAATAAACAGGCTGTATAGGTGGGTAGACCTACTTTAAAGGGATATTCCAGCATAAAATTAAGTTAGGGTCAAACACACTATAACACTGAGTTAGACACCCTGTCGAGAGATTAATGTTGCCAACCGCTTCTCTAGTTATACCAACTTTAGTAACAACCGCACGATAGCAATACACAGAAAAAAACATCAAAATGTCCTTAGAATTTTACGAATATATTTATTTCTCTTGTTTGATACATTAGATTTTTTGGAAACTGATAAACCACAAGAGGACATTTTTATCATTTATCAGACTGTATTCTGCTGGTTTTTTTTTTTAGTTATTTGTTGATCATATTACTTTGATAGAAGCATATAAAAGTATGTATCAAATATGATACATAAGGCATTAAAGGGTTAAGTCATTGTTACATCTTATGAGCAGGTTTTTTCTGCTCTTAAACACAAATAGGACCCATTTGTAATTTCTTTAACAGATGTATTTTCAATGATAGACACCATAAAGAAATATTTAGATATGGAAAACACCGTATGAAAGTTGAAAAAACTGCTGTTTGCATCAATTTTGGCGCCCCTTGTGGACAAAGAAGTACATTTCACCTATTTGCAAATTATTTTGGCAAATCAAATCCTTCATTTTTAAAAGTCAAATCTCACCACCTGCCTTAGAAAAATATACTGTGTAGCCACAGACAGCCTGCTGTAGCTTGTTTTTTCACCTACCCAGTAACAAGGGATTCACACATTGAAAATAGCTTCATTGAAAAGGCAAATCTTGGCACTGTTGCTTCTTTCTGAGCTCATGTGGGTCCTGGTTTTCATTTCAGTCTGTTTCATAAGCACATGCACAAACTCACAGGAGCTTTAAATCTGAAACTCTACAGCAGTGGAGGTGGGTCTGTCGTGGCTCGGGAGGAGGAGGAGCGTTCAGTTGAGGATTAGAGCCGCTTCACCTTTGAGTGTGTGTGCCCAGGTCCAGGTTAAGTAGATCGGTTACACATTGGGACTTTAATACCTCTGCGTGCTGTTATGAAAAAGGAGAACTGTGGAGGTACAGGCACGAACAACTTGTTGTTTTTGTTCTTTTGCTCGGACGCAGCCTGCTCGGTGAGTGTTTGTGGTCAGACCTGCTGATCGACGCCGCCGCTCCAAACCGCTTAGCGCTTTGCCCGTCCGACCGGAGGATCCGTCCCACGGTAAGAAACGAAGAAACACAAGGAAAGACAACACTGGATTTAAGTAGCAGCTGTACTTCATCTTTTTAATGAAACTGTTAATATAAAGTGGCATGGTTGTGATCACTGGACCATGTGTGCGCGTTTGTTTTGCTCTCAGTGACAGTTGCTGGGTCTGTGATTGACATGTGCGGGTGGGTGGAAGGGCTGGGTAGCCTATCAACAGGGCGTCGTTAAGGGAGGGAAATACAGGTCTGCTGGGTTTACTGGGTGATTCCCAGTAGAAACTAAAACTAATCTGAATCAATCTGAATCATTGCAAAGTTAAAACAAAAGTGGAGCACTTATCTGTTTCCACTTTGCCTTACTGTTGTGTTGTCTCACCATAGAGACAAACTAGACCCACCCTTTGATTCACAATTTTGCAACCCCAGCCACTGCTTAATAACATGTTTTCCAGTGGATCTGGTTTCATAATCCTGCAGTAACTTGCAGTGCTCACAGCACCATTCCTTCAAATATATTACAGCCTATCCATGTGTTGTTGTTGTTTTTGTTCTTGATAGCTCCTGGCAGGGTTATTCTACACCAAAGTGTGACTGTGTGAGCGAATGAATGATGTATCCAATGTAAAGCGCTTTGAGGGTCTCTGATAAAGCGCTATATGAAATCTGATGCATTATTATTATTATTATTACAGTCTCATGCAGGTCCATGTCTGGAGGTCAGACTACCTTCCTACCTTTCCCAGTTCACCCTCCGGCCTCCTGCTGAGTCTTAATGAGCTTTGAACTCAGATATCCATTGTTAGAGAGGCTGAAGCGTGCAGGTGGTGTTGTGTTACCTGCAAACCTCATTAATTTTTTAAGAAAAGCCATCTAACCTGAGTGACATTCCTGTACAGGTGTTCTCCTCCACCTGTGAAATCAGTGCTGTTTGAAATTCACCTGGTGAGAGCTGGGCTGTGGAGGATATTTGATAATGTCACAAGATGTTTATCAGTTGCTTTTTCTGTGTAGACAGGGGAGCGACTTCATCCTTAATCTGATTTATTACAAAGATGCAGAGAGGTTACTCTTTACCTCTGTTTGTTTGGTTTTGTAGGTCAGCTGGAGTTTTTAGGAGTGTGTATATAATTGTAAATAACACTTTAAGGACTCCAGTTAATTTCTATATGTACTTTTGCTGCATTTATCAATTTCTTTATAAAGATTTAGACTGGTTTGACTATCAATGTGCAGGAAACTTTGATGAATATGACAAGTCTTTTGTTGCCTCATTTGAATAATAAATGTTGTGAGATAATGAGCCCAAAAACCAAAACTCTTATATCATGTGAGATGTAAAGCCTCTTACATTTGTAGCATTGTGCATTAATGTCCTGCCTACACTCTTACAAACCCTCTGTTTCTAAGCTCAGACTTAATCTTGCCTTGAAAATAGACATTTATTGAAGGAAACTTCAGCAAGCTCTGTATATGGAGAGGGATTTTAGAGTTGGCTCTATTCTAGTCATGTGACCAGTGCCGTTTTGTTCATGGTCAATTTCACATTCCCCTGCCCTCCCAAATCAACAACCATGTGTTATCACGTGACTGAAATTCCACAACAAGGTCACATGATCTCAGCTTAACCCTTTTGCCCCTTTTTTGTCAGACTGTTGCTTCTTAAGCATACAGTAAGTTTCCTCCGCAAAAACTTCCACGTTGATAGCAGATCTGTGACTGTCTTAAAACTGCCATTCATGTGTTTCCCCTTTAAGCCCACTTGTAAACCATGAGTGACCCTTTTCTGAACTCTGACTTTAAGCTGGGTTGCTCTCAGTCACGATAAGGATGTAAATAGACGAGGTTTCTTAGCAGAATCACAATATTAAGGTATTTGAAGATTATGTAACTGAGAAAGAAGCAACATTACGTGATTTCTATAATGGTTGGGAGAAGTTTTAGTATTTTTAAAACAAAGCCTAAGTTATTCAGGATCATGTTGCGAGGAAGTCTTTAATGCAGCTAAAGATCTAACTCAAAGTTGCATGTCTTCGCCTTACTGTCACTCTTACTCTTAAGAATGGAGCAACAAAAATTGAAAGATTTTTTACTAAGGGACTCCTCAACATGGGAACTTTATGGGAATTGAGAGGAATGTGTACTTGGCCAGAGGTACATGATTATTTCAGATTTTCACATCTAATACAAGTGGAAGTTAGCTTAACTTACATTTTGGTCTATGACACAGGATCTGTGGGAGGCTCCACTGCAGTGTGCTGGACTTTATTCTTGTCATAGTGATGTTATCAGATGTTTAGATTCAGGTCACAAGTTTTTGATTCAGAGCAGATTTGACACACCATGCCTACTGCTGCTTATGGGACAACTTAATGCAAAGTTATCAGCGAGTGTTTTCATATCATTTTGAAAATTTAAGTCATACGCAACATATAGTTAATTACTGTTTGGTTATGATTACACCTAAAATGTGATACAAGAGCATTAACTTTGAATTTAGTCAGTGCAGTACAGTGAGGGTTGGCAGAAATTGTGATGTAGATACTCATAATATTAGGGTGTGTGTGTGTGTGTGTGTGTGTGTGTGTGTGTGTGTGTGTGTGTGTGTGTGTGTGTGTGTGTGTGTGTGTGTGTGTGTGTGTGTGTGTGTGTGTTCCCCATTTCCTACCACAGACCCAGGCAGCTCAGCTTTGTCCCATGTTTGGGATTAGCCCCACATTCTTGGCTTTCCCCACACCCAGGCCAGTAGCGGCTGACATGAAAAAGCTATGTTGCAATCTTGCTAGCAGTAGCTATTACTCAACTGTTGAGCTAAGAGTGAAGTTACAGCATCCTTTTATTTCACTTTTTTATATACTTTTTGTACATTCAACACTGGTTATGAGGTTACATAAGAGAGCTGGCCCTTCTCATGTCTGCACTTAAAGCATTAAGCTACAGCAGGGAACTGATTTGCCTACCTTAGCTTAGCTTAGCTTAGCTTAGACACAGGTTAGACAACATGAGGAGAAGTGTTTGTTTACAGATCAAATAAATTAAAAATGTGGTCATGAGGAACTTTACAAAGGCACTTGTGGGCATTTGTTTAACATTATGTTTTGGTTAGCTGCTCTTTCAAGGCTCATATGTTATGCTAGTTGAGGCTAACAGTGTTCTGGCTTAAGCTACATATAAGACACACAGACATCAGAGTGATCTTTTAGTCTGTTAGAGGCATTTTTACATCAGTACTTATAGGACTTTCTTTGAATGTGATAATTAAGGGTTTTGTTGAGAATAATTCAGTCTGGAGGTTTATGATATTATTTCTGGTAATTTGAGAATCTCTCTACAGCAAACTGTAAATGAGTGTTTTAAAAATATCTCCTTAAAGCATTGTGAAAAAGGAGAGGTTGTAACTGAGTTTTAGCCACTTCTGTAGTCTAAGAACGAACCAGTGTGAAGGTAAATGATGGTTTCAGAGCCTGAAGTTGTCTTATGTCTTAGGAAAGCTGCTCACTGGTGTAAAGAACAACATTATTGTGCAAATGCTGGTGTTGTTCTGTGTTTCTTACTTTTACTGAGTCAACACTCAAACAGATTTTGCATCTCATTTGCCTTGAAAATAAGTTGAAGAAAAAGTCAACATATTTAAGCAGTGTGCTACCATGTAGAGCTAAAATTGACCTTCCCTATTCATCAAATGGGCTTATTTTGAAGGGGTCACTATGCTTCCAGGCAGTTATGTTTAAGGAACAAAACCTTTGTGGTTTAAATGGCAAAATAAAAGAGAAAATGCATTTTCAAAAGCAGCTTCAATTGTAAAGATTAGTTGAACCACTATGACTAAAGCAAAGGAAAGAGTTTACCTCAAAAATTGAGAACATTTATTTCAGGGATTGGAAAGTTACGTTAGCTATAAATGTCAACATACTGACCTGAGAAAATGTATGCTGTTTTTTACAATTATGGAAAAACTCTACTTTCACCTTGAAAATTCTTTTTTATGCCAGAGTAAATTGAGATTAAAGTTTAGAGCTCCAGATCCCAGTTTTTTAAAGTACTGAGGTATAAGTTTTAAAAGAGTGAAAACAAAACTGAGTGAAAACAGGTTCACAGTTCTCCACACCCAAGCTAATATTTGACACAGATGAGCCCCGCAGGTATTTCGGTATGCAATATACTCCCTTGAAAACAAACTCCAGACTTCGCACTCACAGTGCCACAGCTTTTGACGAGAACTCAGTTCAAAAAAAAAAAAGAAAATCTCTTTATCCAGTCTGCTGATGATTGAGAGCAGTACTGTAGCTTGATGGCATCTCTCTGATACATATCACAGTCCCACTCTTTTCATTCCTCATGCAAACATGACTTTTTCATACTTTGTACGTGATGCAAACGAGTCCCAGAGGAAGTAACAGGAGCAGAGATAGGATGTACCCACACTAAACACATGCTTATCTCTGACAGAAGCCCATTGTGGCGAAGGAAAGGCTGAAGCCTCATGCCAACATGAAAGAAGAAATGATGTCACCATCAGTCCACATTGTGTGCATACAATGTGGTGATTCAGCCTGTGAGGGGAAAAACACAGTAAAGAATGTGTAGGTAGGCAGATCTTGGACACTTGTGTCAAAAACAAACATGACCAAAACAAACATGGCAGCCTCCGTCTAGTATAGTCAAATAGTAACAAAAATTATACTATTTTTGCCAACATTTACACATAAATAATCACAGAATACCTTTATTTTTTGGGGACCAGATCCAGACAGTCTTAAAAAAATCACTGATCTACTTTATGACAGAAAAGCCCCAGGATTTCGCAGAAACACGGTTTATCCTTTGAAAACTGCCAGCCCAATGGAGTGGGTGGATTGCACAAGAAATCGCTATGTCATACTGATTCATTATTATCAAATTCATCATTATTATTTTATTATGCTGCCTACAATAGAATGAAACCTAGAAGGTTTGATGACTAAACCATGAATAAAACATGATACCATCCTTTTTAGATGTATTGTCAGGAAAAAAAACGACCTTTAATCCTAGTCAACAGGATAGCTTGTCAATTGGTTGTAAGATGGTCTAAATGTTAACCTAGAAGCGCTTTAAAGGTTTGCATGACTGGATATATATAAACTAAACTATGCTAGTGGAGTATATTCACTGTCTCCATACCTAGCAGACTCTGTAATCACCTCTGTAGCACCAAGTCCCAAAAGCTAACTACATTCTGGTTTGCTCCAGGTCCCCCCTAGTGTAATTCTGTCAAGGTTCACCTTGGTTATAATAATTAGTTAATTTATGCAGTCCTTCTTTATCAGAGGGTACATCTTTTACTCGAGGCAGTGTAGAAAAATCAATACCTTCATTCCTCATGTACCATGTTTGTACATGTACTGACTCATACATACACGAGGAAGGATGACATCACCGTGACAATATCAGTAGGAAGCAAGTCGAAGGATAAAAAACCTTTGTCAGTCTCTTATCTCGGTAAAGTAGGCTGATCTCTATTTGAAAGGACTTGCAGAGTGTTATGTTTGCCTGCATTTATGGTTCTAAACTTAACAAAGGGGCATAAAGACTTGTATCCTTTGGTTGGCCTGTTTAAGCCTGTTGCATTTACAGTGCTGTTTTTTTTAAGCAGTATATTTAATTTCCCTTCTGGCTAAACTAAGCACCTGCATATGTGTTTGAACATGTTAATAAATCTCCTCTTTTGATTGCCGAGGGATAATGTAGAAAGAACAGCCTGTTTCTGAAACCTGTTTGGAGGCGAGTGAGACAGCCAACACCCTGTGAGCCTTCAGACGTGCCTCTCCTGCACGTCTGGATTTTCACATGGAGCATAGACCTGCTTACATAATCAAGGTCTTATCTCATAAGCTGATTGAAGTCATAACTCAGCACCTGTTGAACTCAGGTGGTGCTGGTCAGAAACAGCCTATGGCAGCTTACTTAGGGACACTTCTTGAGAAGAATCACAATTTATGTATGACACAATGGAGTTTCTTGGAGGCCACAGAAGGACCAGTGGTAGTAAAGACAGTAAATAAAAAAAGATGAAACCAAAACACTAAACTGAAATATGTTAAAAATGCAGTGTTGATATTCCTTGACTGTATCAACATTTGAATAACTTTCGATTCAAAAATGTTTATCAAGTCTGGTTAAACTAAATTCTTGTTTCTTAAGGACAAAGATATGATAGCTGTGTAATTTGTATGCATTCATCTGTAAAACTGTTGTTTTATTGTGTATTTTTAATCTTGATCCGTCTCTCCTGAAGATAACTCTCACTGCTCCTCTGACCTAAAGGAATAATAGTGATAAGAAACTGAATGGCCTGGTCCTCCCTGTGTTGCTGATAGGTAAAGGGTGGTGACAACTGTAATAAATAGTAAGACAATGCATGCAGTCGCTCTTCAATAGCTCCACCTTAAGCTTTAAATATTTCATCAGCCGCTATCACTTTAATGGGGCATTCTGACACAGTGTTGCCATGGCTGCCACCAGGCTGCTGTGAATCTCTCTTGTCTGAGTGCTACCTTTAGATGAGGCCGGTCAAAGAGAAATGTCACATCTTTTGTTTCCTGCAGATGTAATCTTGAACTACAAATGTTTCAACACCATTTTTTCCCTTTGCTAGCATGGACCTCATGCAAAAAAATTGACTCAAGTATCGGCAAAGCGAGGAAACTCCTGAATACTGGTGCAAATTTTATGGTATAGTCGTTTTTTGTTCACAGCTGTACTGCTGCTTTGAGGATAAGATGGCTATGGTTTTATGGTTTGACTCAGTGCATCAAGAGACATCCATACAAACCATAAAAAATACTGTGTACATACAAGTTAAGCTAACAGTGGCTGCAGCTTAGCTCAAAACCCCACCTTATGTTGAAGAAACCTGAAGTTGAACACAAACCTGCTTTGATAATTGTTTAAATTTCACAATTAACTTTTATTTTTTAATATATGGGAACAGACCAGCCCTAAAGTTTCTAAAACTAATAGCTGCTGGCTTTCAGCAAGCTTTGTCTAATGCGAAACTTCAAGTAAGAACAAACTGTCATTGTTTGCTATGGCTGAGTAGTTATTCACCTATAACTAGTTTCATGTTCTTAAGCAGTGGTTTCTAACAATAGCCATGACATTTTAACTCCTTTGGAGAAGAACAAAGGTATGAGACCAGCGCATTGACCAGCACCCATTTTACTGAAATACAACAAATCTACAATATATGTAAAATAGGTATTTGAAAAAGGATTTATCTGCTGTTCTTTATTAATTGGGTTTCAGGGCATGAGGTCAGAAGCCCTGTTTAGCTTCCCATTCTGAGTAAAGGGTGTGTCTGTCTTGCCTTAGAGCTGTTTGTCCTGACCACGCCTGTGTGTATGAAAACCTGAGGGATGGTAGAAAGCTGACAATACCAGAAACCAGATCAGAAAAAATGACACAAACCCCCAGAGGCAATCGTTTCCCTTTCATGTTTACACTGAGTGGCTCCTTTCAGCCCAGGGCTTTATCTGGCTCATGTCTTTTTTTTTTTTTCAGTTTGATTCCACCTTAACCCTGAGGTGCAACACAATAGCCGAGCTCATGTTCTCTCTTGGTCGTCATGTTTACCGTAGGGGTGAGGAGACAAACAGCTTGTTGCTCCTTGAACAAGAGTGCTTGTAAAAACCAGACTCACTGAACAGAGTGGGGAAATTCCTCATTACAGCTGTATTTGTTCAGTAAAACAAAGATTGCAGTTATGCAACAATACTTAAGACCCTACCATTTTTTCACAATGACATTTTATTCTACTCTGCTGCAGTTATCTGAGGTTTGTTTTGTATTCTACACAGCAGTTTCATGATTTATACAGGATCGGAGGTGTTGCTACTTGCTATGTATCCTGCAGGTAGTTTTATGTATCGTGTTATACTGTTATTCTAGCTTGTTATGAATGCATGGCTAGACTGGCAGGGCATGTTTCATGAAAGAGGAGTAGTTTGATATCATGGTTAATGTCTGATAATGTGGAGGGAATGAGTTTAGCTGCAGCAGCTCTTAAACACTTAGACAGCCATTATAAGATCCCACTTAAAAGCCACGCAAAGCCTTGAATAATAATGCATTGTGTCTGGTAATTAGGTTTTGCAAACAACAAAGGAATCTGGTTAGTTACAGATCATATTCAAGTGTTATTTAATACCCCCAAAGCAGAGTGTTACTTCCAACCATCTAACATCGACAAGAGTAAAAAAAGGTGTCAACTGTAAAGTGAAACATCAAAACTGTGTCACCTTACGAAACCCTGTCAAACAGGTGCCTTTTGTTTGTAGGTTAAAGGGAGAAGATGTCAGATGTTTTCAAATTACCAAATGTCAGCCAGCTTTAAATGTGCATTTTTAAGATTTACAGTTGATCACTACAGAGTATAAATGCTGGTGTGACTATATTCTGGCTTTCACTCCCTTAACAGGAAGAATACAGGAGAGGCATATAATCAGGGCAACAAAGCTTATTGTTCAGTTAACATAGTTATAGCAGCTGTGATATACTGTGTGAATTACTCTCTCTGATGGGGTGTTTCTCCCCTTGATGTTCCTTCAGCCTGTAAAAATGCTTGAACAAAAAGAAGTAAACAGTCCATGTTAAATCCTTCAAAAAGTGTCTTAAATTACTAGTGACATTTGAAAGCATGGTAGAAATTTATTCACAGTGCACCAACATGATTTTAGAGAAAGATTCAGAATCTTAAACTGTATTAGCAATCGCTCACTATATGTAATGCCACACTATAAAGTGAGAATGGTGTTCATTAATCTGATAGAGCTAAAGCAGTTAGCTGTTTAATAATCATTCCATAGTAACTAGTATAAGCTCATTTAAGTTAATTCCAGCTGTATACATGAAAGTATACAAAAATGATATCATGTGTGGCTAACATCATCAGAGCTAACACCTCCAGCCTTTGGTCCACCATGCAGGTTGCTGTCAACTAGTGATCCAATAGTGATTGGTGGCGGCCTGTTAGCTTTGATACAACGTATAACCAACATTCTGGGCCTTTTGTGATAAATATATGAATATTGGTAGTTTTTGTACCAACTGGTGAGGGCAATGACCTTAAGTTGTATGGTCTACTCGATGTTCAACTCTACTTATGAAACTGAATACTTAAGGGTCTTAGACTCTTGCTACATAACAAGCGGTTTGAAATGATCAAATTTAGCTCTGCATGAAAATAATGCTTTGTGAAAATAATTGTTATGTACTGCCCTGATCGCCATTGTGTAGCTCTCAGTGGTGTAACATTTGATGAAGAAATTCTTCTCATGATATGATATGTATGTGATTAATCTCAGACTGGAACTTTGTACACTGATGATCTTCTGACTGTGCAGACGTTGAAGCAGAAAATAAGCATAATTATCAGATTGCTTTAAGTGGATAATTGGAATTTTCCAAATTAAGAGAATCTAGGGATGTCCTTTTAGCAGTAGACTGATTTTCTGGCATCTTCAGGCTGTAAACAAATAATTACAAACATACAACACCATGCTCTCATGTAAACATTAAAATCCAAAGACAGATTTATATACGAGATGTGTTTGAGAACCCTTATTTCTGGCGTGTGCTCTGCTCATCCTTTTTCAGGCTCTACTGCACTCCTTGTTTTGAGTAAGTAGAGCATTTTCTTCTGGGGAAGTCTTGGTTCTACCTCTGTATGACTTCACCAGGTACTGTAAATGAGAGCACAATGGAGGCCATGACTTTCATTAAAACTGTAGGCGTGTAAATTCGCTAGAAAGACACATCTTATTAATCAAAAACAAGTGCTTATTGTTTCAGATCGTGAATTGTTTAAAACGTTATGAGCTGCCTGTACCGCAGTGAGTCTTGGTTAAAGTCCAACTCATTTGGCTCATGTTTTGGACTCTCTAATAGCTCTAAATAGAGCTCATTTGAGAGGAGTTGTTGAGGGTGAAATGTTGTCTGGGAGGAACTCATCTCATGGCTAATTTTGATGACTGTTGTACGACTGAAAACAACACAAGAGGGAGGCTCCATTCAAAAGTAAGCAATGATAATTTTTCCCACTTCTACAAATGCCTGGAGAGCTGTATCAACGCAGAGGCAGAAAATTTTATAGCACCATAAAACGAGGCCAACTAAGCAGATTACAGAACAGTAGGTTTGGACAGAACACACGTCAGCGAGAAGGCCAACCGGGGACAGTCAATTTCAAAATCATCCAATTACTGGGAAATGTTGTGTTTAGTAAATAAAGAGCTCTATTCAGGTCTTGTTGTTTTTTCTATAATAATAAGTACGAAAAGGCTCAGCAGGAGATAATACTCCAAGAGTTTGCTCACTCAATGATTTTACATAATGGCTTGCGTAAAACCAGTTTGCTAATGTTGATCTCTGGCTGCTGTCTCTGCCAGCGACATTAACCCAAGCACTGATGAATTTTGAGACAAATATATTGATGCTTTGGAAGTAAAATCTGTTTAATTGTGTGGCTTGAATTGTAGTTTGAAATGAGAGCAGGGTAAATTCAGAGGTCTTGTCTACCTTAACAGAACCCAATATAATACACGACCACCAGCTCTCAAAACATGATCCCTCTGATTACCAAGTTACTAAATTTGGATACAAACAAACCAGCATTTCATATTGGCTATCAGCCATCCTGCTCTCTTATCAATATCAGCTTCTGCCATTGAAACGCTGATACAGATCGACCACTACATTTTATCAAATACTACAAACTTTTTTGTCATTGGCATCACTCTATGAATAAATTTGCAAGTTCACTTCACTTGTCCTTGCTTATATTTGGACAGGGCAAGCGCTAAAATAACTTTGGTAGATGTAGCCATCTTGTTTCCGCCTCTGATTTTGCTTTTTTATGACTTGGTAACTGAAACTCTGGTATTTTGGGTGTGACATCATTCCCAGCTCGGACATCTGACTTCCGAGGTAACTTGAACGCAGCATTATAACATTAATTTTCAAGTGACAATAACAAATATCAAAGTATTTGCTGCTTTTCTTTGTCATATTTTTCAATAGATGAGGAGTCTCGGACTGTGACTTGATGTGCCATTGTTATACTCTGACACCATGTTGCCATTTTACCTGACTTTCTACAGGAAAAAGTTAGTTGCAGATCTGTTGCTGATGAGTTAATGTCTCTTTTGCTCTTAAAGCAATATCACCAATCAGTTAAATATTAAACATCTTTGATGTCAGTTTTATTGTTGCTGATAATAAGGAGGAGGTAATATCACACAGGTCTGTGATCATTCCTGTTATAAAGGTTGAAAACATGAGCACTGATCTGTTAGTTTTGGCGATCAGCAGCTTATGGTCACAAACCTGGCAACAGAAATAGAATCCTGCTGTCAGAACTGTAACAGGAAAATGAAGTTTGATAACAAAGCCTTAAAGTTCAGTGTCTGAGTCTGAAGTGTCCGACATCCATGCAAAAATATTAATACTGTATGTAAATCTTTAACTCCAGTAACAGCTCTGCATTTGTGAGTCCTCAGAGAAACCTTTGAAACCAATGAGTGTTTGATGACTTGTTTTTAGCACACTCACCACACACACTGACACACACATCTATCACCATCTGTCTGCTTCTCACTCTCCCTGTTTACACGACATCGTGCCTTTATGAAAGGTTGCCTGTTTCCAAAAAAAGCCGCATTTTTAAGTCCTCCCAGACGCCACAGAAAGAGAGTTTTTGTAGTCGTTGTGTTGTATCGGACAGAAGATTTCCAAAGGAAGGGGTTTTTGTGTTTTGAAGCTGCTAAACCATGTGATATGAGTCCCATTTTTGCTTGGTGTAAGATTTGAAGAGGGATGGGCTGCGTTTAAAAAGGATGCCAATTTCATCATTACACAGAGAAGGACTCAAATGCTGTCCCTTTGCCATGAAAGACCCATGAGGATGTGAATTTCTACCCCCCTAAAAAATGATCTTGCATATGATTGGTTTACTCTGTGGTGTGTATGCTTCTGTAGCTGTCATTTTCCTCGTACCTCCTCTTTTTCTTTTGCCTTTTTTTAACCCTGTTTTTCATTTTTTCCCTCCCTCCCCCCTGCTCTCCTCTCCCTTCCCTCCCTTCATGTAACCTCCTCCCTTCCATCTCATCCAAGTGGCGTTCACAGCAGCTTACTCATGTCCAGTCACTTCCCAGCACGCCTTGCTTCTCTCATGGACACTCACTTCCTGCTCCTCTCTTGACATTTCTTTCTCTATCCTTCTTTTTCCAGTGACAGCAGTACAAGAATGAGGTCCTTGTCTGCTTAGCCACCCATATCTCTTGAAGATGTTCCAGCTAAGGTAAGAAATCCCTCAGACACACACACACACACACACACACACACTGACATACACACACACACACATGCTCCATGCTGCTTTTACATTCCTTCTCAAGAATCCAACCAGTCGACACTCTCCTCTAACTAGAAGCAGATGGTGAAAGTTTACTGCGTGCCTGGTTACACCTAAACTCTGTGTCTGGTTGGGATGTTTCTGCGGTATAAAGTTGATTCAAGAGGAGGGAGTGAGCTGTGATTGGTCGTGGGCATAATTAGGGGCAGGCTGAGGAGGAGGCCCTGACATGGTATTGTGGCATGCAGCTGCTGCGTGTTTTACAGTTGATCCCCTGTGGTGACAGGGTGTACATGACTCTGTGTTTTGTAGTGAAAGTTTTTGTTCTGACCCCTTAATAGCACACCGAGGCAGACGGACTTAAACAATGTTCTGTCTTTTTTAAGCCGCACATTTTGCAAAGTTTTCTGCCTTTTGTTCCATAAATGTATCTGTCTTTAAAGTTCATTAGATTTCGATCAAATTGGGTAAAAATATACAAATAAATCAATAAGATGATGATCCCCTGAGTGAGAGGTCTGCTAAATAGTATTTTATTAATCACTTATTAATATTTTTATTAATGACTTATAACCTAATATTGTTCATCTTAAAAATGCCTGTTAACATGGGTTTTATCTCAATTTTCTGAAAATATTTTATCATAAAAAATAAATAAGCAGTAGTCATTCAAAAAGATGTCTGAAGAGTGTAGTAATAAGATTGTCAGTCATGGTGTTGATGTTTTCAGAGCTGATATAAATATTACTGATTGTTATATGAGTTAAAAAAATCTTCTTGTATTGATGGAAGTTCCTTTTTTTTTTTTTTTTTTTTTTTGTTGATTTTTGCCTTTATGGATAGGACAGTGTGGAAATACGGGGAGATAGAGAGAGAGAGGGGGGAGGACATTCAGCACATGGTCAAGGCCGCACTCAAACCCGCGACCGCTGTGGGGACCGTGGTCCCTATACATGGGGCGCACTAACCCGCTCGGCTGAAGTTCCTTGATTTTAATGGAATAAAATCTAAAATCTATCTAGAGAGAGTTTGTGGTTTCATCAAATGTTATATTATGTCCAAATCATCAATTTATTGTTGTATGGTAATAAATTTTGTTATTTTGATGTTTTTTTGAAAAATAATATCCCAGGCTGTTAGTGTTATTCATGATACTGTTCCCATATCTGTGGATAGACGGTAGACCCCGATTTCCACACAGCTAGTTTTGGCATACTGCCCCTAATTTCTAACTCACAAGTTTACAAGCAAGTGCTTTTGTATTTGCCTCTCTGTCAGTCTGCAGTCTCTTTAATTAGAACATGAAAAATACCCCGTCCTTTTCACACTGCTAGAAGACGGTGCTTCGTCCATGTCTGATATTGCAAGATATCATTGCAGTTGATATCCACGTGCTTGCTTGTTAGAGCTCAACATGCAACAACAACTCAAAATGTAATAAAAAATGTAATAAACACCAAAATGAAACAAGTTACTACATTGTAGGCAAACGTTTGCAAACATTTCGGCTTAGCATCTTGTCAAATTTTGGATTTTATTACATTTTTTATATTAAAATTCAGGTTGTTGTTAAAGTGTAGATAGTTATAACATGTTGTGCATGTTACATACTAACAAGGCTCTTACAATACAAGTTTACTGGCTGGGAGGTCCCAGTATGTCTGCCAGTGACCACCTAGCCTCATCCTGGTGGATGCTACTCCCCCCCCTCACCCTTGGTAACTGTTATGGATGCATGAGGAAGAGGGTCAAAGTTCAAGGCACACTAAACTGAGTCTCAATCGTTTGCATACAGCATGCAAAATGTGTACTTTGTCCATATTGTACATGTGCTGCATGTAAAGTATGCTCTCTGTAAAGGCTGCTGGAGTATATGCCTTGGTACAAAGAAAAAGCATATAATTTAGTATGTAGGGTTTGTTCTGTTAAAACAATGGTGGAGAGATTTTGAGTGAATCATGCCTGACTTTCATGTGCATGTGGCATAATTTCAAATTCTAACAATAGTCCTGACAAACACTCACTGTCTGCAGAGAGAGGAAACATGAGGAGATAGGACACATCCTTATATCCTTCCTCCTCAAGTGCAGGCGTTTACCTTTAGTCAACAGCTGGATCGGCTCCTTTACCACGAATTTCAGACAATATTTGTCTTGTTCACAGGAATCAGCTTTTCCAGTTACTCTCTCTCCAAGGAAAACAACAAATCAGTTCCTTTCTGGGGGGGAAAGTGGGCATCTTCCAAATTTCCACTGTGCCAATGTGAGTGTTGGATCAGATCTGCAGAGCTGCCCTCCGGTTATTTTTAACTAAAACAATATGTAACTCTTTTCTCAAGCAAACAAGAATTGTGTGCAGCGAATTTGAATGTCATTCGGAAATGAAAACGCTGAAATACGACCTACTAAATTCATCCATAAGCATGTCTTTCATAGCTCCCAACATCCAGCCTGAGTCGTTCACACCCAGTTGCTGTTTGCCTTCTGATGTCAAAAATGTTTGTGTAATAGGAGCGACGTCAGGGGCCCTGCAGGAATCCACTCTAGGCGTGTGAGTTAGTCCAAAAGCAATTTGACAGCTCAGTCTGAAGTCCTGAGTGCAGCAGAAGAGTCTCTGAGCCAAAGTTAAGCAAGATGTGCCTCTACTGAGTCATCTGACTTTGCCTGTTATTGTTCGCTTTCCTGCATGCCTGTCATAGCTGCTGTCCAACCATGCAGACAGAGAGGGAGAAATTCGCTGCATATCATTGCATCAGTGCAGCTATTTTCTGCCTGTGTGTCATAATGTCTTCTTGTTTGCCTTTTCTGCATCCTCAGGTCCTCTGTGATTATCCCTCCTCCCGTGGTTTTGGTTGCATTCAGTCAGCAGTCAGGAATTTCCTCCGTCTCCTGCCTATGACATGGTTTAACCCACGTACCACCTGGTCACCATGATGATGGCCTCCATGGTTGCCAATGGAAATCGAGATGGGCAGTCTCTGGTCCTGAAGGGGGTGGATCCAGAGACCTGCATGATTGTGTTCAAGAACCACTGGGCTCAGGTTAGTGCTGGAAAGCAAAATTCCTGCAGAAATAGTTCCTGGTGTAATTTAAAGGGATATTTCGGTGTAAAATTAATTTAGGGTCAAACACACTGTAACGCTGAGTTAGACGCCCCCTTGAGAGATGAATGTTGCCGACTGCTTGCTTCTCTAGTCATACCAACTTTAGTAACGACCGCAGGATAGCAATACACAGTGGTCTGAGGAGCCATAAACAAACCTCAACCAAAACACCACTCTATAGCCACAAATAATAATAAACATCTTTCTAGCTTTGCCTGATTTCTTTAGCAAAGAGACTAAACACAACTCACCCTCTCTCTTCCAGCAGCTGCTTGTTTGTACAGAGACCTCTGGGCGAGTCCATCAACTGCAGCGGGGTGACGCACATCAAGGAAGAACATTTATGATCATTTTTTCATGGAAATGCGGTCAGACTGAGACGCTCAAGCAGAAGAACTACTGTGTCTGCAGTGCAAAATGATTAATATGATGATTATTACTTCAAAGAAATGATAAAATAATGATCATAAATGTTCTTCCTTGCTGTGTCACCCCGCTGCACTCGATGGTCTCTGTACAAACAAGCGGCTGCTGGAAGAGAGTAGGTGAGCTGTGTTTAGTCTCTTTGCTAAAGAAATTAGGCAAAGTTAAAAAGATGTTTGGTGGCTAGTACTATGGCTGGGACCCTATATGTACTGTTGATGAAGTTAGGTGCTGTTCTGAGCATTATTCTTGGCTATAGAGTGGAGTTTTGGTTGAAGTTTGTGTGTGGCTTCTCAGACCGCTGTGTATTGCTATCGTGCGGTCATTATTAAAGTTGGGATAAATAGAGAAGCAAGCAGTCAGCAACATTCATCTCTCGAGGGGCTGTCTAACTCAGTGTTACGGTGTGTTTGACCCTAAATTAATTTTACACCGGAATATCCCTTTAAGACATAAATCCTAGGTTCGATTTATCCAGAAAACTATGCTGTGCATCACACCCTCCATTCTCTCGGTCTGCTGATTTTCCTCATCAGTCAATTGAATGCAAAAGTGTTACATTTTGAAAAAACAGGTGTTTTAATTTGAACATAAAAGCACACCTGGAGGTAGATGAAGCAGTTAAGTAAATTTGTTGGAGGGAAACAGGTGGAAGGGAGGGACCCAGGGTACAAGGAGTTAGGTGGAATTCAGGAGAGGTGAAAGCTGGAGACATGAGGGCTTGAGGAGGAGGCTGGTGAGCGAAACCAGGGAGAGAGTGTGGCAGTGTCGCAGAGATTGAAAAGTGGCACTGGAGGCTCATGGAGGCACTGGAAAAGAAAGAGGAAAGTTAAATTAGTCGCTGGTAAAACACAAAAACAAGCTGAAAAGCTCGAACGATTGTGAATTCATAAGAGAACTCTAGAAACTGGCCAAGATACAACTTCAGAAGTGGGAATGATCTGGTGCTGGAGGAGCCTCACAGCAGGGCTTAAATGCAGGTGGTGATTGCAGTAATTAGGTGCAGGTGTGAAGGTGCAGGTGGAGTCAGTGAAGGAGGGAGCCGCCCAATCTCTGTGAAGAGGGAACACACACACACAAAAGTCTACACGACAGACACTCAGTAATGTTTGTTGTGACCGCATTAAGTGCATTCATTGTCTCACTTTGGTGGTATTTCTGCTATCTTGTTGCTTGAAATCTTTTCGCTAAGATAGGCTAATAACCTTCAGCTTTGGCCCCATGCTTCAGAATCACAAAAATACAGATCTTCACCTGTAACTTTTGTCAAGAATTTGAAACAACAATATCTCCAAAGCTATAGCGATCAATTATTTTGAAATGTCTTGGCTATCTTGACACTTGAGCGCTCTTTTTAGCCAACCCTCCCACTTCTGAGTTATTTCCATATATCAGTAAGTTCAGTGTGAAAAATGTAAGCCTCTTAAAAAGACTTTTCAACATTTCACAGGAAAAAAAAAATCAAAATTCTAATGAAGTTTCAGATTGAATTTAATTTTGTGTTAGTTTTTCGTCAGCTCTCTCACTTGGACACCACTTTTCCTTCTCTTCTGCCTCACTGGCAGCACAACTCGACAGGCATATACTTTGGCTGTCCTAACAACCTTAAACTACAGTACAGCGATGGCCGGCTGAGTCTTGGCAGTGTGTTTCAGACTGTCTGAGACTGTTGGCTCTGAGCAGCAGCATGTGTCCCTGATCACCCCTGTGGGTCCTGGCAGCCTGTGAGGCCTAAGTCCTCCCACGCTGAGATCAACAAAACCTACACACACTGTCAGAAGTTTAACACAGGCCAGGCTCCGTGGGGATAGGAAAGTGTGGTGGGAACTAAATGTCAGCTGCTTTATGGCTGAATTAGAGGCTGTCTGTCAGGGTCAGTGTGGAGCTCTGTGGCGCTCACAGCTAAATTAGCTGATCTCCTCTGTGTTTTAATTAAGTTTGTCATCAGATGAACGTGACACTGGTATCATTGTTGTGAGGTTGGAGTTGATACGGTATTATGCAGGGTCGTCAGCTTAACTGTAACTGTTGACCATCATTTGTTTTCATTTTTGCTGTTCTTCTCTGCTCATGTGCAGCATTGAAAACCAAGACAAATTTTCCCAATGGTTAAAAATAGTTTTGTATCATATTGTATTAGGGATGAACGATGTATCGTCAGAAAAATTCCCCATGATAAATATTTGCCATCTCATGATAAATACGATAAATGCAAGTTGATGAGGTAAGCGCGAGCGATGGACACATGGGTGAAGGTAATGAAGAAGACGTTTCTGAGCAGCTCGTTACTGAACGAGGCTCCACATGAGGGATTTCCTTCAAGATTGGGGCTTAGATGTGCGCAATCAGGACATCGGACAGTGAATCTGCTGCTGTTCACTCTGTGTGATTAGAGTTTTCAACAAATGATGAAAATGTTCTCTCATTTGAGACTTGTTTGATGTCAATAGTTTTCTCCATAACCTACCACTCAAACTTGGGGTTAAGTATCTTACTTGGGTACTCCAACTGGTGTTCTCAAGACAAAATGAGTCAAAAATATAGATTAGAATTAGAATATTTTTTATCTGGACTTTTATTGTTATTGCCAGAAAAGCAAATCTTATTGTGATAATTTTTTTAGCCCATATTGCCCATCCCTGTATTGTATTGTATTGTATCATATCATATTGAACGGTATCAAACTATTCATTATTCTGTCTAACTGTATCGTATCTTACTGTATTGGATCATATCTTATTGTATTGCATCGTGTTATGTCGTATTGTGTTATATTGAATCATGTTAAACACAGCTCAAATGAAATGCTGTTTGTTTCCAGCTGTGTTGTTATGGTATGGTATTGTGTTGTACTATATCACATCATATCATACCGTGTCAAATCAAGTTTAAGGTAATAACAGTTTGACAAAAATCTGCCTCCAGGAAAATTCAGGAAGTTTCATGAAGTGGATCTTATGCAAAGTGTTGTTTTTTTTTTCTGTTGAAAACTTCATTGTTTTGTTGGAGTAAGAGAGTTGGGCTACACAGTTGAAACACTTTTTGTGAGTGGTGTATGTTCTGGTGAAATCAGACTCATGTGGTCACCCTGTGCAGGAAGCGAGCATAATGTTTTGAATACAAACTAAATGATCCTAAGCTGTCCAAGTTAGTTCAGCCCAGACTGATGACAGACCTGACGTTTGTCACCAATACAGCTGTTTTGCTCCTCCAGTTTGTAGTCTGTTTTTGAAACCACCCTAGAGTCCTGTTTGGTTACAGGTTAGGGTTACCTCTTTTTACCTCTACATGTCAAAACTTGATGTTTTTGTTTTGAGGCCTCTGATGGTTTAGCATGAAGGGAGAATGCCTTATTTTGTTGTATTGAAATCGTTTGGTGTAACTCCTCTTATGCAATGTGTTCAGACAGTCTAGCAAGTTTGTTGCAACCCGTCTGCTTGATTTTCTTTGTTGTTGAAATCAAAAGTACCACAGACTGACTACTCTGTCTTACTATTATTACATTCAAAGAGAGAGAGAGAGAACTCTCTGTCCCAGATTAAAGCTTGTCGTGCCTTAGGCAAACTGGCAGCACAATTTCACTCCCGCAGAGTCGTATTTTCATGCCTAGTTACTCTGCAGCTGGATGAGGGTGCCTTTGACTTTGGTTTCAGCTTGGAAAACCTTGAAATTTGAGCGACTTGTCAGTAATATCAGCCTTGTCCCCGTGTAAAGAGCACTGCCACCTTCCCCATTGGTAGATCAGGTTCGTGTTCATTTGCTGTGTGTTATCTGCTGCTCTTCAGCTTCACAAAGCTCATTGTGTTCGTAGCGACACGCAAAATGATCTGTTTGTCGCTGCCACTGCCAACAGTCTCTAACCACGGACAGTGAGGGCAGTTTGTTTCTCATCGCAGAGTGTCCACAGAGGAACTGAGTCATCACATTCATTGCAAATGCCAAACTTTATGAATGTGTTTCTGTTCTGTGACGTGTAGAGTTAATGTGGAACTACTTCCATTCAGTGTACAGTAAGAACTTTTTGACTTAGAGTGTAGTGTTGTGGGATCAAACCAAACCAGAAACAGGTGACCTAGCAAAAACAAACAGCTCCACTTACTCTAAGTTGGTCAAACATTTCCTTGATATGCTTCTTCAACCAACACAAGTTAAAAAATTCCTTTTTCACTTTTAATCCTTTAATCCCGAGAATAATCTTGGAATAACGATAAAGAAATCTTAATGCAAAGTCGAAACTGGCAATTCAGATCACAGCATGAATCTGCATATACTGTTTGGTATTGATAATGCATTAGACAGTGCTTTGCTGTTAAGGCTGACTCATCATAAAACTCATGCAGTTAAAAGACAAGACACCACTGTCAGCAAACATAGCATTGATTCTTTGTTATAACTTAAGAAAGTCCCAGCGCAAAAGTTTAAAGCTCAAGTCTGCAGCTTGAGCATTTGATTTGTGAGCGTTGACTTTAATTACCAAGCCAAGTTTTATAAATTGTTAATATTACACAAAAACTAATCAAACCGTCCAATGTTGAATTTTTAAAAAACCCTTGTGTATCAGGCGATGTTTCACTGCTTCACAGATGTTTGCTGGCAATGTTCAAGCAGCTCTACTCGAGCATTTGAGGTCAAGGCTCTTGCAAAAGAGCACACAACTGTAAGTAAAAAACAGGGAGCAAATGATGTGCTTTTCTACATTCATGTTCATGCAACAGATTTTTTTTTACCATGGGCTGTATAAAACACCTCTGTGAGGTCACTCATAGGCATCTGAGGTGATGATCTGAAGCCGACGATGGTGGTGGCCATTTTGGAAATGCTAACGAATTGGGATGAAATGCTGACTTAAAGGCTAACAGGTGAGACTTAACGGGCCTTTCACCTCCCAAACAGTCAACTCATGAAAGCTTTAATTATGTAAAACCATAGCCTTAATATCCTTATAGTATTTATGCACTCAAAAAAATTCAAACCATAGAGTGAACAATGAGAGAAGCGGGCCTCTGTTTTTGGACAAGGATTTTTTATGATCAACTGGAAGTAACTTTGTAATGAGGGTAGAATCAGGAACACAATAATGACTCTTGTGAGGAGTTTTTAGATGTTAATGGACTAAAATTCATGTTAACGCCTTTTTATGATATACAAAAACAAATTAAACCATCAGTAGTAAGATTGAACATTCTCATGGTCTAAGTTTTAATGTCTGAAACTTATGCAAGGGGGTAGGTGTCAGCTGAGCAGCTGAGGAAACAGCCCTGTTTGAATTTTCAAATGATTCGTTCGTCTGTCAAAAATCAGCAGGATAAAGTTTTTATTCAGAATTCACAATCTGAGCATGTAGAGGACAAGATAAGGAAAGACTCATTTGTCCATTTGTCCAGGTGGTGGACAAATTACTGATTACTGCAGTAATACCCTAAGACAGTGGTTCTCAATCCAGTCCTCGAGGCCCACTGTCCTGCATGTTTTGGATGTTTCCCAGCTTCAACACACCTGATTCAAATGATCAGCTCGTTATTAAGCCATTACAGAGCTTGATAACGAGCTGATCATTTGAATCAGGTGTGTTGGAGCAGGGAAACATCCAAAACATGCAGGACAGGGGGGGCTCGAGGACTGGATTGAGAACCACTGACCTAATACAATCAATGTTTAACAAACGTCTGACTCCCCTCTGTGTTCACAGAGTAATAACCCTTCCCCTAACTCTAAATATGGTTCTGCTCAGAGCCTGAATCCGATCCCTGATCCTCAGGCCACTGGGCCGAGCCCCAGCGGACTCAAACTACACAGATTACAAACTTGTGTTCTCATGTTTCCATCGGCTGTGCCCAGTCCTCTTGTGTACAGCAGGTTATTGTCATGGCAGCAGGGGCAGGCTGGGGACACTGGCTCCTTTATTGTGACTTTGGTTTCTACACAGAGGACACACAAGGGAGGGACAGGGTTACACAAAGGACTGTTTCACTCTGTGCTACCAAAGTGAGTTTATTTGCACTGAGCTGTGGGTCTGTTTACAACACATTATGAACTGACGGAGGAAGGATTTCACCTGCAATGTGCTGGATTATAAATGGTTTAAATGCTATAATAAGGAAAAACTGACCTGTTCAAAGGTGTTCATTAGAAAGCTAATAAGAGTGCACTGTACTTGGTGTGAGCAAAGAAGCTTAAGCTCTTCTTACTCAGCACAAAAGGCAACTGATTTAATGTTTTTTTTTGCACTTTTTAAATCCCTGAAATCAATATGCTTCTTTCATGGATTTGCTTTAAAGATTTTCCATCAGTCTTGTGTGCTCAGGTTTTTATTCTCTGCAGTCTGTTAAAACAGTGTGAACTCTGTAAACTCTGTGCGACAGGCTGTCATCTGCACTTTTTAAACAAACAGAAAACAATAATTTAAAAATCTTTTTGGGAATGTGTCATCACTTTGTGGCCAAAGTTTATGGGTAACAACAATTTTGTTAAAAGTTTCATATAAGACTAAGTTTCTGGAACCTCCTGCATGAAAATCAAAGTATGCATGATTATTTAGGGTTTGGTTTAAGTTATGTTTCTCTTGTTTTTTTTTTCTTATAGGTGGTGAAGATTTTAGAAAAACATGACCCCTTACGCAGCAGCTCCACCCTGCCTTCCCTCAATGTCATCAACCTCAACACTGGCTCCGGCGGCAGCCCTCGTTTCGGCCCCATTCCTGGAGACGAGGCGAGCGCAGTGCAGAACTATGTGGAGCACATGCTGTTCCTGTTGATAGAGGAGGAGAGCGGACAGGCCGGCGCCATGGGTCCCATCCTGGAGTTTGTGGTGATGGAGAATGTAATGGAGCGTCTTTTTGTGTGGAGTCTGCGTCGGGAGTTCACGGACGACATGAAGCTGGAGCAGCTGAAGATGTATGAGATGCTGGTGGGCCAGGCGCACCAGCCTCTCCTGCACCACAAGCCTATCCTGCGGCCACTCATGATGCTGCTGTCGTCCTGTTCGGGCACGACGGCACCACGGGTGGAAGCCGAGCTGGTGCTGCTGCTCAACCAGCTGTGCTGCGTTCTGGCGAAGGACACGTCGGTTCTGGAGCTGTTTTTCCACACCAGCGAGGATCAGGGAGCAACAAACTTCCTTATTTTCTCCCTGCTTATCCCCTTCATTCACAGAGAGGGAACAGTGGGGCAGCAGGCCAGAGACGCTCTGCTGCTCATCATGTCGCTGTCTGCTGAGAACGAGCGGGTGGCCAAACACATTGCAGAGAACACTTTCTTCTGTCCGGTCAGTCCACATACGAAATTTTACCTCCTCCTTCCACCTCTTTTCTCTTTTAAATCACTTGTTTGTCAAAGTTAAATGCTCCTACATCAGTTTTGCTTTAGATATCAGCCTCCTGTACCTAAATCTAAATTGCTTCACCCTTTTAAGCCTGTAATATTAACAGTCCGCCTGGTTATTATTCTCTTTTTTTAGCTGTAAATGTTGCAAAAAATGTCTTTTGTGTGAAATCTTTGCTCCTTTTTTCAGGATAAATTCAACTTCTCTCAAGAATTATACATTTTTACATGTTATATACATTTAAACTGTGTGAAATAACAAAAAAAATATTTAAAAACGGATTTGAGTTTTTAGAAAGTTTTGTCTAATTTGTAATATTAGCTCTTGAGCTATATAACATCCCCTCAAAAAAACTGTTTGCAGGTTTTTTGACGCAAGTAAAGAGTTTATAATGCGTCAGAACTAGAATAAAGTTAGCAATCAATGTTTTCCCGCCAATATCATGATTCAGTTTTTCTACTTTTTAAACAAACTCTGCAATATTGTTGGAGGACGGTACTTTCTTTTTCCCTCACAGCTCCTCTCACACTTTCTCCGACCCTGAGCTTCATAATTAGCCGCCAGTATACAGATAAAATTGTGAATCTGCTGGAAGCAAAACATCTCTGGCACTGAATGTGTGGCATTTACAAGATTATTGCATGGTTGCAAGCTAATCCCACACAAATAATACCATTCAGCTGCAGCTGCAGACATTGCATGAGAGAGAGAGCTTTTGATTTGATGCCAGGTTTACAACTGGAGTCTGAAGTTAATTGGTTCCACTGGCAGACTACAAGGATAATCCTATGCAAGATTTATTGTATACATCAGAGCAAAACTAATCATGTGCTCTAATTAAAGTGAAATTAGTCTGCCGTTCTATAGAACATTGTTTGAAATCTTACCTTGTAGATATATCATATTAATGCTGCCTGTTTGTTTTGGAAACAGACTTTAGTCCTGAATGCTGTAATTAGTAAACCCATTAACATATCATGATGATTACAGTGGGAAAGATAGAGGCACTATAACTCTTAGCTCCTCAAATATTTATGGAGCTGACCCACCAGAAGCATATATCAATGTGTTTGCCGTCTACTGTGCAGGAAGGAACAGGAAGGCTGCTGTGTGTCTTTATGCCTACACCACATTCTTAAAAAAATTAAAAGGAAGAGATGATTTTCTGAAGCATTTTGCATCTTAGGAAGCAATAAAACACCAGTCTGCATTGTGGGGCTTGAAGTAAAGCTGACTTCTGCGAAACTGTACATATATCATTTATGCCATAGGCTACACTCCCTTATTCATGTTTAATGAAGCCCCATAAAATTCTCTCTGAAGCCACTTGATGTCGGATTATGTTTTATTAGAGTGTACATATCACATGATGCTATGTTTGCAGCACAGTTTGTTTTAAATGGCTCAGACAAAATACCTCCCAGGCGTTATCTTTGTTAGACTGTGGTTTGATGGTGTATTAAAGCAGCTTAGTTGCATTAAAACAGTGTGTAAACTGAACATTTCTTCATAAAACCCATATGTTTAGGCTATTTTTCTACCTCTTCATTAAATATCCATCTGTCTGGGTGAGCATTGATAAAGTCATCCAAAATCCCATCTATCAATCTATAAACAAAAAACCTCACCCAGGATCCTGAAACATTTGATCCCATAGTGGTAGAATCTATGTTCCATATTTGATGATCTTCAGTTCAATGTGTTCCTAATAAACACCAGAGGAACCAGGACTGCCTCTCCAAGGGTTTTCTCTCAGCAATATTTTCATTTTTTTCCTGGTCTAATGATAAATTTATGTTTCCCCTGAGGCAATTTCACCCACGTAGAACTCATGACCTGCCAATGTTACTGCTTAAAACCTACAGGCCAAGCCCCTCAGTAGCTGCACGTCTATGTAAGATTAAAATAAGTCCTTTGAAACACCTGTCTCCTATTGCTCACTTGTAATCTGAACTTTCTAGATTGTCCACACCAATCTTAAAACTTAAAAGCTTTCGATTCAGGAAACTTATGACCGTGACTCTATGATGCTGACCCCCTCTCTCTTCTCAGGTTCTGGCGACAGGGCTGAGCGGCCTGTACTCCTCTCTGCCCACCAAACTGGAGATCCCCAATGAGGAGTGGCACTGCCTGCACAGAGAGGACTGGCTGCGGATGCCGTCCCTCGTTCAGTTTCTCAACTCTCTGGAATTCTGCAATGCTGTTATTCAGGTGCAAACATGTGACAGGGCTGCATGCACACCGTTTCACTACATGAAAAATGTATCGACACGTGGGTAATTACTGAAACCCTCTGCCCACATGTGATGGATGTGCGCCTTTACAAGCATGTTGACTCTTTCCCAGGTGGCCCACCCTGATATCAGAGACCAGCTAGTTGGCTACATTTACAACGGGTTCCTTGTGCCAGTTTTAGCACCAGCTCTCCACAAGGTTGGTACTTATTTTCCTTATTTTACTTGTATGTTATTTCACATATTTCCAGCCTGTGTCCCCCTCCCTGCATGTCAACCCCTGCTCTGTCTCAGTCTCCTGCTTTATCTGCAGTTCTGTCCTTTCACAATTAGAGCAAAAGCCGCCCCCCAAAAAAAGGAAATATAAAGAAAACAAACAAACATAAAATAAAAAAGAAACATTAAAACAAGTTGAGTGGTGTATTTTAAGTGTGTAATCTGAGACATAATACTACTCTTGTATTTCCTGTGTCTGCCACCATGACATAGTAAGCTTGTAGCCTTACTAAAGCTTAAAGGCACATACTGTACATTTCTGGAGATTCCACATAAAGCATTTAAATGAATGAAAGGGATGTTTATTTGGTCGATAATCAGATCTTTATTCCTCGCAGCTGCAGCGTAAAGCAAGCTCTCTTTTTATGACTGTTCTCACCCTCTAAACTCAAGAGTTACCATATAATGTATTATTTTATGTAGACTCAAAGGCATTTTAGCACTTTGAGAGTATTATTTTAGAATGGTTTTTGTCTAGAGCACTTAACATGACTTTGGTTTTAACCTTCAATGTTTGTTTTGTCATTATATTGTCCACTTTTAATTGGGATTTTGTGGATCATGTCTTGAGTTGTAAGACATTGTCGAAGTTTTGTTTTGTTTTATTTTGTTTTGTTGTTGTCTTTTTTTTTCTTTTTCTGTTTCACCTATTTGCACATCAAGTAAGAACCTTAAACCTTGAACCTTGATAATGTGGATGACGAACACAGGTTAAAATACATCACTGTTGAGGCGGTGAGGGTGATGCTAACTTCTTGGTTCTCCTACAAGTCAAAACTGCACTATCTTTGTAAACGTGTTCTGTGAATCACTCCTCTTTATTTCCTATTTTTTTTACACAGCTGACCCTTGAAGAAGTGATGACAACCACAGCATACCTGGAGCTCTTCCTGAGGAGTGTATCTGAGCCAGCTCTGCTGCAGACCTTCCTCTCCTTCATCCTCCTCCACCGACACGAAAACGTCCACATCTTAGACACTTTAGTCAGCCGCATAAACACCCCCTTCCAGGTACAGTGTGAACTCATTTAACTTGCCAACACTTGTTTTGCTTTATGATAAAAACACAAGCAGGCACATATTGCATTCAAAGACACCATGACTCATGTTTAATAAATAACTACCCCAGAGGCTCTTGGACCCACATTGAAACTTGAAATGTCAGCACCACAGTAGGCAGATTGTTGCCGTGGTGATGTTTGGTTGCGGTGACATAACAGAGGACCGGATACCTGTGTTTCAAAACAGTCCAGTATGGCCCCCTTTAATACAAATATTTAAGGAGGACTGATTGTTTACATAAATAATTCCTGTGTTTTTTACACTGAGGGTGTTCGTTTCAGTGTTTGCCTATAGTCTGCCTTGACACACCTCAAACAAAAATAAGAAACATGTTTGCTTTTCAAACTTTTGACTCCAAGCTAAATTAAATATTGACTAAAATGCAAATATGTCACATTTCGGTCTTTTTTATTTTGCTCTTTTACCTTTTTTTTCTTTCAAATGGTCTTTAAAAATGGCAGCTGGTAGGTAGTCGAACTCCTCATGCTTCATGCTTGGAGATTATTTTAGTTATACTGCCTTGACTTAAGAAAAGACTAACAGTATATAATTTTAAATTCAGTTTATATCTGAAGCAATGCTTTGCACTGGTTCACTCACACCTTTAAGCATGCTAGCAGCATGTATATGTACATGGATGACGATGTATTTTATTTGGCTTTGCTGGTCCACATCTTTGGTGAAGACTTACACACGTCAGGGTCAGTCATGGTCCCCACATACTGAATCCTGTGGCTATGAAAGCACATTACATTCTTACCGGTCTCAGCTAAAATGCTATGTAGTTCGCAGTGTAGTAAGTTAAGATGGTTGCTTTGGTAAAAATTGCTTTGCCGGTGTGGGTATGCATGTATGTTAGCATGCTGATGTCAGCATTGAGTTACAAGCACATTTGTTCCTCTGTAGAGCATCACAAGATGATCACAAAGAATTAAAGCTCCTGTGAGGAACTTTCAGCTAACAAAATAGAAACATATCTAAATGCTAATTTTGTCCAGTAAGTGTGTGAGCTGCACAGGCATCTCCTCTGCTTGTTGAATTTATATTTGGGGATATGTAAAAAAGGCAGCTTTAACCTGGTAGTGCATTTAGGCATTACAAATAACAAAATGAAAATGATCAGTATTTATGTTGATGCTATTGTTAGCTTTTGTAGCTCTTGAAGACATATCAGTATTAATTTCAGTCTATTTCATGCACAACCAAAAACTCCTCACAGGAGCTTTAAATCAATCTTAACTTTGGGGGCTTGTAATGGTTGTAGTGATGGTTTAGTGCAGTGGATAAAGCAGCAGACTGGGAAGTGTTAAGTCTTGGTGTGATGTTAAGGCTGGTTAAAAAGCAGTGATTATTTTCTAGAAATAAAATATTTGTGTTTAAACAGGTTTTTTTTTAAATAAAGATTTTTTTAAAAAAAGATAGTCTGTTTTCACAATTCCAGAGGATTAAAACTGTGATTTTTTTTTACAATTATGTTATAAATGTGTCCTAAATAACTGATTATTTGTTAGATTTGTTAAGATGAATATTCTGCTCCTGAATACTTTTTCACATATATTACTGACGGACATCATCCTCATTGTGTCTTTCTCTTCTCCTCTGCAGTTGGGCACTGTGTCACTGGCACTTTTCCGCACTCTCATAGGCTTGTACTGTGAAGATGTGATGCTGCAGCTTGTTTTGAGGCAAGTACCACACACACACACACACACACACACACACACACACACGCACATACACACACTCTTTTTGGTTATGTGATGTGTTGTACTGATGCCTCATTGAAGTGGTTTACAACAGGTTGAGCTTTTACACTTCACCTTCTACTGTGCAGAGGTGTATCCATCTGTCTGCTCACCCCTTGTTACCACCCCTCCTCCTACGACCACCCATTGGTTGTCCTTACAGGATCTGTTCCCATCTGCCCCCGCAGGTACCTGATCCCCTGTAATCACATTATGTTGAGTCAGAGGCGTGTGGTGAGGGAGAGGGACTGCTACTCTGTGTCTGCAGCCAAGATTCTGGCATTAACGCCGTCCTGCTGCTCGCCTGATCGCAGCCCCCCACCTCTTCGACAGCTGGAGTCCATCCTCTTTTCCAAAGGTGCAGATACTCCCAGCACAGAAAGCACCCCAGGTAAACGAGACAAGACATTAAACGAGCACTTAGTGTGCAGACCTTTTTTTATACACCATTTGGAAACTTATTAAGAATATTTGGAAACTCTTAAAGAGCTTGCTGGATAATAGATATTTGTATGTGCCACAGCTTATACACATGACATAAACGATTTCTTGTCCATACAATCAACCTTTCCAGATATTTTTGCTGCTTAAAGCTGAAACTGCATTGATGAAAAAGAGCTTTTTATTCAAAGCTTCATCTAAGGGAGTGAGGTGTATGATTGAAATAGTACCGAGTTAACAAGAAGAGCATCAGAATCTGCTAAAAATGGCTGTAAGTAGAATGTGCTGCAAAGTGATAATCTACATAAACCCGGGGTATGAACATATATCAGGGAGGATGATGAATATTCTATTAGATTTTGAGATCTTTTGCTCTTTCAGTGTATTTCATCACTCCCCCCTCTCTAGTAGCATGTCACACTCATTAGTCGTTGTCTGCGAGCGCTGCACCGAAGTGTTGCACACTTGCTGTTATCAGCACTTTCTGTCTGTTTCTTCCAGAGGAAAAAGAGACCTTTCCGGAGGACGACGGCTCAGGTAACTCCTGCACCATCGGTACTGAAATCTACTTGGATGTCAGCTACCTTCATTACCTCTACGACGCCCGGCTGAGCATCAGTGACTGCATACGAGCCTGCCAGGTTTGGTCTGCGCCTTATGATGGCGAGGACCCGCCTCCTGAGACATATCAGCCCGGCGTCTTGGAGGAGCCGGGACTGAAGGGCCGTCAAACCCAGATGGCTCTCAAAAGGATTCCCCAGCTAGTTGCTCCACGCCCTCGACATATCCCGCCGCCAAACACAGAGGCGGCCTCTGTCAGTCAGCTCGAGCTGGAGTGGGATGATAGTTATGACGCAGGCCCGGTGCAGACTGCTGAGACTCCAGAGGAGAGCAAACCTCCAGCGCAGCAGCCTGCTGAGCCCCCAGTACATATCCAAGAGATGAGGAAAACAGCCATCATGTTGGTGAAAGGCTCTTACATAGAGGAAAATGAGTTTCAGGATGACGTCATGGTGTATGATCTTGTTGCCAAGAAAGACGCCACAGATGTGGAACCTGTTACACTCAACTCAAGTGAGCCTAAGATACAAGAGACTCAGCCAGACTCAGCAGATGGCCCCCTTAAAAATGGGCTCAGCGCGACTCCTCTAACCTCTGTGACAGCTGGTAACAAAAGCAGCTCGGACTCCAAATCCAAAATTCAGAAAGACTGTAATTCCAACCTCCAAAACCCCACTTCCCCTGAGGTGGCTGAAGATCTTTTGGCCCAGTACGAGGAGCTCATCCGTACGCTGGACTCTCAAGCAGCTGGAAGGCACGTCAGAACTGATGGAGAGGTGAAGAAGCCTGTTACACCTGCACAGGAAGAGGAGGAAGAAGAAATGGACTTCTCCTTCTCCGCTGAGACACCAGAGAAACTTCATTCACCATTTGGGACCAAGTTTCCCAGCAGCAGTGCAGGAAGAAACCATGCAGTGCCTTTCACTGGTAAGAGACAGCGAAGACGGTATTCACCTTTAACTGAATCCCAACAACACAAATGAGAGATTGTGTCTGTGATTCCTCTGCAGGTCCGTTTGTCAGCGTGCTCTTGTCTCGTATGGAGAACATGCTGTCTAACTCGCTTCATGTTAACCTGTTGTTGACGGGCATCCTGGCTCAGTTAGCGGCATACCCTCAGCCTCTCCTGCGCTCTTTTCTGCTCAACACCAACCTGGTCTTTCAGCCAACTGTTCGCTCCCTCTATCAGGTAACAAAAATAACAAAAAATTTACTTTTTTCTTTATTATTAATGGAGGTATTTGGAGGATAAAAGGCTGCAGATTTCAGGACTCTTCTCTTAAAGCTTTTTGCACATCAGCATTTCTATATTTTCCCTTTCAGGTGTTAGCCACCGTCAAGTACCAGATAGAGGACCTGGCCGCCACCAGAAAAGACTTCCTTGAGTCTATTACTACAGCCCAGCACTGGCTACTGGCCAGGGAGAATTTAATCATGGAAGCAGGTGAAAATACACCCCCATCTGTTTACTGTTACTGTTATTAGCTCAGCTCTGATAAGAGTCTGTGTTTGGACAAAGATCTGTGACAGCTGTGTATGAGTAGTTGAGTGTTTAAACCATTGTTTTCAGTTACACCTAAAAAAAGAAAAGTGAGTCTTACTCCAGTAGTTCATAGAGGTGGAATTAAATTATCTTATAACATTTGATTTTTTATTTAAAGTAACATTATATGATTGACTTGTGTCTGTGCAGTGAGTATGATGGGCTCATTTGAAGTTCTTAAGTTAAGCTAATTGCAAAAAAAGTTAAAAGAAAACTTAATAGTTGTGATTTGTTTCAGACAGATCAAATAAGGTCAAAACATCTTGTTTTGAAAATTACGGTGAATGAATGAATGAAAAAGTGTCTTAAAGGCTTTTATGCTTCAGATAGGCTCTTAGGGGGGCAACTCAAACAGTACGGTACAAAAATCCACAAATGACCCCTTTAAGTTGATTTGTCACCTCAGTTGATGATCTGAATCATTTGCCAGTTTGTTTCCAACAGTGTCATTTTAACTTGAGTTTACACGTCAAGGTTAGACAACACAAGTAAGTCCTGCATCAAAAAGAAGGCGAATTCTTAGTAGTTTGATGCATGAGAAGAAAAAAAAAGTAGTTATTTTTTGCTGACCAAAATTAGAATAGCTGCATAGTACACAAGCATGTGCTAGCATTAGCAGATGACTAAGCATTAGCTTAACCCCCTTTTGCTCCGCTAAAACTCCAACTAAAGTTAGATACAATATTTTCTGGGTCCAGAAATCCAAGCTGCTAACCACCTGATAGTAAGTAAGATAGTAATAACATAAGGCTGGTTGTTAACTATGATGTAAAGAAAAAATAAGCGCAGTGCTAAAGCTAACAACTAAGCTAACCCAGTGTTTACTTATTCTTGCTCCTCTTGAGTTGTGCTCATCTAAATACGGCACCGGTTGGGTCCAAAAACCCTAGATGGGGTTTAAAAAATGGGGTTAAAACAAAAGTTTACCTGTCAATGGACATTTTTTTAATTTTTAGATAAGCTAACTCACTGATAATTGTAGCCACATGTCCTAAATGTCACTTTTAAGTCGAGCCGTCGTGTCTTTTGGAGTCCTTCAGGGAGAAAATTACCAGAAGAAGAAAATATGTAGTTGTGATCAACCCATTATGTATACTTTCCAACTGAATGTAATCAGACTTAATTACTATGAGCACCAAAATGTATTTCCTGTAGGTACGTGGTCAGTTCAGATTGAAGCTGTATTTTCCTTCAAACTCCCAAACTTATCCCCAAAAATGGGTCAAGCTGAAAACATCTGCTTTCTTCTCCTTTTGGGAATCTGAATAAATTCTACTTGATTTCCCTGAGTCAAGAGTCTCTGTATCTGAGAGACAGACTCTTGTAAAGCCCCTGGAGGACCAGGCCGGGTTTTGGGCAAGGCTCCCTGCAGTTTTTAGAGTGATACAAGCTAGAAAAACATGTTGTTGGGAGCATGTTTGTGTAATGATGTGAGCCAGAATCTCTGAAGATGGGATACTAAAAAGGAATTTTTTTAGTTGTTAAACTGGAATACTCTCTTGTACATGTTGGATGTTTACTTCATAGGAGTAACACTTGGGATCTAATTATTCACAAGGAGAGAAGTCATTAACTGGAATATATTATGTTTACAAAGTGTCTTCAAGTCCAGTCCCTGAAAGTGAAGTATTTATTGTAAATGTGTTCACTCTCTCTCATTTAGTCACTGTTAATCACTGAATTCTTATCTTCTCAGACAAAAGCAGCAGCGGGCTCTCCAACAGTGGTGAGGGGGGAAAAATCCTGAAGAATTCGCCCCCACCAATACCCAAAGCCATCTCCCTGGACCGAACTGAGGTCTTTGCTACCGTCCTCTTCACTGAGTTCCTCAAAGAGCTGGCTGCCATTGCTCAAGAGCACTCAATCTTATCGTACATTCCTATGGAAGAGTAATCACGTCTACACAGACTCTCAAAGACTCTTTTATTGATGGTATTTCTTTGTTTTTTTCCGACTCTACTCGATGTAGAAACCTCTTAAATCAAGTGATTTACACATCTCATTTTTAAGAATAGTGGTGTATTTATTTTCTAGGCAAAGATAATCAGTTTTATGTGATTTCAGATTTATCTTTCTACTATTGTAAGTGGGTTTGGCAGCCAAGAAAGGGGCCCAAACTTTTTTTTTTACACACCTCTTTACCTGTTTTTCAAAGCCTGCACCAGCTGATCATGCTCCTTCAAACTCCAGGTCCATCCACCAAAGACTGTAGATATTTTGGCAAAAACAGCATTTTTAGTCCAAATTTGAGGTTTTTCCCTCAATCTGAACGTCTCCAACAACCAGCTCCTACCACAGCAAGTGTGGACGGTTATTACTCAGGTGGCCTTTCTCAATTGGAGAGCTGCGCCTCTCTGCCGTCGGATAACACACCACAAGTGAACACCTTACAGCGAAGAAATGTAAAACAAGGATTTCTGTGAAAGCTGGGCTTTCTAAACTCTTATGCAACTGTTACATGACTTTATTTTTCTGAGTAAAACAGGTTAATCACTTTTTCCGTTTGAAGGCGGCATTTTGCAAAGTCTGTCTGTGTTAGAGGTGCTTTAGTCCTGGTGTTTTTCTACACACTTATCATGGTACCTCAGGAGTCTTTTTTGAACATGGTTCACTCTCACAGTTCTTAAACAGCCTTTGGGTGAATCAGTTTTCCCACAATGCACTACTTCTTCACATCAGTGAACTCAGCATGTTCTTCAGATTACTGAAACAGAAACTTTTCATGACATCTTAAATCTGCCTTACTTTAGTGACCCGCTATAATGTAAATATTGTAAGAACACTATGCAAATCAATGGTATTTTGGTGTAATTAAGTTTTCGTTTTTCTGAATGGGACGGGGTATTTAAATTTATGAGAGTTTCTATTGCCATATTTTTGCAATGAGGTTATATAAGAGTTGTGTTTTAGGGGTTGTGTTGGGTGTTTGTCGTGATAGGTCTGAAACATCTGTTACTAAGGATTATGTCTTTGCCTTTTGTTGTAGTCCAGGTGTTGCACATGGTTGATTGTGGGATTTTTAAATAACACAAGAGAGATATTTTGGTACAGAGCATGCCGCAGCTGTCTAAATGGATTAACCAGAGCAAAAATTCTAATGACTTAGTGCCTGAATCATGATTTTACTTCACAGTTTTGCCTGATTGATGTCAAATTTATAAGAGGTCATACCATAGATGAGGATTTTTTATTCAAAGCTGTTCATGGTCAAAGTAGAAAGGAAAGGCCATAGGGACTGAGAATGTGCAACTTTTGTTTCAAGTATTTATTTTGATGCATACCTTTTCATTTAAACCGAAGTGAAGGCACTAAAAATATTTAAAAATCCAGCTTGATCTGAAAAAATCATAAAAAAGAAAAGAGTAATCACATGTCACAGTTTTAATCATATTCTGCATCAATTTGACCGTATAAGAATGATATTTTTCCAGTTTGAACATATTTAGTTTTGTATAGAAAGATGTCAGTGATGTTTAAAATGGATGTTTTTTAAAAAATCATCCAGTTACTACTTGATGCTATGCAGGCAGTCATTGATGTTGTAGAAGCTTTGTGTGTGTTTCCAAGATGGCTCTCGAAATGATTTATATTTATAGCAGTCAAAGACATTTTCACTCCCATTGAGTATTGTCTCTCTAGTAAAGGGCTGTTTCACAGCGTTTTATCAGCCTTTTCATACTGCAGTGCCACTCTGCACTCCCAACAAACACTCTGCACAGATTCAGACACACACACGCCACACCACACAACACAACAGCGGCTGTCTGAGCAGCATTGAAGTGTGAAAACGGGTACTACAAACATGATGTTGGACTTCAGACCACTTTCTGTCTGTGTAGGTTATTGCTCCAAAGATGTATCCTATCTGACACCTGTTGGCCTCAGTTTTCTATCAGGTTGATGATTGTTGCTGATGACACTTGTAATAAAACAACTTCTAGTAAATGAAACTGGATTTATTACACTGGCTTATTTCTTACAAGCTCTTGAAACTGAAATAGTGAAAGGTATTAAATCAGAAAACTGTCTCTTTCAACTAATTTTTCACCTGAAAATAAAATATTTTAGCTTTTCACAAGAGATGATTTATGGGTGTTTTTGAACAGCTCTTCTCAAAGAGGATTTTACAACTATCTAGGTTCCTCTCTTTGGATAAACATATCAACTCTTAATAATTCACATGCAAAAACATTCAGATGTTCAGACATGACTAACTGTGATGAAAAACCTTTTGAGAGCCAAAAAAAGTCCTTCAAATCCTCAGTACTTCAGTACAAACGATAGCTGTCCTTTTCTCTTGTAAGTAAGAAAAATAATAGTCGAGATTTAGTGAGATTCAACAGCATATGTGTGTAAAACTTGACTTTTTTATCTGACTGTGATTGGGTGCCTCACAAAAACTAACTCCCAAAACTAGATTTTTCCTGAAATTGTAACTGCAAAGTAGTCTATGCATGCTTTATGAGTAATGTTATGGACTAAAACATAAAAGATAAGGGGTATTCAAAGGATATCTACCTCCAAACCCTGTTAAATACACCTTGTTGAAGAATCTGGTGCAAGACATATTACATGCTTCAACCACCAGAGGGAGCTCAATGACCGCTTTCCCACCAAACAGTCTGACCAACCCAGGGTTGAGGGTTGTTGCCTATGTTGATCACAGAACATCACATCAGGCCTCCCAAATTACCAAAACGGCCAATATGGCAGCAGATGATGATGCATAAATATATAGAGTATCTGTTAAATAAAATTAGATGCAGAATTGTTAAGAAAATCAGTCCTGTTAGCTAGACTTCATGTATCAAATTCATATAATCTTTTTCATGACTTTATTTAGCTCATTCTTATCATGTGTATTAAATGCATGAGTATTGTAAATACTTGAACTCTGCGTTAGAATTGTAAAATTAGCATTCCACTGATAAGCAAAAATCTTAAATAGCTTTCAAACTGAACTCATATCTTTTCATATTTTTCTGTATTTCATTCAACTTGAAGATTTAAAGTTCAGTGTTTGTACAATGAAGCCAAAGTTTTTTTTTAAATAAAACAACTTTATTACTTTCTGAACCACAAATAAATACAGGAGAAACCGGTTCTTTTACAGTACAAATTTCCTTCAGCATTTACAAAAAATCTCTCAGGAAACTTCTTTCAGCTTCATCACTAATCTCACCGACTCGCATATACACGGCAGTATATCCATTTTACACAGATATACTGCCGTGTAAAATGGACATGGTCATCTGAATTGTCATTTCCTGTCATAAATTTGTCACATTTGTGATGAATGGACAGTCTGATGATCAAGAAGTCTTCTCTTCTAAGATTTTTCTCACTAAGACTGGATCAGCTCTGCCTTTGGTTTCTTTCTGAACCAGCCCCATCAGCTTGTTCAGCACTCTCTTGTTCCCGTTTCTGATGGCCTGAACCTACAGAGAAACACAGCAAAGAATTACCACAGTATATAGCAAATATGATGGCACTTACGTGACCCCTCAACGTCTCTGGATAATAAATAAAGGTTATAATTAACTTTCACCTCATCAGGGTGTGAGTCGACCACCTTCTGGCAGATATTATGCAGATGTGAAGCGTCGCTAACAAGACCCAACTCCTTCTCCTGGATGATTTGCGAAGCCGTCTTACCAGGTGAAGCCCACATCTCCTGAAACACCTGAGAAACCAGGAGGAAAAAGGTGAGAAGCTGAAAGCAAACAGGCGCTGGCTGGGCTGTTTGTTTTGAGTGACGGATAGAAGGGGATAATTGCACGCTCTGTGCAGCTGTCTGACCTGCTTGGCAGCCGAAGACGAGATGTGTCCTGTTTCCTGGAGCTCCAGCAGCTCAGCCAGGGCAGAGGGAGAGATGGGGCTGTAATCAGATGAAGAGGGGATTTAATTACAGTTTAATAGATGTAATGAAGAATCACGGATATAAATGGAGGGGAGAAGGAGAGGGAACAAGTGGGAGTGTCAGGCTGAAAGAGACTATCAGTGTATGAAAACTGACTGTGATATCTCTGTCTCTCTGTCTTCTTGTTTATTCCCGGGGCTAGCCGACGCACAGAATAAAAAAGCCTGTCAGAATATATTAAACAGAGACAGTTTCATTCACTGTACTGCAGGCCAGACAGCCAGTCTCAGCTAAATCTCAAACCAAACATGGTCCAGTTATCCAAAGAAAACACATGAAAAGTATCCATCTTTACAAACCAGGTTTGTCTTATTTATTGATGAGACAAATAAAGCTGTGATCCAAACTAGAGGTTCTTAAAAATTCCCATTGATTTTGCCGCGAAAGAGGTCTACAAAAACACATAGTAGCCACTGACAAAGAGACCATCATGAAATCCTTTGGTCTGTTTTTTCATGTGAGACACAAGTGCACATGTGTCATCATCAGGCCACCATCCTCTCACAAATTAGCTCCTGGACTGTTGGAGTTTCCTCTCAGAGGCAGCAGACCCAGCACTCTGTTCTGAGAGGTCACCCCATAAGAGTGACTTATGGTGTGCTCAGTGAAGCACTTCCACCAGCGGATATGTCTGGAGTGTCACCTCTCTGACTACTTCACTACTCCAGTTCCCAAGGTCTTACTGAATCATGATGCTCAGGATGAAGACGAGGCTTGGACACATTATAGATGATCGGCTGGGTAAGAAGATTGATATTAACAGTGATAATACAGTTAACATGCATCCATCAGAAAAGCCACCAAAACCCTTTATTCTGATAGTTCCCTGTGTCTAAAAAAGTCTGAGTACTGCTGTGGCTTCTCCGTCTGCAGCTTTTGACAGTCCTGCCGGCCACTTTTTGTTTTTCTGTAACTCTTCCTCTTTCAACCAAAGCTAATGCAGCATCCTGCATAAATCAGCTACTGTGTGGTTTACTCAAAAACATAAATGCTTTAAAACACTCTGGAAGTGGAAGATAAAGTAAAGCTCACAGCATCTGCTCTGACGTCAAAACATCAATGGTTTCAACCTAATTAACTCAGTAATAACTCTGATAACTGTTCTTAGTTAGAACAAAGTTTTAATAAGTAAAAATGAAGCTCTGGTTAACACAAAATATTCATTTAAATTATCAACTCAGAACAATCACAAAACTGGAGACTGACTCAACATGCAAAAGTGAAGTTTGTAAAGTCTTGATCAGGTGACTGATCTTCAGTCAAAGTTTCAAAAACAGCCTTCTGATGCAAAGAGAGCCAGCTACCAAGTTACTGATAAACTGCCATTTCAAAGAAGCAAAGTTGAAATAAATCTCTGAGCGTCACAGCCTGGAATAAACAGAAGCAGCTGGAGGTAGCTGTTTTTTCACAGCCAGAGGCTGGATAAACATCTCAACGTTTTTTCTGAAGCTCAATTGTGGAAGGTACTATGACGGCTTCTCTTTTTATCAAATTATCAAAAAGACTTTCATTCAATTTCAAGGAAAAACATGTTCCAGCCAACAGGCCTTCTGCAGGGAGGGATCAAAAATAACTTTTTTTTTCCACCAAAAAAGCTCCTCTAATTGGATTTGTCAAAACAGGCTTTTACTCTGAAGGACTGTCAGACTGTTGCAGAGCTTCTCACCAACATACATGAGGAATTAGGAAATATGAGGAGATTAATGAACTCACATAAGGTATTTCTGTACAGTGAGCAACAGTTTAATCTGTGACTGTTACCGCTAAGAATGCAATAATCCTCAGTGTCAATCAAACCAAACATCACCATCAAAATTGTTCACTGGTATTTGATCCATCTTAGTCGGACATGCTGTCAGTCCTCAACGTGGCAATAAAAACATTATTGTGAGTATTTTACAGAGCAGGTAGGAGTGTTTTATTTCACTCAAGCCTTTAGGGGGAACAGTGAGGGAACAGTTCAGCGAGTTTTTATTGATCTCACCGGTATCTTTAACTGAGTCCAAAACATGTAAAGATTTCTTAAAATCAAGGGTGGAAAGTTTAAAGTCAGATGTATGGTTGTCTGAAGATTTTTGCTGCCGTGCAACTTGCTGTGATTAAAGACAAAGACAATCTTTTTATTTGATTTAAGCTCAGATCGAGGCCAGTCTGTGTATACCAGGAAAAAACAACAACCCCACAAGGCCACATTCATAAAAGTCAGGAGACAACTTCACTGTGCCCTCATTGTCACTGAGAAAGGAGCGTGTCAACAGCTATGAGAGCGCTGAATTCCCCCTACAGAAGCTGACTCATATTAGCTGCTCCATTCATTCACAAACAAGCGCTCACTGGCTGTCTATCACAGCCTAATAATCATCAGTATAAGGGCCTGTGTCCACAAACAACTTTGCAGCACTTCTCAATACAGAGGTTGAACTCTGGACTTTATATGAACTTTTTTATTTTTGGTGCAAAATATACTGCGAAAAATCAGCCTATGTCGACAGTGCATTGGACAGTTGATGCCCAAGTGTGTGGTTTAGTGCAGAAAATAAGTGCTGCCAGCTTAAGAATATAATTAATTGATAAAGAAAGATCCAGAGGACACAGGCCCTCATCGTGCCAAATTTTGCCTCTTGTTTCTCCATAGACTGTGGGCTCGTCGGTGTCAGGCATAGACAGTTTACTTCTTGTCCTAGATATCTCATTTAGATAATATGAAGTTTTTTTCCCCACTATCACAGCACTGCTGTGAGAAAATGCAGGGAAGACATGATGCCATATGTAGTAAGTGTCAGGATAACAAGAGCTCTTGACAAGAGTTTGTAAATTTTAGTGACAACATGAATTATCACTGACTTTATGGGCAGCTCTTGTTAGCCAAGCTCCTGCAGTTTATGTGCATGCTATGCCCTGCTGTCCTGCTCTTTTGGCCACTGAGTGAATTTAGTCAGTATCAGTCTGACTCCATCTTCACTCAGTCCTACATGCCAATGCTGTAAGCTGCCACCAGACCATCTTCTTATCCAAACTGCTCCATGTGTTGAATGTTTTTGGCCTTCTTTTATTTACTGAGGATTGAATGATCATGTGGTGTTAATCCATTTGGGATGACATCTCCTACTTGCTGTATATGGTTGCTGTTGTTCTTGTGGATTTGTACCATATTTACACAGAAGATAACACAAAATGTGTGTGTGTGTGGTTATTTATAGTTCCAGTTGGAAATAAGGAGGAACATCCACCAAACATCGGACGTCGAAGAGACGTGCAGATCAAGTCAGTATTGGGTCGGTCCGTCAAAGACCACATCTAGACGTCAGTAGGACGTGCAAAATAGGTTAGAAATTTCGACGTCCATATTGGACCTTTTTTGGACGTCACTCTGATGTTTAGAATTTCGACGTCATCTGAAGACCAAATCTAGATGCCGGCACAATGTACAAAATGGATCCAAGATTTAGACGTTATTATTGGACCTCTTCAAGACGTTGAAATGACGTCCAAATTTGTACCTTTTTTTTGTCGAAAAAATACGTTAAATAAATGTCATTTCAACGTTGCATTGCGCAGTGAGCAAGTATCCCAACTATGGTGACCGTCATCAATTAGCTTTGTAATGCAGAGGATATTGTCATTAAGACTACTTCCATGTTTTCGCAGTCTATGCTCTCAACACCCGTTATTTTGGAGGCCATAGAGATAGATTGGACTTTTTTTTTTATTTCAGGATGCTTTCTTAGACAGTGTAGTCTTTGGGCTGAAAAAGTTTCCATTATTTGATAAAAATTGCCAAAAGTTTGAGAAATCCAGAGAGAAATATCTCACGACCCGCTGACTCCCCAGCAGAAAGCAGCTACAGTTACACCTTCTCCCCATGGAAACCTCTATCTGTGCATGTTCTTTTTTTTCCTCCTCCCACAACTCAAATCACCTCTCAGATAAAACATTCAAAAGGAACAAAGAGAGCGAGGCACAGAGGGGTCTTGTTCTGGGGCGCTGACATCTAAAGACCTGAACGTTTGCAGCAGAATAGCGCTGCATTCGGGAGCTGTGTTGGCGTTGTGCGAATGCTGTAGAACTGACCTGGATGGTTGTGCATGCATGCGTGTGTGTGTGTGTGTGTGTGTGTGTGAGTGAGTCTCACCTCTGGCTCACGCTCATATCTTGTTGTTTGAGGTGACCCAGGAGCTCATTTGTCACCCAGCCAATCACCTTCCTGGGCTCCTTCTTTGTCGCCCTCAGCACTGCCTCAAAGTGCTCCACCAACCCGTCCTCATTCTGCAACAGACCACCATAAAGTTCTTTGTATGCATATTATCTAATTAGGATAAATCAGCTCAGTAGACTACAGCAGTACACAACTGCCCACTGAACTGTATCCAGACTCTATCGTCCAAGTGGAGCTCAGAGTGGATCAGATTGCAATTAAAAAGAAAAACATGCAAAAAGCAGACCCAGTAAGGGCATCAACTCCTCTCATTTTATTATTTTTTTTGCCCTTCACACTCTCATAAACTCACCACCAGAGTAAAGCTATGCTCCGGCAGGATGTTGTAAGTCTGCACCAGCCTGTCTCTTTTGACACTGGGTAGCTCTGGCAGCCCTTCTCTTATCTTCTGCACCACCACCGCCTGGCTCGCATCAACGCCAGCGGGCAGCGATGTGTTATCCTCGTAAACAATCAGAGGGGGCAGGTTGGGCTCTGGCATAAATCTGGAGTGCAGGAAAGGAAAAAAAAAAAGGGGAGAGAGGGTGGATGCTTTATCAGCAGTGCTGATAATCTCAGAGGAGAGGTGGTCGGTTTTTTGTTAGGCACTAATAGTCCTCTTATCATTCGGCTCTATCATCCTTAAACCTGTCGATCAATCTCTCCTCCCCCTACGCTAAACGCACACATGCACTAACTCAGGTTCAAACCAGAGAGATGTTTGTTTACTTCAATCCATTTAAGCCTCCACTGGGAGCAGAGCATCCACTTAAGAGAGAATTTGATGTCAAAATTAAAGTTTCCTTAACAATACAAGCATAAATAAAAAGAGAGATGACAAATGAGAACTCACCTGTAGTCTTGAAGACCCTCTTTGTCCCTCATAGGAATGGTTTCTCTGGGGATACAGATTCACATGTAAAAAAGGATTTCCATTTATTTATAAGCAGGGTTGTAACAATTCAACATTTTTGGACTGAAACCAGTAAAACAGTGCTGTGAATCTCTGTAAACAGTCCACAGATCAAGACTAAAAGAAAATATAAAGCCCTGATGACATCCCTGTCCCTCCCTTTTGCCAACTAACATAAATATAAAATGTGTGTCCTTCCTTGATCTTAAATTGACCTAACAAACATTGGTTTTTGCTAAACTGTTAATGAGGAGAGCAGTGGAGTGACTGTGACAGAGGGCAGAGCGACAACACACATAGCAGGCGTTGAGAAACATGACCGCAGCTGCAAGAAAAAACAAATCAAGCATGTTCCTGAACATTTGGACACACATATAGTACTGTAAAGTATCAAAAATTTCGTAAGTGGGTCTAAGTTCGCAAAATATCCTACTTTTAGTATCCTACTAAGGATTTTTTGGTCTAATAGACGTCTAAATGTAGCCTTCACGACTGGTCTAAAATCAGGCTACCACAGGTCTAAAAATGAAAAGTTTTTTTAGGGGTCTAAATTTAGACCAAGTTCAGACTAGCCAGCTAACACAGCTATATCTATACTACACTGTATATTGCTCAACACCTTTCATGATTATTTTGGTTAAGTACTTGGAGTTCAGTTATGCAACTCACAGCTGCTGGGTTCAAGTGCAACGTCTAAATTCCATCTAAAAATACACAGAATCTAGACAGTAAGGATCTTGAATAAAAATATATACTAGATGTTCATTTTGGGTTACATTTAATGGGACAGCTAGAGAGTGATGAGAAATGGTGGGAGGAGAGGGTGATAGACATACACCAAAGGATGTCTGAGAGCTGAAGACTGTAGCGCCTGCTCACCCAACAAATCTAAGCTGGCGCCTCTAAAATGCATTAAAGGATTTACAGCAAAGGTTCCACAGCATTTTAACACATTAATCAAAATGATAATCAACAGATAATCAAGCAGCAGTAAATCTAAGAATCATGTAAAAGTGGAGTTCATTTTTTAAGCAAAAATACCTCAAATTGGTTGTTTCCTGCAGTCGTAGACACAATCTCTTTGGATTTTGGCAAGACGAAACAAGGTTTTTTTTATCCTATTAGCTCCCATTGTGGAAAACTGCAATATGTATAAACCATTTTTTTTTTCCTGAGAAATTATACGCCAAATTGTTTGTCTCTATAATCATCAGCAAATCAACCAGTGACTAGAACCCTCTAGTCAGTCAAATCTTCAAGTTGTATCACAGCTGATCACAAAAAAATGGATAAATATATAAACAAGTATCATCAAATAATTGGCCAGTCTCTCAGGGGTGAGGAAAAATCAGCCAATCATCTGCTTCATCGTGCATCCTGAACATGCACGGCCACATGAGAAGGAGGTAGAGCACCAGAGGATGATCAAGGCCTCAGCTGTGTGCGAGCTGGCTCATTCTAAGAGCTCATAAAACCTGTGAGTAACACACCGCTCACAGATAACACAGGGTGACAGCAGCATCCAAATGGCTCTATTCATCATGATTACTATGATGGTGCCTCCTCAGCAGAGCTCGAGACTAATGAAGCAGGCACAGATCCCAGGCAGAGGGGGTTGTAGCAGCTGAAGTCTGGCATCATGTTGTGGCCCTGCTCTGTCATCCTCTTACCCTGATTTGGAGTCATATGCCCGGGTCTCATTTTGCACCGTCCCGCCTCTCTGCAGGACATCGATCTGTCTCTGGATCTCGAAGTCTGGTGGTGTAAAAAAAATCAAACAAGCACAAACACAGACAGTTTATTCAATAACTCCAGTACACACAAATATAATTGTGTGAGGTAAATGCCAAACATCTGCCGGGATGCACTGGCAGTCATCAAGTCTGTGACTGCTGACACATTATAACTGTGACAAATGATGTTTTTCTACATGACTTTTAAATACCGATTCAGCAGCAGTAAATGTTTAACAACTTTATTGATAAATAATTTAAGCACAGTGCCGTGGTATGTCAAGCCAGGCCTTAAATCCTGCATGTAACAGGCTGTACTTTTCCTTGATCTGCTATTTAAGAGGAGCTCAATCCACAGTCAGTGAAAGCTGAGTCGAGAGAAACTGTATATTTTTGTTTTAAGTGAGAGGCCGATTCAGCACCACATGCTCAGATCACTACTTGTTTGTGATAAGTTGTCAGTCCTGCACTTATGCTCCACAAGTTTTGTCAACTTATATCAAACTTCCTTTCTCTTCTACAGAAAACAAATGAGAGCTCAGGGCAGTGATGCTTAAACTGGTGGGCGTGCCTGGAGGTACGGCAAAAGGGGTGCCGCGAGACTGTATGAAACACTGCACAGAGTTCACACTGCTAGCTAAGTATGGCAAAGTTTGTAAAAAGGACTGCCAGGTACACCTAAGGCTGACAATAAACCCCGACCGAATGACAAGACTGAAACAAAAACACAACATATCATGACGAGTCATATTTCCCCCTCATTTTCTTCTTCACCAACACATACTTTAAAGCAGCGGTTCTCAAGTCCAGTCCTCGAGGCCCACTGTCCTGCATGTTTTGGATGTTTCCCTGCTCCAACACACCTGATTCAAATGATCAGCTCGTTATTAAGCCATTACAGATCTTGATAACGAGCTGATCATTTGAATCAGGTGTGTTGGAGCAGGGAAACATCCAAAACATGCAGGACAGGGGGGGCTCGAGGACTGGACTTGAGAACCACTGCTTTAAAGTTTAGCATTTGCATATTGCAGAGTAACTTGTTGCTATTTTTTTTTTTTAGTTGCTTTTGGAATTAAATTTTAAATAATTTCTTAGGATGCAGGAATTTGGTAGCAGTAAAGAATATTTTCACCTACCAAAATAGGGTCCTACTGAATTGGAAAGGGAGTCTGAGAGTAAGACGAATATTGCTTTTATTGCTTTTTATAAGTAGTGCAACACTGCATTTGGTTACTCGAAATAGAGTAACCAAATGCAGATGTGATATTCAAATATACACCTAAAGATTATATTTATCACATTTATTCTGCATTTTAATGTTGTAAGTGGTTATGACTGTGCTAAAAGCTCCTGTGAGATTTTCACTGATTTACAAACAGACTAAAATCGACACTGAAGCCTCTTTTTGACCCAAAATAGCAAAGCAGACCATCAGCAACAAGACTCACCATTCAGTGATTTTCTATTCCTGTAACTGCTGCCATGGGGCAACAAGAGTGAGGTGTGAATTTGAAATAGAAAGAGCCTTTGTCCACATTTTCACAGCAAATATTCATATGAATGATAAATGTGACTTTTAAAAAGAAACAAGATAAGATTTTCTTTAATAAAAAAATACTCTTACATTAAAAATTCTCTGTTATATTGATTATAACAAGTAACAAAAACGGCTGAAAAATGAGATATATAGTGTATTTAGCCTCAGAGTCACCAGTACATGGATTTTGATAGAAAACTTTGGAAGTACTATGCTTGAGAAAATAAACTGTCATTAATTAGGTTCAAGAATTCACTATTACTTATATTTTACTTCCAGTTTGTGCAGTAACACACTCCTAACTTCAAACACACAGTCCAAGTTTCAGATGATTCAGCCAGCTGAGATTTCTTCAGAAGTATTTGATTCATCCTGTAATCCTCCCTGAAAGTAAAACTCATTGTCTTCGATGCTTACCTATAGCCTTGGCCAGGTATCGTACACTGTTTATGTTCTTCACCTCGGCCCTGACCCCCAAAGGCTCGCCTGGTTTGTGGACAGACACATTGGCGTCCACTCTCAGCTGTCCCTCTGTAGGCGAAGGTGATAAAAAATACATGCTTGGTGAGAAATCTCCTCCATACTACAGGGGTACAGCAGCTCAGCTCAGGTATGAAAATAAAATCAGGCAGGCAAAGAGACAATGACAGTGAGTGATATCCTTACCTGACATGTTGCCTTGACAGGTGCCCAGGGCCTGCAGGATGAGCTGAAGCTCCCTGACAGCTGCAGCAGCCTCCTCTCCACAGCTCATGTCTGGCTCCATCACCAGCTCCATTAGGCCTACACCTGAAGCATGTGGAGACAGCTGCGTTGAACATCTCAGGGGTATCTATTCCATGGAATTTTGCAGCAAAGCTCAAGAGAAATGACCCGTATAAATATAAAGCGTATGTCTGTCTGAACATTTGCTTTCTTGTAAAAGAGAAGCTGGTCCACATTCATTTCTATAATTTCTATCAACAAAAGTTTAAAAAGGGAATAAAATGTATTAATACTTTTGTCAAAAGGTTTTGGTTATCACTTATTAACAGCTACTTAAGATAAAAAAGTAAAAAAGAAAGGACTTTTCCGTATTTGTTGACTGTATTTATGAAATATTTAAGCAGCAGAAAACAGAGCATTTGTTCAGCTGCACAGTTTTTTCAGTCTTTGGCTACAGAAACACATTTAAAAATCAATTCAATGTTTCTTCCTACTGCATATGAGAGAAAAAAAAGTTATTAAAGCTACTGGAAACCCTCTGACCTCTCCGACAATTGTAAGCCACACACTCGTGCATGCTCTCCACACTACCTGCTCTGTTGAGGTCAATTAAAGTCTGACTGTGGAGGTCATCATGCAGACTCTTGCCGCTGTCCTGCTCCAGCTGAATCTGTTTGATGGTGACATTTTTCCTGATCACCTGGTTTCTCTTTTTCCCTCCGAGCAGGCTGTAAGTCAGCGTGCCGTCGACTGCGATGGGCTGCCGTTGCTGAGTGATCTGGTATCCGGCCTGGATTTAATACAAAAAGTACATCACCCTGATATGAGGAAACTCGGTGCTATAAAACTCTTGGCAGTAAGGCTGAGTGCTTAATAGAGGACATAATGCTGCACCAGTATGAATAATGAAAATTCCAACAATGTACCAATCAGAAATAACTGCACAATGCCATGCTTGACGCTTGTATAAAAGACGGCCCTTTTTAGATGGTATTTACTTTGAAATGGACTGAGCAATTATGATCCAAAATCCAGATGAAGATAAACGACCACAATGCAGATATTATTAGACGCAATTCTAGCGAGTTTAAGTGTGTGTCCCACAGACTCTATGAATAATAATGAACAGCATAACTGCAGCATGAAAGGAAAGCCAAGACAGTTAGAGCTCCCCCTCCTGACTGGCTGCAATAAAACCTGCCTCCCCCATGTTAACAGATGGGACATGGGACAAACTATAAAATCAAACACTTTGTTTTTGTCATTAACTTCAGTTCTTCCTATGGCACATTATTGTAGTACTTAAAATAAGCATGTGGTAATAACTACTTGCTTCATAGTAAGAGGTGGAAGGGGTTCTTTAAGGCTGCCATCCCCTATATAAAAGTGGGAGGATGAAGAAGCAGCAGCAGTCTCAGAAAAAGAATACTCAGAATCCAGCTTGCCAGCTAGCCTTACCCCTATGTATAGCAATTTATGTTAGAGAAAATGATGGATGGGAATAAGGTACTCTACTCTTCTACTAAAAAAAGTTTCCTCACCAGTTCAGAGGTTGTTTTGAATTTTGTAAAAAAGAGGGGATGTTTGTGAAAAACATGTAACGCAGAGTCACACGCAGAAGAGGACAGTGAGTTGTAGTTTAATTTGAAGTGTCTTTCATGGGCTTGGTGACACAGATAAAACATATTTCATTAGAAAAGGATGATCAATCAATCAATCAATCAATCAATCAAACATTATTTATTTTCATGTTTAGTGTCAATTCATGGAAAAACATCAATTGCATTTATTAGTTAAAATTTTAAGTCATGTGTTTCACCGCCCTTGTCTTGCTCTTTCTAATTTCAATAATAGTGTCTTTTCTCCAAGTTTTTTTTTTTATCAATATCACAAAAAATGTTATAGCAACATGACTGGCATCTCTGTTGAGTATGATGCTCTTGCAGTGCTGTTTTATCTTCACTTCTGTGAAACGGGATAGTAAAAGCAAGTTTTCCATCTTAATATGCATCAAAATTTGTTAATAGGTTTTAGAAAAGAACATGTAGAATAGTTTTTTTTCCGAAAATTCCTCTATTTGTCTGGTTTATTTAAGTATCTGTATTGAATTTTCCCTCATTTTGTGTAACCAAAAGATTCTTTTCTTTACAGAGTAGATAAAAAACATTGGAGGTTATGGATGTAAAACATGTGTTCTCAGAGTTTTCAATTCAGACTCCAACATTTCAGTGACATACCAGTGATGAATATTCTACAGTCAGTGTCATGAGTCTATGTAAAGGTCAGGGAGGAAGCATCAATTAAGCACGGTGCTTCCTGATTGGCTGCGCCGTAGTTGTCATGCAGCAGGAATGCTGCCATTTCACTCCAGGTTTCTCCTCACTTAACCGTAAGAATAAATATTTCACTTGCTCCTCTTCTCCTAAAAGAATCTGCAGCCCCAAGTTTTAATTCCACACGTTACTATGGCAACCACATCACAGGAACTACGCATTTATCATACTTATGCTAAAGAGAGTGTGGGAGAAGGGAGTCGCTGGCTTTATATGCAATGTGTCTGATCTACACAATCAATCTCCTCAGCACTCCCTCCTCTAACAGAGGAAAAATCAGACTATTGGGGGTTTTCGTTTTTCAATTTCTTTTCTTTATGGTAGATGTCATCTTTAAATCTGCTGGATTTTGTGAGAGCTGTAGCAGCTTCTTGGAAATCCTGTGTTTCTTACTTACAGCTCCTTCCTTTTTCTGAGTTTTTTCTCAGTGGTTGTCAATATTGCTTCAGCAAGATAAAGCTGCAGCAACATTGTACAGAGTGAAAGGGACGATCATTTGCATTTCCTTATAAGAAATCACCCAAAGTCTGCAATATTCCAGGGTGAGGCAAATGTAATGTTAATAAGATCTGGGTTGTCACATTAAGTTCCCCAGATAACACCCTGACAGCAGATTGAGCAGCCCTAATGAGGAGCCGTATCCAAAGTTACCGATGCATGCCAGCACACGTACTGTACTTACAGGATTTAACACACACATACACAAACTCATTTTCACACTGTGAGCTGCTGAGTCATTTTCTGACTCATTTCAAAGTCTCTACACAAACCAGCCTCCGTCGGTCACCTCATTACTTGCTCCTGCCCACTGATCTTCTTTGCAGCTTCCCACACAGGTCGCAAAACCATCCATTCAAACTCTCATTAACACATGTCATAGCTTCCCCAGCCAAAGTCACGTCTGTTTATTTGTACACTTAATATCTCAAGGAAATTCCAATTATTTGCTTTAGCTGGTCTGTTAGTGTAGAGCTGCTGAGGCATGTTATTAAAAGCCGTTAAAAACTTTATGTATGTGTCTCCATTGAAAGAGGGAATGCTGTTTGGGTGGGAGCATAAATCATTTAATGAGCGACCGTGGTGTTTTACAAAATGCAATCAGGGAGTTCGAGTGGAACATATCAATAATGTACAATGCAATTTACAAATGTATTTTTCAAGGGCAGGATGATTTCTGCCTCACATCTGCGGCTGGTTTGAATATTACAAGCATGGATTACACTCAAAGTTTGAGTCGACTGTGAAAAATGTTCCATCATCTGCGCGATTTAAGCCACTTTGACTTCATCTGATCAAGCAGTTTGATGCACAACACACAAGGGGCAGCTCTCTGTTCCTGAGCAGCTGATGAAAGTAATCCAGAGTAAACGTTTATCAGCCGTGCAACAGCAGGTATTTTGCACAGGGACACACGGTCAATTTCAAACTCAAATAAAAGTTCAGACTCAACCTGCTGGCATGAGATGTTGGTAAACCTTTGAGAAAAATAAAAAGTGTAATCCGGTATTATCCCCCCTGCTGTGTGTCAACTGCTGAGATTTATTCCAAGGGAGGTGATGCAATCTTGGGTAAACACACAATAGAGCAAGAGGAACCAAAAGGTAATCCCTGCACTTCTGGAGGGGATTGTTGCAGGAATTCCAAGAGACACGGACCTCCTGGGGTGAGATAATGTATCCTTACCATGGTGATTAAAGTGTGTGCTGCTGCAACTTTGTGATAACCACTAAGTCTGGGAAATAATACACGGGGAAAACAACATTTAATATAATCTATAGGTAATTCCACTGCAGTTATCAATGACATCTTGTTGCAAGGCGGCTCTGATGTCAGGGCAGAAACTAATGAGAAATATCAAAAAAGGGGTTATATACAGTGATATAAACGGGGCCATAAAAAAACCTGCTTAAGCTCTTCTTCTCTATATTCCCAGCTACTTCTTCATAAGGGTGCTCTCTTTTTAGCCCACCTTTTGTGCGGTTTCTAAAATTCTACTAAAGGAAGAGAAAATCTATTACCTTGCCTGAAGTTGTTCCCACAAAGAGACAGATTTTGAAAATTACAAATGCAAAATTCAACGAAACCTTTTTTTTCACTGTGCATTTCTGAACACATGAGAGGAGGTCTCTGTGGAGTTTTTGTGACATTTTGTCTTCTGCTTCTAACCCTCAAAATGTCACTCATAATGGCAGTAAAATTACCCAAAGGCTCTGAGCAGCGGTGAAACCTGTCCATCAAAGCAGTCCATTACAGAGAACAAAGTGAACATCACTTGGGTAAGCCTGTTAAATGAAAACATTTGTATTACAGAGAATTTTTGTAGGATTACCAAGACCTCTACCTTACCAGACAGCTATTAAGCCACTGTGACATGATGTTTACCAGAAATATACCAACTGTGCAGTCCTTTCATGACCACTGGACTGAATGTTTGCAAACACATCTCTCCTGCTTCTCCTACTTAGGATGATTTGAGCACAGCGATTAGAGAAATTTAATGCCACAATACTAGTTCTGGCCTCTAGGGGGCATTTGAATAGACGATACAATAAATATTTTAGTATGTAAATTGATGTAGTGCAATTTTTAAAGCAAACATTGCTAATTTAAGCATATGACAGTTACAGAGCAGCATCAACTTTTATGTGGGGAATGTGAAGCCAACATTAACTGTCTTAAAATTTCTTATGTCCTGTTTACTGTTTGTCATGTTTGGTGACTTTAAAGTTTTTTAAGCCCTTCATAAAACCACGTCCTGTTTGACGGTGAACGCGATGAGGAATTCAGTGAACCAGAGAGTATTTGGGAGTGGTTCAGTTAAAGCAGCAACTTCCTATTACTGGTAAGTGGCATGATTTTTGAAAAATACATGGATGTGTTCAGGTTGGGAAATGATGCAGTAATTTACTCTAATGTTATTATTAGGGGTGGGAGAAAAATTTGATTCACACAAGTGTCGCATTTTTTTGTTTTATAATTTTTTGAGCGTTTTTTTGATCAAAAATCGTTTTTTTTAAATGTATTTAAGAATAAATCTTAAAAACTGACTTACATGCGTTGTGTATTTTTTGGGGAAATATGATTCCTGAAATAGTCAGTAGACAATCATAATCATTCAACTGTTTCACTGGGGTTAAAAATGCAGATTAAAAATCGAGAAAATCGACAATAGTCTTGAATCGCAATTTAAATCCAAATCCAAAAATATTATATAAGAATCAAATCGGAGGAAAAGCATATCGTCCTAGCCCTAGTTATTATCATATCAGGCGGTAACAATTGAACTTTCTTCAACCACAAAATTGTCCAGAAAACATCACCGAAGGTTTATTGTGACTGTAATAATTATCTGAATTATGGGAAGAAAAAGAAATCTCATCTCAGTACAGTGAATGAAATGATCCTGATAATGCTCAGGATCGAGGTGTAGTCGGAAATGAGTTGTTAAGTGAAAAAAAACAAACACTGGTCATTCCCTTTAACAGCTTTCTGTGTTATTTGTCCGTATGTGTAACAAATAACATTTCTGCTGCTTCAGCGAGAGTTGTTCACAATTTCAATTAGAGCTGATGGTGGGGAGAGTTCACTGGGAGTTTTGTGAAGGCAGCTTACATGAGAGAAAAAGCAATGATGCAGCATGATGTGCAGGACAATAGTGTCTCTACTCTGTTGTTTGTTAAACGAAGTACCCCCAGTGGTGCCTCTGCTGTCATCCCACCACCTATTAAACTCTAGTTCGTACACAGACAGTGAGAAAAGGGAGTGAAAAACTCACAGGAAGGTCAGCGTAGAAGTAGTGTTTCCTGTCAAAAAGTGACTTCTTGTTAATGGTGCAGTTCAGAGCCAGTCCTGTCATCACTGCTGCTTCCACACATCGTTTGTTCAGGACCTGGGGACATACAGGAGCATTACCAGATGACCTGACATGAAAGCAATCTAAAAGGCAACAGGTTAACTTTGTTTGAAACATGGTAGACAACACTTACGGGTAATGTGCCAGGTAAGGATGCATCAAAGGATGACACCAGGGAGTTTGGAGGTGCTGAGAAGCAAACCGCTGAGCCGGAGAATAGCTTGGTGTTGGAGTTAATCTGGGCATGGATTTCCAGGCCCACAACTCCGACCAGCTGCTGGGGTGCACTGATGCGGGGAGGAGCAAGATAAGCCAGAAAATCAGCGAGAAAAGTAGCAGTGTACCATGAAAAAGGAAAGTACTTGTTTCTGTCTGGCTGACTACACATTATGTCTAAGCAGGCGATGAGCATCTATTGTGTTGGCACAGGAAAAAATGATAGAAACAAAGTAATAAAAAGAGCCATGAGTCCACAATCTAGTGCACACCATGGTACCACAAAGCCATGCACCCCTCCCAGCTGTATGGTTAAATCAATTTGTATTATTCTACAGACCCGTTAACTACTTCACGACATCTTCTCTCTCTTTTGTTGGATTAACGTCATCTAACAGTGTGGTAATTTCTTCTAGATTTAATTTCATGCTTGACTTCAGGTTAACTCAGGGTAACTCCAAGAATATTACTCATAAAAACAGTTTACTTTGGATGACGCTCTGCTTAGAGAAATGAGAAATGTAGGTGTCGAGGAAAGAAGCTGTTTATTAGACCAACATTGGTAATATTGTGTCAAGCATGGCCTCTTTAACCATTATGGAAACACCCCTCCTACCCTCTGTGGAAATTTACAATACGCAATGTAATGGAATAAAATTATTGAAGCCTATGAATAATTAACTCACAAGCACTGTCCTAAAACTAGATACTGACCATAAAACCTCTTCAACAACAGGGAACTGTTTGGTAGTTTATTTTGTGCTTAAGTCACACATTTCTCATGCCTGAATCGATTCAAATGCAAAACTAAAAAAGAAGAAGAAAAAATATTCATACTGACAGTCTTAACCTCTCAGCCCAGTGGTTAAATCTGAACTTGACACATGGAATACATCAACAGTGATTGATATACGATCCCATCTCCAGAATAACCTGAACGCTGAGGGTAAATGTTGATAAAGACAAAACATGGTGGTGTTGAAATCATTTAAATAATATGTTCGATTGCATTTAACACATTGGAAAAGGCATCACAGAAGCTAAAAATTCAAGGATTTAGAGCGACAGACTGTGCACTAAAAAAATAGACCTTACAAATTTTGGTGAGAAGATGCCAAACTACATTTTCTTTTTGCATGTATTACAGCAGTATGGCACTGCAGTAGAAGATTTCAGGTGCTTAAGTGGTCTGCCTGCAGTATCACCTCAATATGATATGGGAGACCCTTTAGTGAGAAACTGAATTTGTAGGCCAGGCAAGAATGTGTCAAAATGTTCTTTTAGAATTTCAGAAATTGGTTTCCTCAGTCCTGAAGGTTACACAGTGTTCTTAAAAGAAAAGGAAATGTAACTCAATGATGAGCATGCCCCTCCCTAAAATGTTGAATGTGTCGCTGGCATCAATTAAAAAAATAAGCAATGTATTATAAATAATTGATATTTTTTACTCTTCACAGTTGGTGTGTTGTTTTTTGCACTATTTGGGAATTATTATAGGTTTAAAATGAATATGCAAACTATTATTTTCAATAGGTCAACCTTTTACACGGTGTCATAACTCATCGATTCGTAGGTGTACATATAAGCTGTATAAAACTTATGGTATGACAGAAAGAAAAAAAAAACTATGGATGACTGTAGATGTCAGAAAAGTAAGAACTTAGCAAGATAAGGGATTCATCAGGTTGGGAGCTGTCACACAAAATGAGGCAGGGTTACATAAAATTAGTGCTTGTTTACTTTGCTGTGGCATAGTGTCTGTTATAAACCTTCTTCACAACTAATTAAAACCAAAGAAAAGAAGAAAATATTTTTGCATATGTGCGCTAACTTTATTACAATGTTACACTTAATTCACAAGGTACCACTTTGAGCTAAAGGGAATCACACTGTGATGGAGAAAACAGACATCCACAAAACTGCTCCAGCTGTGGAAACCATGGCAACAGCACTTCCGCTTTGATGGGCATACGTCTTAACTCAACTGTTTAACCAGAACATATCTTAACTTATAAAGATGTTACGAAATGAGACAAGTTTTGTTTTTATGACAAAAATAAATTACAAAAATAAAATAAAATAAATTATGTCGGGTACTGCTAAATGTCCAAAGTATTTTGCTAAGTAATGATGTGTACCTGCGCCACTACGAGAGGTGAACTGAACGTTCACTACTACCTCATATGCAGGTTTGTTGGAGTGTATCAGGTCAAAGAAGACCTGAAACAAAGATGTCACACCGGCAGCTTTACTTACCTTTGAGCTCTGACCTGCCGCTGACTGTCGCATCTTAAACATGATGTACTTATTCGTCTTATCACACACGACGCCTTTGGATATAATAACGATATTTGTTTTTTCATGTTATGTAGCATCTCACTTGCTGCCGCAGAGCAGGCAGCCATATTGTAAGAGTACAACAATGACGGGAGTTGTAGTTTTTTGGGGGATATTTATCATCCAGTCAATACTACCACTTCCTCAATTAAAACTACAACTCCCAACCTTTCTAAAACTCCGGCTGCCGTCATAGTTCACATCATTTCCGTTTGGACTACTGGCGGGACTTCTTCACATGTTGGTAGCTGGAGAGCTTGTTTACGCTCCTTGAAAGCCTGTTTAACTTATACTGCTGAAAAGAAAAATCCTACAACATGATGGCTTCAAACGGGAAGGAGTCATGTGGAATAAACGGGGACATGTCATCGACGTCTTTTAAAGGCAACGGTGAAGTGTTTGCCAATAAGTCACATTCAGTTCGTGTAAACGGAGCAGCAGCAGCTGCAGACTCGTGTCAGTCAAAGTCCCTGAACGGAGACGTGAAGAAGAGGACTGAAAGGTTCACTTTCAGCGGAGAGCCCACCGTCGAAGATATCAGAAGAATGCAAGCGGAGTTCACAGACGAGCGGGACTGGAACCAGTTTCACCAGCCTCGGAACCTGCTGCTGGCCATGGTGGGAGAGGTGGGTGAGGTGGCGGAGCTCTTCCAATGGCGGGGCGAGGTGACCGAGGGCCTACCGGACTGGACCGAGTCAGAGCGGGAGCACCTGGCACACGAACTGAGCGACGTGATGATCTACCTGGTGGAGCTCGCCGAGAAGTGTCATGTGGATCTTCCCCAAGCTGTGCTCCGTAAAATGGCTCTGAACAGACAGAAATACCCCGCCAGCAAGGTGCACGGATCGGCCAAAAAGTACACCGAGTACAAGGACTGAGTTCGGCGTTTAGACACTGTGGTTTTCCTGGTTGTTCGACATACTGTTTACCTCTTGGTTCAGATTTCTTTGTTTTGGGGTTGATGTGTTTTCTGACTATTTAAAGGCTCTTACCTTCGTGTATTTTATCTGACACACCGGTTAACCTGGTAGCCTGCCAATGAAGAGTCAGTTTTACCAGACAGAGCTCTTGATGAACACTGGTATTGTTTTTATTGTGGGTAACTTTAAAGCTCTTCTTTTAGTCTGATCATTGTACCTGAAGGAACTTGATGCAATACTCTCTGTAGAAAGTATTGTTGTGGTATGTCCCTTTAGGGGTATTTGGAAGAACTTTTTTTTCATATTTTAAGAAGTTTTACCTTCATTATAGTTGAAGAGGATAGTTTGGGAAAGTTGAGTTTTTGCAAAAAAGAATGAATGACCCAAACCATTTGTACAAACAAAAAGTTTGTCATTTTTTATCACTGTTATCATCATTTATCTATTTCCCTGTTAGAATTAGAGATATTCCATTCTGTTTCACATTTTCCCAAAGTAAAAGCTGCTTTAAATCTTTAATGGGTTTCTCTTTTATTTGTTGAGTGAAAATGGTTGTGAAGTGTCCCAAAGATGAACAGAAACCTGGAAAATTAATTTTAATTTAATTATTTGGTTAACAATAGTGATTTTACACCTGACTGAGATTTAAAGTACAATAACCCAAAAGTAATTTGTGGTTTTATAGGTAATAAAATCAAATTACTTTTAAAGCTCTTCAAAGATGTTTTAAATAATTTTCAGTCATTGTAGGCTTGAAAAGACACTTTCATTACAATGCATGCAAAGAGAAAAGGGCTGATAAAAACATAAGAAAAATTCTCTCACAATACCAATCTAATATTCATATGGCAACAATGAACTAGTCTCTGGAAAAATTGAGGACAAGTGCCATAAAAAATGTGTTTTGTGACTTACATGGTGACAAACTATCTCCATTTTGATCAGTATAGCTTAAACAATAGCACTTTTTTTTCTTTTTAGTGGCACTGCTTAATTGAGATGACAGTAAAAATAGGTTTTGCAAAGTAAATGAAATGTTGCAAACATGTTAGAGTTTTGAAGTGCCATTAAACTTGTGACATTTGAAATTACAGAAAGTTTTTTTTTTCAAAACACTTGAAACAACAAAGAAACCATGCATCGAGGTTTTCAAGATTTTTTTTTTTGCACTGTGACACTCATAAGAGTTTGGGATTGATCTGAACAGCACTCCACTTTTAGGAGTACACCTGCTTGACATCCTGAGCCCACCAAAAGGCGATGTAATGATTGACTTGAAGCTGGTAACCATCTTATTTCAATCAGCAGGAGGAGTGAAGGTAAAACGAGGAGGATCTTGAGCCAGCTTGACCAAAATATACCTCCTATCATTCAAATTTTGATCGATCTGTCACCAAAAAAAATGGAAATGCAGATCACACTGGTAAAACGTGGGTGTGTTTATGCTAGTGCGTGTGTGTATGTGTACAGAAGAGAGACAGTTCTTAAGAGTAACCCAGCAAAGCAAACTTCTGTCAGATTTTTTCATTTGATATTTTCGGAGACACAAACATTGCCCTTCACTTTACACTCCGGTATTCAGTCAGAAGCACAAGTCATCCACAGGCTAAATAGAGAACAGTCATGCAAGATGCTTCTCTGTGCACTAGTGAAGCCTCACTTCAAAGTAAACAGCTTTCTCTTAAGCAGATATGGCACAGCATGCCACATTCAGAGTGAGCAATTGTCCACTTTATTGGTTTTTGCCCCAAAATGAGGATTACCACCACCACCCCTCTGACTTTGTAATGTGTTAATAGATCACTTTGATTTGAAGCTCTTTGGAATGAGGGATATATGAGGAAAAAACAAGGGCGAGGTTTTTTTGTTTCTCATCTAAAGTTGAAAGATTACCCCAAGAGCAGTCCACTGAAATTTGATTATGAAGATAAATTCTTAGCTCTGATTTAATCCCTTACAAAACTCAGCAATTCTTGCTTTGACAAAAAGTAAAATCATTTTTTAGCAGCAGCTAACCAGAAACACATCTTTCCTTACTCATAGTTTGAGTTTTACATTACACTTCTCTGCAAAATTGTGCACCATAGATTGGTGGTTGTTATTTGGGTAATCTGATGTATATCATATGCAGGGCCGGATTATGGGGGGTCTGGAGTTTGCATTATTCACCCCTTAAACAAAATCCCACTTCTTCTACTACAACTACTGCTAATATCAATTAAACTAGTACTTTGACTTCTACTTCAACTACTATTGCTACTATTTCTACATTCTCTACTGCTACTACTACTTCTTCCACTAGCTCTTCTACTTTGACTTCTCCTATTCTCAAACTATTTCTACTGCTTACATGACTACTAATATCACTACATGACTACTAATATCACTACTATGACTCCTTATCATACTACCACTAGCACAACAAGTTAAACTTATGCCACTTCTCACCTTCCTGCCTTTTAAGGTAATTTACTTCTTCATTTAAACTTTGTGCAATTTCAATTATTTTTCTGGCCTCTTTCAGCAGGAATAAAATTTCAATTCATGGAGCATATTCATACTGTTTGTCCTTCAACCATTTTCACAATTATTCAACTTATATTTCTTTTTCATCCCTTCAACAGCTTTTACATTAATATCTTTCTCCATGTTTTATTAGCAGTTTAGCATTGCTTTTTCAGCTTTCAGCACTCAGCATTTCCACGCATTTTCTGCAAGGAAATGCAATTTTTCTAGTTCCACTTACACTTCCAGATTTGTTCACTGAAAATACAATATCCCTTACAATGGCTTTAAGTCTAGTTAAGGTACACTATTATTACAATACAATACAATACAACACAATGTAAATGTCAATGAGCTTTTTAATAGGGTACTGGATGCTAAATCTGATAGTCTAGGAAAGGTTTTAACGTAAGAATGTTGTTGGGAGTTTCGATAAATGGATTTAACACAAGGCTCGGCATGATTTCAATGTGATTTGACCTAGAACATTGCTCACACCAATGAAATGCTTGGGTTTTGAGCTGGAGTTGAACCAGTGACCTTAGGATCACAGCATTTCATATGAGCATCCCACAGTTCTCCGCTCTAGCAACTGAGCTATCAAGGTGCGCTATAGTCACAACTGCAGAAAACATAGTGGCTGAGATGACACACAATGCCCACACAACTATTCGAAGCACATGGTCAGTGAAAAGACTTGAACAGTGAATACACCAATGAAATTGTGTGCTTCGAGCTGGAGTTGAACCAGAAATGTACGCATCACAGCGTTTTATACGAAGAACTTCTTACAGTCATCTGCGCCACCAACTGAGCTATGAAGGTGCTTATAAACTCAACCGCAGAAAACATAGTGGCTGAGACGACACACTTTGCCAACACAACTATTCGACCCACATGGTCAATGAAAAGACTTCAACAGTGCATACACCAATGAAATTGTGTGCTTCGAGCTGGAGTTGAACCAGAAATGTACGCATCACAGCGTTTTATATGAGGAACTTCTTACAATCCTCTGCTCTACCAACTGAGCTATGAAGCTGCTTATAGTCACAACTGCAGAAAATATAGTGGATGAGATGACACACTTTGCCAACAAAACTATTTGACACACATGGTCAATGAAAAGGGTAAAACAGTGCATACACCAAGGAAATCAGCTGCTTCGAGCTGGAATTGAACCAGGGACCTTTGGATCACAGCGTTTCATACAAGGAACTTCTTACAGTCATCTGCTCTACTAACTGAGCTATGAAGGTGCTTAAAGACTGAACCGCAGAAAATATCGTGGCTGAGAGGACACACTTTGCCAACACAACTATTCGACCCACATGGTCAATGAAAAGACTTGAACAGTGCATACATCAATGAAATCGGGTGCTTGTGTTTTGACATTTTGGAGGAGTTGACAGATAAAGACAAGGCTTGGGGGTATTTCAAATGACAAGGAGGTGCTTGGAGCTGGAGTTGAACCAGCGACCTTAGGATCACAGCGTTTCACACAAGGAGCATCTTACAGTCCACCGCTCTACCAACTGAGCTATCAAGGTGCTCTCTAGTCACAAGTGCAGAAAACATAGTGGCTTCGAAGACACACTATGCCCACAGAACTATTCCAACCCATGGTCAATGAAAAGCCCAGCCCTACCTGCAGAACAAAGCTTTGCAGTTTGTACCCAACAGTCATTGCCAGGGACCCAGAACTGATAATCAGGACTTTTAGGCTGGGTGAATAAAAAATTGATGGTTGAAAATTTAAGAAAGAGTTAACTTGTTTGTGTTTTGACATTTTGGAGGAGTTGACAGATAAAGACAAGGCTTGGGGGTATTTCCAATGACAAGGAGGTGCTTGGAGCTGGAGTTGAACCAGCGGCCTTAGGATCACAGCGTTTCACACAAGGAGCATCTTACAGTCCACCGCTCTACCAACTGAGCTATCAAGGTGCACTCTAATCACAAGTGCAGATAACATAGTGGCTTCGAAGACACACTATGCCCACAGAACTATTCTAACCCATTGTGAATGAAAAGCCCAGCCCTACCTGCAGAACAAAGCTTTGCAGTTTGTACCCAACAGTCATTGCCAGGGACCCAGAACTGATAATCAGGACTTTTAGGCTGGGTGAATAAAAAATTGATGGTTGAAAATTTAAGAAAGTTATCTTGTTTGTGTTTTGACATTTTGGAGGAGTTGACAGATAAAGACAAGGCTTGGGGGTATTTCCAATGACAAGGAGGTGCTTGGAGCTGGAGTTGAACCAGCGACCTTAGGATCACAGGGTTTCACACAAGGAGCATCTTACAGTCCACCGCTCTATCAGCTGAGCTATCAAGGTGCTCTCTAATCACAAGTGCAGAAAACATAGTGGCTTCGAAGACACACTATGCCCACAGAACTATTCCAACCCATGGTCAATGAAAAGCCCAGCCCTACCTGCAGAACAAAGCTTTGCAGTTTGTACCCAACAGTCATTGCCAGGGACCATGAACTGATAATCAGGACTTTTAGGCTGGGTGAATAAAAAATTGATGGTTGAAAATTTAGGAAAGAGTTATCTTGTTTGTGTTTTGACATTTTGGAGGAGTAGACAGATAAAGACAAGGCTTGGGGGTATTTCCAATGAAGTGCTTGGAGCTGGAGTTGAACCAGCGGCCTTAGGATCACAGCGTTTCACACAAGGAGCATCTTACAGTCCACCGCTCTACCAACTGAGCTATCAAGGTGCACTCTAATCACAAGTGTAGATAACATAGTGGCTTCGAAGACACACTATGCCCACAGAACTATTCTAACCCATTGTGAATGAAAAGCCCAGCCCTACCTGCAGAACAAAGCTTTGCAGTTTGTACCCAACAGTCATTGCCAGGGACCCAGAACTGATAATCAGGACTTTTAGGCTGGGTGAATAAAAAATTGATGGTTGAAAATTTAAGAAAGTTATCTTGTTTGTGTTTTGACATTTTGGAGGAGTTGACAGATAAAGACAAGGCTTGGGGGTATTTCCAATGACAAGGAGGTGCTTGGAGCTGGAGTTGAACCAGCGACGTTAGGATGACAGCTTTTCACACAAGGAGCATCATTACAGTCCACCGCTCTACCAACTGAGCTATCAAGGTGCTCTCTAGTCACAAGTGCAGAAAACATAGTGGCTTCGAAGACACACTATGCCCACAGAACTATTCCAACCCATGGTCAATGAAAAGCCCAGCCCTACCTGCAGAACAAAGCTTTGCAGTTTGTACCCAACAGTCATTGCCAGGGACCATGAACTGATAATCAGGACTTTTAGGCTGGGTGAATAAAAAATTGATGGTTGAAAATTTAGGAAAGAGTTATCTTGTTTGTGTTTTGACATTTTGGAGGAGTAGACAGATAAAGACAAGGCTTGGGGGTATTTCCAATGAAGTGCTTGGAGCTGGAGTTGAACCAGCGGCCTTAGGATCACAGCGTTTCACACAAGGAGCATCTTACAGTCCACCGCTCTACCAACTGAGCTATCAAGGTGCTCTCTAGTCACAAGAGCAGAAAACATAGTGGCTTCGAAGACACACTATGCCCACAGAACTATTCCAACCCATGGTCAATGAAAAGCCCAGCCCTACCTGCAGAACAAAGCTTTGCAGTTTGTACCCAACAGTCATTGCCAGGGACCCAGAACTGATAATCAGGACTTTTAGGCTGGGTGAATAAAAAATTGATGGTTGAAAATTTAAGAAAGAGTTATCTTGTTTGTGTTTTGACATTTTGGAGGAGTTGACAGATAAAGACAAGGCTTGGGGGTATTTCCAATGACAAGGAGGTGCTTGGAGCTGGAGTTGAACCAGCGACCTTAGGATCACAGCGTTTCACACAAGGAGCATCTTACAGTCCACCGCTCTACCAACTGAGCTATCAAGGTGCTCTCTAGTCACAGGTGCAGAAAACATAGTGGCTTTGAAGACACACTATGCCCACAGAACTATTCCAACCCATGGTCAATGAAAAGCCCAGCCCTACCTGCAGAACAAAGCTTTGCAGTTTGTACCCAACAGTCATTGCCAGGGACCCAGAACTGATAATCAGGACTTTTAGGCTGGGTGAATAAAAAATTGATGGTTGAAAATTTAAGAAAGAGTTATCTTGTTTGTGTTTTGACATTTTGGAGGAGTTGACAGATAAAGACAAGGCTTGGGGGTATTTCCAATGACAAGGAGGTGCTTGGAGCTGGAGTTGAACCAGCGGCCTTAGGATCACAGCGTTTCACACAAGGAGCATCTTACAGTCCACCGCTCTACCAACTGAGCTATCAAGGTGCTCTCTAGTCACAAGAGCAGAAAACATAGTGGCTTCGAAGACACACTATGCCCACAGAACTATTCCAACCCATGGTCAATGAAAAGCCCAGCCCTACCTGCAGAACAAAGCTTTGCAGTTTGTACCCAACAGTCATTGCCAGGGACCATGAACTGATAATCAGGACTTTTAGGCTGGGTGAATAAAAAATTGATGGTTGAAAATTTAGGAAAGAGTTATCTTGTTTGTGTTTTGACATATTGGAGGAGTAGACAGATAAAGACAAGGCTTGGGGGTATTTCCAATGACAAGGAGGTGCTTGGAGCTGGAGTTGAACCAGCGACCTTAGGATCACAGCGTTTCACACAAGGAGCATCTTACAGTCCACCGCTCTACCAACTGAGCTATCAAGGTGCTCTCTAGTCACAAGTGCAGAAAACATAGTGGCTTCGAAGACACACTATGCCCACAGAACTATTCCAACCCATGGTCAATGAAAAGCCCAGCCCTACCTGCAGAACAAAGCTTTGCAGTTTGTACCCAACAGTCATTGCCAGGGACCCAGAACTGATAATCAGGACTTTTAGGCTGGGTGAATAAAAAATTGATGGTTGAAAATTTAAGAAAGAGTTATCTTGTTTGTGTTTTGACATTTTGGAGGAGTTGACAGATAAAGACAAGGCTTGGGGGTATTTCCAATGACAAGGAGGTGCTTGGAGCTGGAGTTGAACCAGCGACCTTAGGTTCACAGCGTTTCACACAAGGAGCATCTTACAGTCCAAAGCTCTACAAACTGAGCTATCAAGGTGCTCTCTAGTCACAAGTGCAGAAAACATAGTGGCTTCGAAGACACACTATGCCCACAGAACTAATTCCAACCCATGGTCAATGAAAAGCCCAGCCCTACCTGCAGAACAAAGCTTTGCAGTTTGTACCCAACAGTCATTGCCAGGGACCCAGAACTGATAATCAGGACTTTTAGGCTGGGTGAATAAAAAATTGATGGTTGAAAATTTAAGAAAGAGTTATCTTGTTTGTGTTTTGACATTTTGGAGGAGTTGACAGATAAAGACAAGGCTTGGTGGTATTTCCAATGACAAGGAGGTGCTTGGAGCTGGAGTTGAACCAGCGACCTTAGGATCACAGCGTTTCACACAAGGAACATCTTACAGTCCACCGCTCTACCAACTGAGCTATCACGGTGCTCTCTATTCACAAGTGCAGAAAACATAGTGGCTTCGAAGACACACTATGCCCACAGAACTATTCCAACCCATGGTCAATGAAAAGCCCAGCCCTACCTGCAGAACAAAGCTTTGCAGTTTGTACCCAACAGTCATTGCCAGGGACCCAGAACTGATAATCAGGACTTTTAGGCTGGGTGAATAAAAAATTGATGGTTGAAAATTTAAGAAAGAGTTATCTTGTTTGTGTTTTGACATTTTGGAGGAGTTGACAGATAAAGACAAGGCTTGGGGGTATTTCCAATGACAAGGAGGTGCTTGGAGCTGGAGTTGAACCAGCGACCTTAGGATCACAGCGTTTCACACAAGGAGCATCTTACAGTCCAAAGCTCTACAAAATGAGCTATCAAGGTGCTCTCTAGTCACAAGTGCAGAAAACATAGTGGCTTTGAAGACACACTATGCCCACAGAACTATTCCAACCCATGGTCAATGAAAAGCCCAGCCCTACCTGCAGAACAAAGCTTTGCAGTTTGTACCCAACAGTCATTGCCAGGGACCCAGAACTGATAATCAGGACTTTTAGGCTGGGTGAATAAAAAATTGATGGTTGAAAATTTAAGAAAGAGTTATCTTGTTTGTGTTTTGACATTTTGGAGGAGTTGACAGATAAAGACAAGGCTTGGGGGTATTTCCAATGACGTGCTTGGAGCTGGAGTTGAACCAGCGACCTTAGGATCACAGCGTTTCACACAAGGAGCATCTTACAGTCCACCGCTCTACCAACTGAGCTATCAAGGTGCTCTCTAGTCACAAGTGCAGAAAACATAGTGGCTTCGAAGACACACTATGCCCACAGAACTATTCCAACCCATGGTCAATGAAAAGCCCAGCCCTACCTGCAGAACAAAGCTTTGCAGTTTGTACCCAACAGTCATTGCCAGGGACCCAGAACTGATAATCAGGACTTTTAGGCTGGGTGAATAAAAAATTGATGGTTGAAAATTTAAGAAAGAGTTAACTTGTTTGTGTTTGACATTTTGGAGGAGTTGACAGATAAAGACAAGGCTTGGGGGTATTTCCAATGACAAGGAGGTGCTTGGAGCTGGAGTTGAACCAGCGACCTTAGGATCACAGCGTTTCACACAAGGAGCATCTTACAGTTCACCGCTGTACCAACTGAGCTATCAAGGTGCTCCCTAGTCACAAGTGCAGAAAACATAGTGGCTTCGAAGACACACTATGCCCACAGAACTATTCCAACCCATGGTCAATGAAAAGCCCAGCCCTACCTGCAGAACAAAGCTTTGCAGTTTGTACCCAACAGTCATTGCCAGGGACCCAGAACTGATAATCAGGACTTTTAGGCTGGGTGAATAAAAAATTGATGGTTGAAAATTTAAGAAAGAGTTATCTTGTTTGTGTTTTCACATTTTGGAGGAGTTGACAGATAAAGACAAGGCTTGGGGGTATTTCCAATGACAAGGAGGTGTTTGGAGCTGGAGTTGAACCAGCGACCTTAGGATCACAGCGTTTCACACAAGGAACATCTTACAGTCCACCGCTCTACCAACTGAGCTATCACGGTGCTCTCTATTCACAAGTGCAGAAAACATAGTGGCTTCGAAGACACACTATGCCCACAGAACTATTCCAACCCATGGTCAATGAAAAGCCCAGCCCTACCTGCAGAACAAAGCTTTGCAGTTTGTACCCAACAGTCATTGCCAGGGACCCAGAACTGATAATCAGGACTTTTAGGCTGGGTGAATAAAAAATTGATGGTTGAAAATTTAAGAAAGAGTTATCTTGTTTGTGTTTTGACATTTTGGAGGAGTTGACAGATAAAGACAAGGCTTGGGGGTATTTCCAATGACAAGCTTGGAGCTGGAGTTGAACAAGCGGCCTTAGGATCACAGTGTTTCACACAAGGAGAATCTTACAGTCCACCGCTCTACCAACTGAGCTATCACGGTGCTCTCTAGTCAAAAGTGCAGAAAACATAGTGGCTTCGAAGACACACTATGCCCACAGAACTATTCCAACCCATGGTCAATGAAAAGCCCAGCCCTACCTGAAGAACAAAGCTTTGCAGTTTGTACCCAACAGTCATTGCCAGGGACCCAGAACTGATAATCAGGACTTTTAGGCTGGGTGAATAAAAAATTGATGGTTGAAAATTTAAGAAAGAGTTATCTTGTTTGTGTTTTGACATTTTGGAGGAGTTGACAGATAAAGACAAGGCTTGGTGGTATTTCCAATGACTTGCTTGGAGATGGAGTTGAACCAACGACCTTTGGATCACAGCGTTTCACACAAGGAGCATCTTACAGTCCACCGCTCTACCAACTGAGCTATCAAGGTGCTCTCTAGTCACAAGTGCAGAAAACATAGTGGCTTCGAAGACACACTATGCCCACAGAACTATTCCAACCCATGGTCAATGAAAAGCCCAGCCCTACCTGCAGAACAAAGCTTTGCAGTTTGTACCCAACAGTCATTGCCAGGGACCCAGAACTGATAATCAGGACTTTTAGGCTGGGTGAATAAAAAATTGATGGTTGAAAATTTAAGAAAGAGTTATCTTGTTTGTGTTTTGACATTTTGGAGGAGTTGACAGATAAAGACAAGGCTTGGGGGTATTTCCAATGACAAGGAGGTGCTTGGAGCTGGAGTTGAACCAGCGACCTTAGGATCACAGCGTTTCACACAAGGAACATCTTACAGTCCACCGATCTACCAACTGAGCTATCACGGTGCTCTCTATTCACAAGTGCAGAAAACATAGTGGCTTCGAAGACACACTATGCCCACAGAACTATTCCAACCCATGGTCAATGAAAAGCCCAGCCCTACCTGCAGAACAAAGCTTTGCAGTTTGTACCCAACAGTCATTGCCAGGGACCCAGAACTGATAATCAGGACTTTTAGGCTGGGTGAATAAAAAATTGATGGTTGAAAATTTAAGAAAGAGTTATCTTGTTTGTGTTTTGACATTTTGGAGGAGTTGACAGATAAAGACAAGGCTTGGGGGTATTTCCAATGACAAGGAGGTGCTTGGAGCTGGAGTTGAACCAGCGACCTTAGGATCACAGCCTTTCACACAAGGAGCATCTTACAGTCCACCGCTCTACCAACTGAGCTATCAAGGTGCTCTCTATTCACAAGTGCAGAAAACATAGTGGCTTCGAAGACACACTATGCCCACAGAACTATTCCAACCCATGGTCAATGAAAAGCCCAGCCCTACCTGCAGAACAAAGCTTTGCAGTTTGTACCCAACAGTCATTGCCAGGGACCCAGAACTGATAATCAGGACTTTTAGGCTGGGTGAATAAAAAATTGATGGTTGAAAATTTAAGAAAGAGTTATCTTTTTTGTGTTTTGACATTTTGGAGGAGTTGACAGATAAAGACAAGGCTTGGGGGTATTTCCAATGACGTGCTTGGAGCTGGAGTTGAACCAGCGGCCTTAGGATCACAGTGTTTCACACAAGGAGCATCTTACAGTCCACCGCTCTACCAACTGAGCTATCAAGGTGCTCTTAGTCACAAGTGCAGAAAACATAGTGGCTTCGAAGACACACTATGCCCACAGAACTATTCCAACCCATGGTCAATGAAAAGCCCAGCCCTACCTGCAGAACAAAGCTTTGCAGTTTGTACCCAACAGTCATTGCCAGGGACCCAGAACTGATAATCAGGACTTTTAGGCTGGGTGAATAAAAAATTGATGGTTGAAAATTTAAGAAAGAGTTATCTTGTTTGTGTTTTGACATTTTGGAGGAGTTGACAGATAAAGACAAGGCTTGGGGGTATTTCCAATGACAAGGAGGTGCTTGGAGCTGGAGTTGAACCAGCGACCTTAGGATCACAGCGTTTCACACAAGGAGCATCTTACAGTCCACCGCTCTACCAACTGAGCTATCAAGGTGCTCTCTAGTCACAAGTGCAGAAAACATAGTGGCTTCGAAGACACACTATGCCCACAGAACTATTCCAACCCATGGTCAATGAAAAGCCCAGCCCTACCTGCAGAACAAAGCTTTGCAGTTTGTACCCAACAGTCATTGCCAGGGACCCAGAACTGATAATCAGGACTTTTAGGCTGGGTGAATAAAAAATTGATGGTTGAAAATTTAAGAAAGAGTTATCTTGTTTGTGTTTTGACATTTTGGAGGAGTTGACAGATAAAGACAAGGCTTGGGGGTATTTCCAATGACAAGGAGGTGCTTGGAGCTGGAGTTGAACCAGCGACCTTAGGATCACAGCGTTTCACACAAGGAGCATCTTACAGTCCACCGCTCTACCAACTGAGCTATCAAGGTGCTCTCTAGTCACAAGTGCAGAAAACATAGTGGCTTCGAAGACACACTATGCCCACAGAACTATTCCAACCCATGGTCAATGAAAAGCCCAGCCCTACCTGCAGAACAAAGCTTTGCAGTTTGTACCCAACAGTCATTGCCAGGGACCCAGAACTGATAATCAGGACTTTTAGGCTGGGTGAATAAAAAATTGATGGTTGAAAATTTAAGAAAGAGTTATCTTGTTTGTGTTTTGACATTTTGGAGGAGTTGACAGATAAAGACAAGGCTTGGGGGTATTTCCAATGACGTGATTGGAGCTGGAGTTGAACTAGCGACCTTAGGATCACAGCGTTTAACACAAGGAGCATCTTACAGTCCACCGCTCTACCAACTGAGCTATCAAGGTGCTGTATAGTCACAAGTGCAGAAAACATAGTGGCTTCGAAGACACACTATGCCCACAGAACTATTCCAACCCATGGTCAATGAAAAGCCCAGCCCTACCTGCAGAACAAAGCTTTGCAGTTTGTACCCAACAGTCATTGCCAGGGACCCAGAACTGATAATCAGGACTTTTAGGCTGGGTGAATAAAAAATTGATGGTTGAAAATTTAAGAAAGAGTTATCTTGTTTGTGTTTTGACATTTTGGAGGAGTTGACAGATAAAGACAAGGCTTGGGGGTATTTCCAATGAAAAGGAGGTGCTCGGAGCTGGAGTTGAACCAGCGACCTTAGGATCACAGCGTTTCACACAAGGAGCATCTTACAGTCCAACGCTCTACCAACTGAGCTATCAAGGTGCTCTCTAGTCACAAGTGCAGAAAACATAGTGGCTTCGAAGACACACTATGCCCACAGAACTATTCCAACCCATGGTCAATGAAAAGCCCAGCCCTACCTGCAGAACAAAGCTTTGCAGTTTGTACCCAACAGTCATTGCCAGGGACCCAGAACTGATAATCAGGACTTTTAGGCTGGGTGAATAAAAAATTGATGGTTGAAAATTTAAGAAAGAGTTATCTTGTTTGTGTTTTGACATTTTGGAGGAGTTGACAGATAAAGACAAGGCTTGGGGGTATTTCCAATGACAAGGAGGTGCTTGGAGCTGGAGTTCAACCAGCGACCTTAGGATCAGAGCGTTACACACAAGGAACATCTTACAGTCCACCGCTCTACCAACTGAGCTATCAAGGTGCTCTATAGTCACAAGTGCAGACAACATAGTGGCTTCGAAGACACACTATGCCCACAGAACTATTCCAACCCATGGTCAATGAAAAGCCCAGCCCTACCTGCAGAACAAAGCTTTGCAGTTTGTACCCAACAGTCATTGCCAGGGACCCAGAACTGATAATCAGGACTTTTAGGCTGGGTGAATAAAAAATTGATGGTTGAAAATTTAAGAAAGAGTTATCTTGTTTGTGTTTTGACATTTTGGAGGAGTTGACAGATAAAGACAAGGCTTGGGGGTATTTCCAATGACGTGATTGGAGCTGGAGTTGAACTAGCGACCTTAGGATCACAGCGTTTAACACAAGGAGCATCTTACAGTCCACCGCTCTACCAACTGAGCTATCAAGGTGCTGTATAGTCACAAGTGCAGAAAACATAGTGGCTTCGAAGACACACTATGCCCACAGAACTATTCCAACCCATGGTCAATGAAAAGCCCAGCCCTACCTGAAGAACAAAGCTTTGCAGTTTGTACCCAACAGTCATTGCCAGGGACCCAGAACTGATAATCAGGACTTTTAGGCTGGGTGAATAAAAAATTGATGGTTGAAAATTTAAGAAAGAGTTATCTTGTTTGTGTTTTGACATTTTGGAGGAGTTGACAGATAAAGACAAGGCTTGGGGGTATTTCCAATGAAAAGGAGGTGCTTGGAGCTGGAGTTGAACCAGCGACCTTAGGATCACAGCGTTTCACACAAGGAGCATCTTACAGTCCACCGCTCTACCAACTGAGCTATCAAGGTGCTCTCTAGTCACAAGTGCAGAAAACATAGTGGCTTCGAAGACACACTATGCCCACAGAACTATTCCAACCCATGGTCAATGAAAAGCCCAGCCCTACCTGCAGAACAAAGCTTTGCAGTTTGTACCCAACAGTCATTGCCAGGGACCCAGAACTGATAATCAGGACTTTTAGGCTGGGTGAATAAAAAATTGATGGTTGAAAATTTAAGAAAGAGTTATCTTGTTTGTGTTTTGACATTTTGGAGGAGTTGACAGATAAAGACAAGGCTTGAGGGTATTTCTAATGACAAGGAGGTGCTTGGAGCTGGAGTTGAACCAGCGACCTTAGGATCACAGCGTTTCACACAAGGAGCATCTTACAGTCCAACGCTCTACCAAATGAGCTATCAAGGTGCTCTCTAGTCACAAGTGCAGAAAACATAGTGGCTTCGAAGACACACTATGCCCACAGAACTATTCCAACCCATGGTCAATGAAAAGCCCAGCCCTACCTGCAGAACAAAGCTTTGCAGTTTGTACCCAACAGTCATTGCCAGGGACCCAGAACTGATAATCAGGACTTTTAGGCTGGGTGAATAAAAAATTGATGGTTGAAAATTTAAGAAAGAGTTATCTTGTTTGTGTTTTGACATTTTGGAGGAGTTGACAGATAAAGACAAGGCTTGGGGGTATTTCCAATGACGTGCTTGGAGCTGGAGTTGAACCAGCGACCTTAGGATCACAGCGTTTCACACAAGGAGCATCTTACAGTCCACCGCTCTACCAACTGAGCTATCAAGGTGGTCTCTAGTCTCAAGTGCAGAAAACATAGTGGCTTCGAAGACACACTATGCCCACAGAACTATTCCAACCCATGGTCAATGAAAAGCCCAGCCCTACCTGCAGAACAAAGCTTTGCAGTTTGTACCCAACAGTCATTGCCAGGGACCCAGAACTGATAATCAGGACTTTTAGGCTGGGTGAATAAAAAATTGATGGTTGAAAATTTAAGAAAGAGTTATCTTGTTTGTGTTTTGACATTTTGGAGGAGTTGACAGATAAAGACAAGGCTTGGGGGTATTTCCAATGACGTGCTTGGAGCTGGAGTTGAACCAGCGGCCTTAGGATCACAGCGTTTCACACAAGGAGCATCTTACAGTCCACAGCTCTACCAACTGAGCTATCAAGGTGGTCTCTAGTCACAAATGCAGAAAACATAGTGGCTTCGAAGACACACTATGCCCACAGAACTATTCCAACCCATGGTCAATGAAAAGCCCAGCCCTACCTGCAGAACAAAGCTTTGCAGTTTGTACCCAACAGTCATTGCCAGGGACCCAGAACTGATAATCAGGACTTTTAGGCTGGGTGAATAAAAAATTGATGGTTGAAAATTTAAGAAAGAGTTATCTTGTTTGTGTTTTGACATTTTGGAGGAGTTGACAGATAAAGACAAGGCTTGGGGGTATTTCAAATGACGTGCTTGGAGCTGGAGTTGAACCAGCGGCCTTAGGATCACAGCGTTTCACACAAGGAGCATCTTACAGTCCACAGCTCTACCAACTGAGCTATCAAGGTGGTCTCTAGTCACAAATGCAGAAAACATAGTGGCTTCGAAGACACACTATGCCCACAGAACTATTCCAACCCATGGTCAATGAAAAGCCCAGCCCTACCTGCAGAACAAAGCTTTGCAGTTTGTACCCAACAGTCATTGCCAGGGACCCAGAACTGATAATCAGGACTTTTAGGCTGGGTGAATAAAAAATTGATGGTTGAAAATTTAAGAAAGAGTTATCTTGTTTGTGTTTTGACGGATAAAGACAAGGCTTGGGGGTATTTCCAATGACGTGCTTGGAGATGGAGTTGAACCAGCGACCTTAGGATCACAGCGTTTCACACAAGGAGCATCTTACAGTCCACCGCTCTACCAACTGAGCTATCAAGGTGCTCTGTAGTCACAAGTGCAGAAAACATAGTGGCTTCGAAGACACACTATGCCCACAGAACTATTCCAACCCATGGTCAATGAAAAGCCCAGCCCTACCTGCAGAACAAAGCTTTGCAGTTTGTACCCAACAGTCATTGCCAGGGACCCAGAACTGATAATCAGGACTTTTAGGCTGGGTGAATAAAAAATTGATGGTTGAAAATTTAAGAAAGAGTTATCTTGTTTGTGTTTTGACATTTTGGAGGAGTTGACAGATAAAGACAAGGCTTGGGGGTATTTCCAATGACGTGCTTGGAGATGGAGTTGAACCAGCGACCTTAGGATCACAGGGTTTCACACAAGGAGCATCTTACAGTCCACCGCTCTACCGACTGAGCTATCAAGGTGCTCTCTAGTCACAAGTGCAGAAAACATAGTGGCTTCGAAGACACACTATGCCCACAGAACTATTCCAACCCATGGTCAATGAAAAGCCCAGCCCTACCTGCAGAACAAAGCTTTGCAGTTTGTACCCAACAGTCATTGCCAGGGACCCAGAACTGATAATCAGGACTTTAATGCTGGGTGAATAAAAAATTGATGGTTGAAAATTTAAGAAAGAGTTATCTTGTTTGTGTTTATCAGGACTTTAAGGCTGGGTGAATAAAAAATTGATGGTTGAAAATTTACGAAAGAGTTAACTTGTTTGTGTTTTGACATTTTGGAGGAGTTGACAGATAAAGACAAGGCTTGGGGGTATTTCCAATGACAAGGAGGCGCTTGGAGCTGGAGTTGAACCAGCGACCTTAGGATCACAGCGTTTCACACAAGGAGCATCTTACAGTCCACCGCTCTACCAACTGAGCTATCAAGGTGCTCTGTAGTCACAAGTGCAGAAAACATAGTGGCTTCGAAGACACACTATGCCCACAGAACTATTCCAACCCATGGTCAATGAAAAGCCCAGCCCTACCTGCAGAACAAAGCTTTGCAGTTTGTACCCAACAGTCATTGCCAGGGACCCAGAACTGATAATCAGGACTTTTAGGCTGGGTGAATAAAAAATTGATGGTTGAAAATTTAAGAAAGAGTTATCTTGTTTGTGTTTTGACATTTTGGAGGAGTTGACAGATGAAGACAAGGCTTGGGGGTATTTCCAATGACGTGCTTGGAGATGGAGTTGAACCAGCGACCTTAGGATCACAGGGTTTCACACAAGGAGCATCTTACAGTCCACCGCTCTACCGACTGAGCTATCAAGGTGCTCTCTAGTCACAAGTGCAGAAAACATAGTGGCTTCGAAGACACACTATGCCCACAGAACTATTCCAACCCATGGTCAATGAAAAGCCCAGCCCTACCTGCAGAACAAAGCTTTGCAGTTTGTACCCAACAGTCATTGCCAGGGACCCAGAACTGATAATCAGGACTTTTAGGCTGGGTGAATAAAAAATTGATGGTTGAAAATTTAAGAAAGAGTTATCTTGTTTGTGTTTTGACATTTTGGAGGAGTTGACAGATAAAGACAAGGCTTGGGGGTATTTCCAATGACAAGGAGGTGCTTGGAGCTGGAGTTGAACAAGCGACCTTAGGATGACAGCGTTTCACACAAGGAGCATCTTACAGTCCACCGCTCTACCAACTGAGCTATCAAGGTGCTCTCTAGTCACAAGTGCAGAAAACATAGTGGCTTCGAAGACACACTATGCCCACAGAACTATTCCAACCCATGGTCAATGAAAAGCCCAGCCCTACCTGCAGAACAAAGCTTTGCAGTTTGTACCCAACAGTCATTGCCAGGGACCCAGAACTGATAATCAGGACTTTTAGGCTGGGTGAATAAAAAATTGATGGTTGAAAATTTACGAAAGAGTTAACTTGTTTGTGTTTTGACATTTTGGAGGAGTTGACAGATAAAGACAAGGCTTGGGGGTATTTCCAATGACAAGGAGGTGCTTGGAGCTGGAGTTAAACCAGCGGCCTTAGGATCACAGCGTTTCACACAAGGAGCATCTTACAGTCCACCGCTCTACCAACTGAGCTATCAAGGTGCTCTCTAGTCACAAGTGCAGAAAACATAGTGGCTTCGAAGACACACTATGCCCACAGAACTATTCCAACCCATGGTCAATGAAAAGCCCAGCCCTACCTGCAGAACAAAGCTTTGCAGTTTGTACCCAACAGTCATTGCCAGGGACCCAGAACTGATAATCAGGACTTTTAGGCTGGGTGAATAAAAAATTGATGGTTGAAAATTTTAAAAAAAGTTATCTTGTTTGTGTTTTGACATTTTGGAGGAGTTGACAGATAAAGACAAGGCTTGGGGGTATTTCCACTGATGTGCTTGGAGCTGGAGTTGAACCAGCGACCTTAGGATCACAGCGTTTCAAACAAGCAGCATCTTACAGTCCACCGCTCTACCAACTGAGCTATCAAGGTGCTCTCTAGTCACAAGTGCAGAAAACATAGTGGCTTCAAAGACACACTATGCCCACAGAACTATTCCAACCCATGGTCAATGAAAAGCCCAGCCCTACCTGCAGAACAAAGCTTTGCAGTTTGTACCCAACAGTCATTGCCAGGGACCCAGAACTGATAATCAGGACTTTAAGGCTGGGTGAATAAAAAATTGATGGTTGAAAATTTACGAAAGAGTTAACTTGTTTGTGTTTTGACATTTTGGAGGAGTTGACAGATAAAGACAAGGCTTGGGGGTATTTCCAATGACAAGGAGGCGCTTGGAGCTGGAGTTGAACCAGCGACCTTAGGATCACAGCGTTTCACACAAGGAGCATCTTACAGTCCACCGCTCTACCAACTGAGCTATCAAGGTGCTCTGTAGTCACAAGTGCAGAAAACATAGTGGCTTCGAAGACACACTATGCCCACAGAACTATTCCAACCCATGGTCAATGAAAAGCCCAGCCCTACCTGCAGAACAAAGCTTTGCAGTTTGTACCCAACAGTCATTGCCAGGGACCCAGAACTGATAATCAGGACTTTTAGGCTGGGTGAATAAAAAATTGATGGTTGAAAATTTAAGAAAGAGTTATCTTGTTTGTGTTTTGACATTTTGGAGGAGTTGACAGATAAAGACAAGGCTTGGGGGTATTTCCAATGACGTGCTTGGAGCTGGAGTTGAACCAGCGGCCTTAGGATCACAGCGTTTCACACAAGGAGCATCTTACAGTCCACAGCTCTACCAACTGAGCTATCAAGGTGGTCTCTAGTCACAAATGCAGAAAACATAGTGGCTTCGAAGACACACTATGCCCACAGAACTATTCCAACCCATGGTCAATGAAAAGCCCAGCCCTACCTGCAGAACAAAGCTTTGCAGTTTGTACCCAACAGTCATTGCCAGGGACCCAGAACTGATAATCAGGACTTTTAGGCTGGGTGAATAAAAAATTGATGGTTGAAAATTTAAGAAAGAGTTATCTTGTTTGTGTTTTGACATTTTGGAGGAGTTGACAGATAAAGACAAGGCTTGGGGGTATTTCCAATGACAAGGAGATGCTTGGAGCTGGAGTTGAACCAGCGACCTTAGGATCACAGCGTTTCACATAAGGAGCATCTTACAGTCCACCGCTCTACCAATTGAGCTATCAAGGTGCTCTATAGTCACAAGTGCAGAAAACATAGTGGCTTCGAAGACACACTATGCCCACAGAACTATTCCAACCCATGGTCAATGAAAAGCCCAGCCCTACCTGCAGAACAAAGCTTTGCAGTTTGTACCCAACAGTCATTGCCAGGGACCCAGAACTGATAATCAGGACTTTTAGGCTGGGTGAATAAAAAATTGATGGTTGAAAATTTAAGAAAGAGTTATCTTGTTTGTGTTTTGACATTTTGGAGGAGTTGACAGATAAAGACAAGGCTTGGGGGTATTTCCAATGACGTGCTTGGAGCTGGAGTTGAACCAGCGGCCTTAGGATCACAGCGTTTCACACAAGGAGCATCTTACAGTCCACAGCTCTAGCAACTGAGCTATCAAGGTGGTCTCTAGTCACAAATGCAGAAAACATAGTGGCTTCAAAGACACACTATTCCCACAGAACTATTCCAACCCATGGTCAATGAAAAGCCCAGCCCTACCTGCAGAACAAAGCTTTGCAGTTTGTACCCAACAGTCATTGCCAGGGACCCAGAACTGATAATCAGGACTTTTAGGCTGGGTGAATAAAAAATTGATGGTTGAAAATTTACGAAAGAGTTATCTTGTTTGTGTTTTGACATTTTGGAGGAGTTGACAGATAAAGACAAGGCTTGGGGGTATTTCCAATGACGTGCTTGGAGCTGGAGTTGAACCAGCGGCCTTAGGATCACAGCGTTTCACACAAGGAGCATCTTACAGTCCACCGCTCTACCAACTGAGCTATCAAGGTGCTCTCTAGTCACAAGTGCAGAAAACATAGTGGCTTCGAAGACACACTATGCCCACAGAACTATTCCAACCCATGGTCAATGAAAAGCCCAGCCCTACCTGCAGAACAAAGCTTTGCAGTTTGTACCCAACAGTCATTGCCAGGGACCCAGAACTGATAATCAGGACTTTTAGGCTGGGTGAATAAAAAATTGATGGTTGAAAATTTAAGAAAGAGTTATCTTGTTTGTGTTTTGACATTTTGGAGGAGTTGACAGATAAAGACAAGGCTTGGGGGTATTTCCAATGACGTGCTTGGAGCTGGAGTTGAACCAGCGGCCTTAGGATCACAGCGTTTCACACAAGGAGCATCTTACAGTCCACAGCTCTACCAACTGAGCTATCAAGGTGGTCTCTAGTCACAAATGCAGAAAACATAGTGGCTTCAAAGACACACTATTCCCACAGAACTATTCCAACCCATGGTCAATGAAAAGCCCAGCCCTACCTGCAGAACAAAGCTTTGCAGTTTGTACCCAACAGTCATTGCCAGGGACCCAGAACTGATAATCAGGACTTTTAGGCTGGGTGAATAAAAAATTGATGGTTGAAAATTTACGAAAGAGTTATCTTGTTTGTGTTTTGACATTTTGGAGGAGTTGACAGATAAAGACAAGGCTTGGGGGTATTTCCAATGACGTGCTTGGAGCTGGAGTTGAACCAGCGGCCTTAGGATCACAGCGTTTCACACAAGGAGCATCTTACAGTCCACCGCTCTACCAACTGAGCTATCAAGGTGCTCTCTAGTCACAAGTGCAGAAAACATAGTGGCTTCGAAGACACACTATGCCCACAGAACTATTCCAACCCATGGTCAATGAAAAGCCCAGCCCTACCTGCAGAACAAAGCTTTGCAGTTTGTACCCAACAGTCATTGCCAGGGACCCAGAACTGATAATCAGGACTTTTAGGCTGGGTGAATAAAAAATTGATGGTTGAAAATTTACGAAAGAGTTAACTTGTTTGTGTTTTGACATTTTGGAGGAGTTGACAGATAAAGACAAGGCTTGGGGGTATTTCCAATGACAAAGAGGCGCTTGGAGCTGGAGTTGAACCAGCGACCTTAGGATCACAGCGTTTCACACAAGGAGCATCTTACAGTCCACCGCTCTACCAACTGAGCTATCAAGGTGCTCTGTAGTCACAAGTGCAGAAAACATAGTGGCTTCGAAGACACACTATGCCCACAGAACTATTCCAACCCATGGTCAATGAAAAGCCCAGCCCTACCTGCAGAACAAAGCTTTGCAGTTTGTACCCAACAGTCATTGCCAGGGACCCAGAACTGATAATCAGGACTTTTAGGCTGGGTGAATAAAAAATTGATGGTTGAAAATTTAAGAAAGAGTTATCTTGTTTGTGTTTTGACATTTTGGAGGAGTTGACAGATAAAGACAAGGCTTGGGGGTATTTCCAATGACGTGCTTGGAGATGGAGTTGAACCAGCGACCTTAGGATCACAGGGTTTCACACAAGGAGCATCTTACAGTCCACCGCTCTACCGACTGAGGTATCAAGGTGCTCTCTAGTCACAAGTGCAGAAAACATAGTGGCTTCGAAGACACACTATGCCCACAGAACTATTCCAACCCATGGTCAATGAAAAGCCCAGCCCTACCTGCAGAACAAAGCTTTGCAGTTTGTACCCAACAGTCATTGCCAGGGACCCAGAACTGATAATCAGGACTTTTAGGCTGGGTGAATAAAAAATTGATGGTTGAAAATTTAAGAAAGAGTTATCTTGTTTGTGTTTTGACATTTTGGAGGAGTTGACAGATAAAGACAAGGCTTGGGGGTATTTCCAATGACAAGGAGGTGCTTGGAGCTGGAGTTGAACCAGCGACCTTAGGATCACAGCGTTTCACACAAGGAGCATCTTACAGTCCACCGCTCTACCAACTGAGCTATCAAGGTGCTCTCTAGTCACAAATGCAGAAAACATAGTGGCTTCGAAGACACACTATGCCCACAGAACTATTCCAACCCATGGTCAATGAAAAGCCCAGCCCTACCTGCAGAACAAAGCTTTGCAGTTTGTACCCAACAGTCATTGCCAGGGACCCAGAACTGATAATCAGGACTTTTAGGCTGGGTGAATAAAAAATTGATGGTTGAAAATTTACGAAAGAGTTAACTTGTTTGTGTTTTGACATTTTGGAGGAGTTGACAGATAAAGACAAGGCTTGGGGGTATTTCCAATGACAAGGAGGTGCTTGGAGCTGGAGTTGAACCAGCGACCTTAGGATCACAGCGTTTCACACAAGGAGCATCTTACAGTCCACCGCTCTACCAACTGAGCTATCAAGGTGCTCTCTAGTCACAAGTGCAGAAAACATAGTGGCTTCGAAGACACACTATGCCCACAGAACTATTCCAACCCATGGTCAATGAAAAGCCCAGCCCTACCTGCAGAACAAAGCTTTGCAGTTTGTACCCAACAGTCATTGCCAGGGACCCAGAACTGATAATCAGGACTTTTAGGCTGGGTGAATAAAAAATTGATGGTTGAAAATTTAAGAAAGAGTTATCTTGTTTGTGTTTTGACATTTTGGAGGAGTTGACAGATAAAGACAAGGCTTGGGGGTATTTCCAATGAAGTGCTTGGAGCTGGAGTTGAACCAGCGGCCTTAGGATCACAGCGTTTCACACAAGGAGCATCTTACAGTCCACAGCTCTACCAACTGAGCTATCAAGGTGCTCTCTAGTCACAAGTGCAGAAAACATAGTGGCTTCGAAGACACACTATGCCCACAGAACTATTCCAACCCATGGTCAATGAAAAGCCCAGCCCTACCTGCAGAACAAAGCTTTGCAGTTTGTACCCAACAGTCATTGCCAGGGACCCAGAACTGATAATCAGGACTTTTAGGCTGGGTGAATAAAAAATTGATGGTTGAAAATTTAAGAAAGAGTTATCTTGTTTGTGTTTTGACATTTTGGAGGAGTTGACAGATAAAGACAAGGCTTGGGGGTATTTCCAATGACAAGGAGGTGCTTGGAGCTGGAGTTGAACCAGCGACCTTAGGATCACAGCGTTTCACACAAGGAGCATCTTACAGTCCACCGCTCTACCAACTGAGCTATCAAGGTGCTCTCTAGTCACAAGTGCAGAAAACATAGTGGCTTCGAAGACACACTATGCCCACAGAACTATTCCAACCCATGGTCAATGAAAAGCCCAGCCCTACCTGCAGAACAAAGCTTTGCAGTTTGTACCCAACAGTCATTGCCAGGGACCCAGAACTGATAATCAGGACTTTTAGGCTGGGTGAATAAAAAATTGATGGTTGAAAATTTAAGAAAGAGTTATCTTGTTTGTGTTTTGACGGATAAAGACAAGGCTTGGGGGTATTTCCAATGACGTGCTTGGAGATGGAGTTGAACCAGCGACCTTAGGATCACAGCGTTTCACACAAGGAGCATCTTACAGTCCACCGCTCTACCAACTGAGCTATCAAGGTGCTCTCTAGTCACAAGTGCAGAAAACATAGTGGCTTCGAAGACACACTATGCCCACAGAACTATTCCAACCCATGGTCAATGAAAAGCCCAGCCCTACCTGCAGAACAAAGCTTTGCAGTTTGTACCCAACAGTCATTGCCAGGGACCCAGAACTGATAATCAGGACTTTTAGGCTGGGTGAATAAAAAATTGATGGTTGAAAATTTAAGAAAGAGTTATCTTGTTTGTGTTTTGACATTTTGGAGGAGTTGACAGATAAAGACAAGGCTTGGGGGTATTTCCAATGACGGAGGTGCTTGGAGCTGGAGTTGAACCAGCGACCTTAGGATCACAGCGTTTCACACAAGGAGCATCTTACAGTCCACCGCTCTACCAACTGAGCTATCAAGGTGCTCTCTAGTCACAAGTGCAGAAAACATAGTGGCTTCGAAGACACACTATGCCCACAGAACTATTCCAACCCATGGTCAATGAAAAGCCCAGCCCTACCTGCAGAACAAAGCTTTGCAGTTTGTACCCAACAGTCATTGCCAGGGACCCAGAACTGATAATCAGGACTTTTAGGCTGGGTGAATAAAAAATTGATGGTTGAAAATTTAAGAAAGAGTTATCTTGTTTGTGTTTTGACATTTTGGAGGAGTTGACAGATAAAGACAAGGCTTGGGGGTATTTCCAATGACAAGGAGGTGCTTGGAGCTGGAGTTGAACCAGCGACCTTAGGATCACAGCGTTTCACACAAGGAGCATCTTACAGTCCACCGCTCTACCAACTGAGCTATCAAGGTGCTCTCTAGTCACAAGTGCAGAAAACATAGTGGCTTCGAAGACACACTATGCCCACAGAACTATTCCAACCCATGGTCAATGAAAAGCCCAGCCCTACCTGCAGAACAAAGCTTTGCAGTTTGTACCCAACAGTCATTGCCAGGGACCCAGAACTGATAATCAGGACTTTTAGGCTGGGTGAATAAAAAATTGATGGTTGAAAATTTAAGAAAGAGTTATCTTGTTTGTGTTTTGACATTTTGGAGGAGTTGACAGATAAAGACAAGGCTTGGGGGTATTTCCAATGACGTGCTTGGAGCTGGAGTTGAACCAGCGGCCTTAGGATCATAGCGTTTCACACAAGGAGCATCTTACAGTCCACCGCTCTACCAACTGAGCTATCAAGGTGCTCTCTAGTCAAAAATGCAGAAAACATAGTGGCTTCGAAGACACACTATGCCCACAGAACTATTCCAACCCATGGTCAATGAAAAGCCCAGCCCTACCTGCAGAACAAAGCTTTGCAGTTTGTACCCAACAGTCATTGCCAGGGACCCAGAACTGATAATCAGGACTTTTAGGCTGGGTGAATAAAAAATTGATGGTTGAAAATTTAAGAAAGAGTTATCTTGTTTGTGTTTTGACATTTTGGAGGAGTTGACAGATAAAGACAAGGCTTGGGGGTATTTCCAATGACAAGGAGGTGCTTGGAGCTGGAGTTGAACCAGCGACGTTAGGATCACAGCGTTTCACACAAGGAGCATCTTACAGTCCACCGCTCTACCAACTGAGCTATCAAGGTGCTCTCTAGTCACAAGTGCAGAAAACATAGTGGCTTCGAAGACACACTATGCCCACAGAACTATTCCAACCCATGGTCAATGAAAAGCCCAGCCCTACCTGCAGAACAAAGCTTTGCAGTTTGTACCCAACAGTCATTGCCAGGGACCCAGAACTGATAATCAGGACTTGTAGGCTGGGTGAATAAAAAATTGATGGTTGAAAATTTAAGAAAGAGTTAACTTGTTTGTGTTTTGACATTTTGGAGGAGTTGACAGATAAAGACAAGGCTTGGGGGTATTTCCAATGACGTGCTTGGAGCTGGAGTTGAACCAGCGACCTTAGGATCACAGCGTTTCACACAAGGAGCATCTTACAGTCCACCGGTCTACCAACTGAGCTATCAAGGTGCTCTCTAGTCACAAGTGCAGAAAACATAGTGGCTTCGAAGACACACTATGCCCACAGAACTATTCCAACCCATGGTCAATGAAAAGCCCAGCCCTACCTGCAGAACAAAGCTTTGCAGTTTGTACCCAACAGTCATTGCCAGGGACCCAGAACTGATAATCAGGACTTTTAGGCTGGGTGAATAAAAAATTGATGGTTGAAAATTTAAGAAAGAGTTAACTTGTTTGTGTTTTGACATTTTGGAGGAGTTGACAGATAAAGACAAGGCTTGGGGGTATTTCCAATGACGTGCTTGGAGCTGGAGTTGAACCAGCGACCTTAGGATCACAGCGTTTCACACAAGGAGCATCTTACAGTCCACCGCTCTACCAACTGAGCTATCAAGGTGCTCTATAGTCACAAGTGCAGACAACATAGTGGCTTCGAAGACACACTATGCCCACAGAACTATTCCAACCCATGGTCAATGAAAAGCCCAGCCCTACCTGCAGAACAAAGCTTTGCAGTTTGTACCCAACAGTCATTGCCAGGGACCCAGAACTGATAATCAGGACTTTTAGGCTGGGTGAATAAAAAATTGATGGTTGAAAATTTAAGAAAGAGTTATCTTGTTTGTGTTTTGACATTTTGGAGGAGTTGACAGATAAAGACAAGGCTTGGGGGTATTTCCAATGACAAGGAGGTGCTTGGAGCTGGAGTTGAACCAGCGACCTTAGGATCACAGCGTTTCACACAAGGAGCATCTTACAGTCCACCGCTCTACAAACTGAGCTATCAAGGAGCTCTCTAGTCGCAAGTGCAGAAAACATAGTGGCTTCGAAGACACACTATGCCCACAGAACTATTCCAACCCATGGTCAATGAAAAGCCCAGCCCTACCTGCAGAACAAAGCTTTGCAGTTTGTACCCAACAGTCATTGCCAGGGACCCAGAACTGATAATCAGGACTTTTAGGCTGGGTGAATAAAAAATTGATGGTTGAAAATTTACGAAAGAGTTATCTTGTTTGTGTTTTGACATTTTGGAGGAGTTGACAGATAAAGACAAGGCTTGGGGGTATTTCCAATGACAAGGAGGTGCTTGGAGCTGGAGTTGAACCAGCGACCTTAGGATCACAGCGTTTCACACAAGGAGCATCTTACAGTCCACCGCTGTACCAACTGAGCTATCAAGGTGCTCGCTAGTCACAAATGCAGAAAACATAGTGGCTTCGAAGACACACTATGCCCACAGAACTATTCCAACCCATGGTCAATGAAAAGCCCAGCCCTACCTGCAGAACAAAGCTTTGCAGTTTGTACCCAACAGTCATTGCCAGGGACCCAGAACTGATAATCAGGACTTTTAGGCTGAGTGAATAAAAAATTGATGGTTGAAAATTTAAGAAAGAGTTATCTTGTTTGTGTTTTGACAGATAAAGACAAGGCTTGGGGGTATTTCCAATGACGTGCTTGGAGCTGGAGTTGAACCAGCGACCTTAGGATCACAGGGTTTCACACAAGGAGCATCTTACAGTCCACCGCTCTACCGACTGAGCTATCAAGGTGCTCTCTAGTCACAAGTGCAGAAAACATAGTGGCTTCGAAGACACACTATGCCCACAGAACTATTCCAACCCATGGTCAATGAAAAGCCCAGCCCTACCTGCAGAACAAAGCTTTGCAGTTTGTACCCAACAGTCATTGCCAGGGACCCAGAACTGATAATCAGGACTTTTAGGCTGGGTGAATAAAAAATTGATGGTTGAAAATTTACGAAAGAGTTATCTTGTTTGTGTTTTGACATTTTGGAGGAGTTGACAGATAAAGACAAGGCTTGGGGGTATTTCCAATGACAAGGAGGTGCTTGGAGCTGGAGTTGAACCAGCGACCTTAGGATCACAGCGTTTCACACAAGGAGCATCTTACAGTCCACCGCTCTACCAACTGAGCTATCAAGGTGCTCTCTAGTCACAAGTGCAGAAAACATAGTGGCTTCGAAGACACACTATGCCCACAGAACTATTCCAACCCATGGTCAATGAAAAGCCCAGCCCTACCTGCAGAACAAAGCTTTGCAGTTTGTACCCAACAGTCATTGCCAGGGACCCAGAACTGATAATCAGGACTTTTAGGCTGGGTGAATAAAAAATTGATGGTTGAAAATTTACGAAAGAGTTAACTTGTTTGTGTTTTGACATTTTGGAGGAGTTGACAGATAAAGACAAGGCTTGGGGGTATTTCCAATGACAAGGAGGTGCTTGGAGCTGGAGTTAAACCAGCGGCCTTAGGATCACAGCGTTTCACACAAGGAGCATCTTACAGTCCACCGCTCTACCAACTGAGCTATCAAGGTGCTCTCTAGTCACAAGTGCAGAAAACATAGTGGCTTCGAAGACACACTATGCCCACAGAACTATTCCAACCCATGGTCAATGAAAAGCCCAGCCCTACCTGCAGAACAAAGCTTTGCAGTTTGTACCCAACAGTCATTGCCAGGGACCCAGAACTGATAATCAGGACTTTTAGGCTGGGTGAATAAAAAATTGATGGTTGAAAATTTAAGAAAGAGTTATCTTGTTTGTGTTTTGACATTTTGGAGGAGTTGACAGATAAAGACAAGGCTTGGGGGTATTTCCAATGACGTGCTTGGAGCTGGAGTTGAACCAGCGGCCTTAGAATCACAGCGTTTTACACAAGGAGCATCTTACAGTCCACAGCTCTACCAACTGAGCTATCAAGGTGCTCTCTAGTCACAAGTGCAGACAACATAGTGGCTTCGAAGACACACTATGCCCACAGAACTATTCCAACCCATGGTCAATGAAAAGCCCAGCCCTACCTGCAGAACAAAGCTTTGCAGTTTGTACCCAACAGTCATTGCCAGGGACCCAGAACTGATAATCAGGACTTTTAGGCTGGGTGAATAAAAAATTGATGGTTGAAAATTTAAGAAAGAGTTATCTTGTTTGTGTTTTGACATTTTGGAGGAGTTGACAGATAAAGACAAGGCTTGGGGGTATTTCCAATGACAAGGAGGCGCTTGGAGCTGGAGTTGAACCAGCGACCTTAGGATCACAGCGTTTCACACAAGGAGCATCTTACAGTCCACCGCTCTACCAACTGAGCTATCAAGGTGCTCTCTAGTCACAAGTGCAGAAAACATAGTGGCTTCGAAGACACACTATGCCCACAGAACTATTCCAACCCATGGTCAATGAAAAGCCCAGCCCTACCTGCAGAACAAAGCTTTGCAGTTTGTACCCAACAGTCATTGCCAGGGACCCAGAACTGATAATCAGGACTTTTAGGCTGGGTGAATAAAAAATTGATGGTTGAAAATTTAAGAAAGAGTTATCTTGTTTGTGTTTTGACATTTTGGAGGAGTTGACAGATAAAGACAAGGCTTGGGGGTATTTCCAATGACAAGGAGGTGCTTGGAGCTGGAGTTGAACCAGCGACCTTAGGATCACAGCGTTTCACACAAGGAGCATCTTACAGTCCACCGCTCTACCAACCGAGCTATCAAGGTGCTCTCTAGTCACAAGTGCAGAAAACATAGTGGCTTCGAAGACACACTATGCCCACAGAACTATTCCAACCCATGGTCAATGAAAAGCCCAGCCCTACCTGCAGAACAAAGCTTTGCAGTTTGTACCCAACAGTCATTGCCAGGGACCCAGAACTGATAATCAGGACTTTTAGGCTGGGTGAATAAAAAATTGATGGTTGAAAATTTAAGAAAGAGTTATCTTGTTTGTGTTTTGACATTTTGGAGGAGTTGACAGATAAAGACAAGGCTTGGGGGTATTTCCAATGACAAGGAAGTGCTTGGAGCTGGAGTTGAACCAGCGACCTTAGGATCACAGCGTTTCACACAAGGAGCATCTTACAGTCCACCGCTCTACCAACTGAGCTATCAAGGTGCTCTCTAGTCACAAGTGCAGAAAACATAGTGGCTTCGAAGACACACTATGCCCACAGAACTATTCCAACCCATGGTCAATGAAAAGCCCAGCCCTACCTGCAGAACAAAGCTTTGCAGTTTGTACCCAACAGTCATTGCCAGGGACCCAGAACTGATAATCAGGACTTTTAGGCTGGGTGAATAAAAAATTGATGGTTGAAAATTTAAGAAAGAGTTATCTTGTTTGTGTTTTGACATTTTGGAGGAGTTGACAGATAAAGACAAGGCTTGGGGGTATTTCCAATGACAAGGAGGTGGTTGGAGCTGGAGTTGAACCAGCAACCTTAGGATCACAGCGTTTCACACAAGGAGCCTCTTGCAGTCCACCGCTCTGCCAACTGAGCTATCAAGGTGCTCTATAGTCACAAGTGCAGAAAACATAGTGGCTTCTAAGACACACTATGCCCACAGAACTATTCCAACCCATGGTCAATGAAAAGCCCAGCCCTACCTGCAGAACAAAGCTTTGCAGTTTGTACCCAACAGTCATTGCCAGGGACCCAGAACGGATAATCAGGACTTTTAGGCTGGGTGAATAAAAAATTGATGGTTGAAAATTTAAGAAAGAGTTATCTTGTTTGTGTTTTGACATTTTGGAGGAGTTGACAGATAAAGACAAGGCCTGGGGGTATTTCCAATGACAAGGAGGTGCTTGGAGCTGGAGTTGAACCAGCGACCTTAGGATCACAGCGTTTCACACAAGGAGCATCTTACAGTCCACCGCTCTACCAACTGAGCTATCAAGGTGCTCAATAGTCACAAGTGCAGAAAACATAGTGGCTTCGAAGACACACTATGCCCACAGAACTATTCCAACCCATGGTCAATGAAAAGCCCAGCCCTACCTGCAGAACAAAGCTTTGCAGTTTGTACCCAACAGTCATTGCCAGGGACCCAGAACTGATAATCAGGACTTTTAGGCTGGGTGAATAAAAAATTGATGGTTGAAAATTTAAGAAAGAGTTATCTTGTTTGTGTTTTGACATTTTGGAGGAGTTGACAGATAAAGACAAGGCTTGGGGGTATTTCCAATGACGTGCTTGGAGCTGGAGTTGAACCAGCGACCTTTAGGATCACAGCGTTTCACACAAGGAGCCTCTTGCAGTCCACCGCTCTACCAACTGAGCTATCAAGGTGCTCTATAGTCACAAGTGCAGAAAACATAGTGGCTTCTAAGACACACTATGCCCACAGAACTATTCCAACCCATGGTCAATGAAAAGCCCAGCCCTACCTGCAGAACAAAGCTTTGCAGTTTGTACCCAACAGTCATTGCCAGGGACCCAGAACGGATAATCAGGACTTTTAGGCTGGGTGAATAAAAAATTGATGGTTGAAAATTTAAGAAAGAGTTATCTTGTTTGTGTTTTGACATTTTGGAGGAGTTGACAGATAAAGACAAGGCCTGGGGGTATTTCCAATGACAAGGAGGTGCTTGGAGCTGGAGTTGAACCAGCGACCTTAGGATCACAGCGTTTCACACAAGGAGCATCTTACAGTCCACCGCTCTACCAACTGAGCTATCAAGGTGCTCAATAGTCACAAGTGCAGAAAACATAGTGGCTTCGAAGACACACTATGCCCACAGAACTATTCCAACCCATGGTCAATGAAAAGCCCAGCCCTACCTGCAGAACAAAGCTTTGCAGTTTGTACCCAACAGTCATTGCCAGGGACCCAGAACTGATAATCAGGACTTTTAGGCTGGGTGAATAAAAAATTGATGGTTGAAAATTTAAGAAAGAGTTATCTTGTTTGTGTTTTGACATTTTGGAGGAGTTGACAGATAAAGACAAGGCTTGGGGGTATTTCCAATGACGTGCTTGGAGCTGGAGTTGAACCAGCGACCTTAGGATCACAGCGTTTGACACAAGGAGCAACTTACAGTCCACCGCTCTACCAACTGAGCTATCAAGGTGCTCTCTAGTCACAAGTGCAGAAAACATAGTGGCTTCGAAGACACACTATGCCCACAGAACTATTCCAACCCATGGTCAATGAAAAGCCCAGCCCTACCTGCAGAACAAAGCTTTGCAGTTTGTACCCAACAGTCATTGCCAGGGACCCAGAACTGATAATCAGGACTTTTAGGCTGGGTGAATAAAAAATTGATGGTTGAAAATTTAAGAAAGAGTTATCTTGTTTGTGTTTTGACATTTTGGAGGAGTTGACAGATAAAGACAAGGCTTGGGGGTATTTCCAATGACGTGCTTGGAGCTGGAGTTGAACCAGCGACCTTAGGATCACAGCGTTTCACACAAGGAGCAACTTACAGTCCACCGCTCTACCAACTGAGCTATCAAAGTGCTCTATAGTCACAAGTGCAGAAAACATAGTGGCTTCGAAGACACACTATGCCCACAGAACTATTCCAACCCATGGTCAATGAAAAGCCCAGCCCTACCTGCAGAACAAAGCTTTGCAGTTTGTACCAAACAGTCATTGCCAGGGACCCAGAACTGATAATCAGGACTTTTAGGCTGGGTGAATAAAAAATTGATGGTTGAAAATTTAAGAAAGAGTTATCTTGTTTGTGTTTTGACATTTTGGAGGAGTTGACAGATAAAGACAAGGCTTGGGGGTATTTCCAATGACAAGGAGGTGCTTGGAGATGGAGTTGAACCAGCGACCTTAGGTTCACAGCGTTTCACACAAGGAGCATCTTACAGTCCACCGCTCTACCAACTGAGCTATCAAGGTGCTCTCTAGTCACAAGTGCAGAAAACATAGTGGCTTCGAAGACACACTATGCCCACAGAACTATTCCAACCCATGGTCAATGAAAAGCCCAGCCCTACCTGCAGAACAAAGCTTTGCAGTTTGTACCCAACAGTCATTGCCAGGGACCCAGAACTGATAATCAGGACTTTTAGGCTGGGTGAATAAAAAATTGATGGTTGAAAATTTACGAAAGAGTTATCTTGTTTGTGTTTTGACATTTTGGAGGAGTTGACAGATAAAGACAAGGCTTGGGGGTATTTCCAATGACAAGGAGGTGCTTGGAGCTGGAGTTGAACCAGCGACCTTAGGATCACAGCGTTTCACACAAGGAGCATCTTACAGTCCACCGCTCTACCAACTGAGCTATCAAGGTGCTCTCTAGTCACAAGTGCAGAAAACATAGTGGCTTCGAAGACACACTATGCCCACAGAACTATTCCAACCCATGGTCAATGAAAAGCCCAGCCCTACCTGCAGAACAAAGCTTTGCAGTTTGTACCCAACAGTCATTGCCAGGGACCCAGAACTGATAATCAGGACTTTTAGGCTGGGTGAATAAAAAATTGATGGTTGAAAATTTAAGAAAGAGTTATCTTGTTTGTGTTTTGACATTTTGGAGGAGTTGACAGATAAAGACAAGGCTTGGGGGTATTTCCAATGACAAGGAGGTGCTTGGAGCTGGAGTTGAACCAGCGACCTTAGGATCACAGCGTTTCACACAAGGAGCATCTTACAGTCCACCGCTCTACCAACTGAGCTATCAAGGTGCTCTCTAGTCACAAGTGCAGAAAACATAGTGGCTTCGAAGACACACTATGCCCACAGAACTATTCCAACCCATGGTCAATGAAAAGCCCAGCCCTACCTGCAGAACAAAGCTTTGCAGTTTGTACCCAACAGTCATTGCCAGGGACCCAGAACTGATAATCAGGACTTTTAGGCTGGGTGAATAAAAAATTGATGGTTGAAAATTTTAAGAAAGAGTTATCTTGTTTGTGTTTTGACATTTTGGAGGAGTTGACAGATAAAGACAAGGCTTGGGGGTATTTCCAATGACAAGGAGGTGCTTGGAGCTGGAGTTGAACCAGCGACCTTAGGATCACAGCGTTTTCACACAAGGAGCATCTTACAGTCCACCGCTCTACCAACTGAGCTATCAAGGTGCTCTCTAGTCACAAGTGCAGAAAACATAGTGGCTTCAAAGACACACTATGCCCACAGAACTATTCCAACCCATGGTCAATGAAAAGCCCAGCCCTACCTGCAGAACAAAGCTTTGCAGTTTGTACCCAACAGTCATTGCCAGGGACCCAGAACTGATAATCAGGACTTTTAGGCTGGGTGAATAAAAAATTGATGGTTGAAAATTTAAGAAAGAGTTATCTTGTTTGTGTTTTGACATTTTGGAGGAGTTGACAGATAAAGACAAGGCTTGGGGGTATTTCCAATGACAAGGAGGTGCTTGGAGCTGGAGTTGAACCAGCGACCTTAGGATCACAGCGTTTCACACAAGGAGCATCTTACAGTCCACCGCTCTACCAACTGAGCTATCAAGGTGCTCTCTAGTCACAAGTGCAGAAAACATAGTGGCTTCGAAGACACACTATGCCCACAGAACTATTCCAACCCATGGTCAATGAAAAGCCCAGCCCTACCTGCAGAACAAAGCTTTGCAGTTTGTACCCAACAGTCATTGCCAGGGACCCAGAACTGATAATCAGGACTTTTAGGCTGGGTGAATAAAAAATTGATGGTTGAAAATTTAAGAAAGAGTTATCTTGTTTGTGTTTTGACATTTTGGAGGAGTTGACAGATAAAGACAAGGCTTGGGGGTATTTCCAATGATGTGCTTGGAGCTGGAGTTGAACCAGCGGCCTTAGAATCACAGCGTTTTACACAAGGAGCATCTTACAGTCCACAGCTCTACCAACTGAGCTATCAAGGTGCTCTCTAGTCACAAGTGCAGACAACATAGTGGCTTCGAAGACACACTATGCCCACAGAACTATTCCAACCCATGGTCAATGAAAAGCCCAGCCCTACCTGCAGAACAAAGCTTTGCAGTTTGTACCCAACAGTCATTGCCAGGGACCCAGAACTGATAATCAGGACTTTTAGGCTGGGTGAATAAAAAATTGATGGTTGAAAATTTAAGAAAGAGTTATCTTGTTTGTGTTTTGACATTTTGGAGGAGTTGACAGATAAAGACAAGGCTTGGGGGTATTTCCAATGACAAGGAGGCGCTTGGAGCTGGAGTTGAACCAGCGACCTTAGGATCACAGCGTTTCACACAAGGAGCATCTTACAGTCCACCGCTCTACCAACTGAGCTATCAAGGTGCTCTCTAGTCACAAGTGCAGAAAACATAGTGGCTTCGAAGACACACTATGCCCACAGAACTATTCCAACCCATGGTCAATGAAAAGCCCAGCCCTACCTGCAGAACAAAGCTTTGCAGTTTGTACCCAACAGTCATTGCCAGGGACCCAGAACTGATAATCAGGACTTTTAGGCTGGGTGAATAAAAAATTGATGGTTGAAAATTTAAGAAAGAGTTATCTTGTTTGTGTTTTGACATTTTGGAGGAGTTGACAGATAAAGACAAGGCTTGGGGGTATTTCCAATGACGTGCTTGGAGCTGGAGTTGAACCAGCGACCTTAGGATCACAGCGTTTCACACAAGGAGCATCTTACAGTCCACCGCTCTACCAACTGAGCTATCAAGGTGCTCTCTAGTCACAAGTGCAGAAAACATAGTGGCTTCGAAGACACACTATGCCCACAGAACTATTCCAACCCATGGTCAATGAAAAGCCCAGCCCTACCTGCAGAACAAAGCTTTGCAGTTTGTACCCAACAGTCATTGCCAGGGACCCAGAACTGATAATCAGGACTTTTAGGCTGGGTGAATAAAAAATTGATGGTTGAAAATTTAAGACAGAGTTATCTTGTTTGTGTTTTGACATTTTGGAGGAGTTGACAGATAAAGACAAGGCTTGGGGGTATTTCCAATGACGTGCTTGGAGCTGGAGTTGAACAAGCGACCTTAGGATCACAGCGTTTCACAAAAGGAGCATCTTACAGTCCACCGCTCTACCAACCGAGCTATCAAGGTGCTCTCTAGTCACAAGTGCAGAAAACATAGTGGCTTCGAAGACACACTATGCCCACAGAACTATTCCAACCCATGGTCAATGAAAAGCCCAGCCCTACCTGCAGAACAAAGCTTTGCAGTTTGTACCCAACAGTCATTGCCAGGGACCCAGAACTGATAATCAGGACTTTTAGGCTGGGTGAATAAAAAATTGATGGTTGAAAATTTAAGAAAGAGTTATCTTGTTTGTGTTTTGACATTTTGGAGGAGTTGACAGATAAAGACAAGGCTTGGGGGTATTTCCAATGACAAGGAAGTGCTTGGAGCTGGAGTTGAACCAGCGACCTTAGGATCACAGCGTTTCACACAAGGAGCATCTTACAGTCCACCGCTCTACCAACTGAGCTATCAAGGTGCTCTCTAGTCACAAGTGCAGAAAACATAGTGGCTTCGAAGACACACTATGCCCACAGAACTATTCCAACCCATGGTCAATGAAAAGCCCAGCCCTACCTGCAGAACAAAGCTTTGCAGTTTGTACCCAACAGTCATTGCCAGGGACCCAGAACTGATAATCAGGACTTTTAGGCTGGGTGAATAAAAAATTGATGGTTGAAAATTTAAGAAAGAGTTATCTTGTTTGTGTTTTGACATTTTGGAGGAGTTGACAGATAAAGACAAGGCTTGGGGGTATTTCCAATGACAAGGAGGTGCTTGGAGCTGGAGTTGAACCAGCAACCTTAGGATCACAGCGTTTCACACAAGGAGCATCTTACAGTCCACCGCTCTACCAACTGAGCTATCAAGGTGCTCTCTAGTCACAAGTGCAGAAAACATAGTGGCTTCTAAGACACACTATGCCCACAGAACTATTCCAACCCATGGTCAATGAAAAGCCCAGCCCTACCTGCAGAACAAAGCTTTGCAGTTTGTACCCAACAGTCATTGCCAGGGACCCAGAACTGATAATCAGGACTTTTAGGCTGGGTGAATAAAAAATTGATGGTTGAAAATTTAAGAAAGAGTTATCTTGTTTGTGTTTTGACATTTTGGAGGAGTTGACAGATAAAGACAAGGCTTGGGGGTATTTCCAATGACAAGGAGGTGCTTGGAGCTGGAGTTGAACCAGCGACCTTAGGATCACAGCGTTTCACACAAGGAGCATCTTACAGTCCACCGCTCTACCAACTGAGCTATCAAGGTGCTCTCTAGTCACAAGTGCAGAAAACATAGTGGCTTCGAAGACACACTATGCCCACAGAACTATTCCAACCCATGGTCAATGAAAAGCCCAGCCCTACCTGCAGAACAAAGCTTTGCAGTTTGTACCCAACAGTCATTGCCAGGGACCCAGAACTGATAATCAGGACTTTTAGGCTGGGTGAATAAAAAATTGATGGTTGAAAATTTAAGAAAGAGTTATCTTGTTTGTGTTTTGACATTTTGGAGGAGTTGACAGATAAAGACAAGGCTTGGGGGTATTTCCAATGACAAGGAGGTGCTTGGAGCTGGAGTTGAACCAGCGACCTTAGGATCACAGCGTTTGACACAAGGAGCATCTTACAGTCCACCGCTCTACCAACTGAGCTATCAAGGTGCTCTCTAGTCACAAGTGCAGAAAACATAGTGGCTTCGAAGACACACTATGCCCACAGAACTATTCCAACCCATGGTCAATGAAAAGCCCAGCCCTACCTGCAGAACAAAGCTTTGCAGTTTGTACCCAACAGTCATTGCCAGGGACCCAGAACTGATAATCAGGACTTTTAGGCTGGGTGAATAAAAAATTGATGGTTGAAAATTTAAGAAAGAGTTATCTTGTTTGTGTTTTGACATTTTGGAGGAGTTGACAGATAAAGACAAGGCTTGGGGGTATTTCCAATGACGTGCTTGGAGCTGGAGTTGAACCAGCGACCTTAGGATCACAGCGTTTCACACAAGGAGCAACTTACAGTCCACCGCTCTACCAACTGAGCTATCAAAGGTGCTCTCTAGTCACAAGTGCAGAAAACATAGTGGCTTCGAAGACACACTATGCCCACAGAACTATTCCAACCCATGGTCAATGAAAAGCCCAGCCCTACCTGCAGAACAAAGCTTTGCAGTTTGTACCAACAGTCATTGCCAGGGACCCAGAACTGATAATCAGGACTTTTAGGCTGGGTGAATAAAAAATTGATGGTTGAAAATTTAAGAAAGAGTTATCTTGTTTGTGTTTTGACATTTTGGAGGAGTTGACAGATAAAGACAAGGCTTGGGGGTATTTCCAATGACGTGCTTGGAGCTGGAGTTGAACCAGCGACCTTAGGATCACAGCGTTTCACACAAGGAGCATCTTACAGTCCACCGCTCTACCAACTGAGCTATCAAGGTGCTCTCTAGTCACAAGTGCAGAAAACATAGTGGCTTCGAAGACACACTATGCCCACAGAACTATTCCAACCCATGGTCAATGAAAAGCCCAGCCCTACCTGCAGAACAAAGCTTTGCAGTTTGTACCCAACAGTCATTGCCAGGGACCCAGAACTGATAATCAGGACTTTTAGGCTGGGTGAATAAAAAATTGATGGTTGAAAATTTAAGAAAGAGTTATCTTGTTTGTGTTTTGACATTTTGGAGGAGTTGACAGATAAAGACAAGGCTTGGGGGTATTTCCAATGACGTGCTTGGAGCTGGAGTTGAACCAGCGACTTTAGGATCACAGCGTTTCACACAAGGAGCAACTTACAGTCCACCGCTCTACCAACTGAGCTATCAAGGTGCTCTCTAGTCACAAGTGCAGAAAACATAGTGGCTTTGAAGACACACTATGCCCACAGAACTATTCCAACCCATGGTCAATGAAAAGCCCAGCCCTACCTGCAGAACAAAGCTTTGCAGTTTGTACCCAACAGTCATTGCCAGGGACCCAGAACTGATAATCAGGACTTTTAGGCTGGGTGAATAAAAAATTGATGGTTGAAAATTTAAGAAAGAGTTATCTTGTTTGTGTTTTGACATTTTGGAGGAGTTGACAGATAAAGACAAGGCTTGGGGGTATTTCCAATGACAAGGAGGTGCTTGGAGCTGGAGTTGAACCAGCGACCTTAGGATCACAGCGTTTCACACAAGGAGCATCTTACAGTCCACCGCTCTACCAACTGAGCTATCAAGGTGCTCTCTAGTCACAAGTGCAGAAAACATAGTGGCTTCGAAGACACACTATGCCCACAGAACTATTCCAACCCATGGTCAATGAAAAGCCCAGCCCTACCTGCAGAACAAAGCTTTGCAGTTTGTACCCAACAGTCATTGCCAGGGACCCAGAACTGATAATCAGGACTTTTAGGCTGGGTGAATAAAAAATTGATGGTTGAAAATTTAAGAAAGAGTTATCTTGTTTGTGTTTTGACATTTTGGAGGAGTTGACAGATAAAGACAAGGCTTGGGGGTATTTCCAATGACAAGGAGGTGCTTGGAGCTGGAGTTGAACCAGCGACCTTAGGATCACAGCGTTTCACACAAGGAGCATCTTACAGTCCACCGCTCTACCAACTGAGCTATCAAGGTGCTCTCTAGTCACAAGTGCAGAAAACATAGTGGCTTCGAAGACACACTATGCCCACAGAACTATTCCAACCCATGGTCAATGAAAAGCCCAGCCCTACCTGCAGAACAAAGCTTTGCAGTTTGTACCCAACAGTCATTGCCAGGGACCCAGAACTGATAATCAGGACTTTTAGGCTGGGTGAATAAAAAATTGATGGTTGAAAATTTAAGAAAGAGTTATCTTGTTTGTGTTTTGACATTTTGGAGGAGTTGACAGATAAAGACAAGGCTTGGGGGTATTTCCAATGACAAGGAGGTGCTTGGAGCTGGAGTTGAACCAGCGACCTTAGGATCACAGCGTTTCACACAAGGAGCAACTTACAGTCCACCGCTCTACCAACTGAGCTATCAAAGTGCTCTATAGTCACAAGTGCAGAAAACATAGTGGCTTCGAAGACACACTATGCCCACAGAACTATTCCAACCCATGGTCAATGAAAAGCCCAGCCCTACCTGCAGAACAAAGCTTTGCAGTTTGTACCCAACAGTCATTGCCAGGGACCCAGAACTGATAATCAGGACTTTTAGGCTGGGTGAATAAAAAATTGATGGTTGAAAATTTAAGAAAGAGTTATCTTGTTTGTGTTTTGACATTTTGGAGGAGTTGACAGATAAAGACAAGGCTTGGGGGTATTTCCAATGACAAGGAGGTGCTTGGAGCTGGAGTTGAACCAGCGACCTTAGGATCACAGCGTTTCACACAAGGAGCATCTTACAGTCCACCGCTCTACCAACTGAGCTATCAAGGTGCTCTCTAGTCACAAGTGCAGAAAACATAGTGGCTTCGAAGACACACTATGCCCACAGAACTATTCCAACCCATGGTCAATGAAAAGCCCAGCCCTACCTGCAGAACAAAGCTTTGCAGTTTGTACCCAACAGTCATTGCCAGGGACCCAGAACTGATAATCAGGACTTTTAGGCTGGGTGAATAAAAAATTGATGGTTGAAAATTTAAGAAAGAGTTATCTTGTTTGTGTTTTGACATTTTGGAGGAGTTGACAGATAAAGACAAGGCTTGGGGGTATTTCCAATGACGTGCTTGGAGCTGGAGTTGAACCAGCGACTTTAGGATCACAGCGTTTCACACAAGGAGCAACTTACAGTCCACCGCTCTACCAACTGAGCTATCAAGGTGCTCTCTAGTCACAAGTGCAGAAAACATAGTGGCTTCGAAGACACACTATGCCCAGAGAACTATTCCAACCCATGGTCAATGAAAAGCCCAGCCCTACCTGCAGAACAAAGCTTTGCAGTTTGTACCAAACAGTCATTGCCAGGGACCCAGAACTGATAATCAGGACTTTTAGGCTGGGTGAATAAAAAATTGATGGTTGAAAATTTAAGAAAGAGTTATCTTGTTTGTGTTTTGACATTTTGGAGGAGTTGACAGATAAAGACAAGGCTTGGGGGTATTTACATTGACGTGCTTGAGCTGGAGTTGAACCAGCGACCTTAGGATCACAGCGTTACACACAAGGAGCATCTTACAGTCCACCGCTCTACCAACTGAGCTATCAAAGTGCTCTATAGTCACAAGTGCAGAAAACATAGTGGCTTCGAAGACACACTATGCCCACAGAACTATTCCAACCCATGGTCAATGAAAAGCCCAGCCCTACCTGCAGAACAAAGCTTTGCAGTTTGTACCAAACAGTCATTGCCAGGGACCCAGAACTGATAATCAGGACTTTTAGGCTGGGTGAATAAAAAATTGATGGTTGAAAATTTAAGAAAGAGTTATCTTGTTTGTGTTTTGACATTTTGGAGGAGTTGACAGATAAAGACAAGGCTTGGGGGTATTTCCAATGACGTGCTTGGAGCTGGAGTTGAACCAGCGACCTTAGGATCACAGCGTTTCACACAAGGAGCATCTTACAGTCCACCGCTGTACCAACTGAGCTATCAAGGTGCTCTCTAGTCACAAGTGCAGAAAACATAGTGGCTTCGAAGACACACTATGCCCACAGAACTATTCCAACCCATGGTCAATGAAAAGCCCAGCCCTACCTGCAGAACAAAGCTTTGCAGTTTGTACCCAACAGTCATTGCCAAGGACCCAGAACCGATATTCAGGACTTTTAGGCTGGGTGAATAAAAAATTGATATTTGGAAAGTTATGCAGGAGTTATCTTGTTTGTGTTTTTACATTTTGAAGGAGTTGACAGATGAAGACAAGGCTTGGCATTATTTCAATGTGATTACACCTAAAACATTGCTCACACCAATGAAATGCACTGGCTTCAAGCTGGAGTTGAACCAGCGACCTTACTTATTCTTTTTGGCAGGTGAATAATATATCTTAAAACTTGTTCTCCCACTCTGTAGCCACTGAAGCAGTGAAATAATTCTATTAAAAGAACCTGCCTTCATGTGTCCTTACACTGCACTGATGAGGATACTCTGAGAAATCCGTATAAGTCCCTAAGACTTTAAGCATACTTAAGAATTAATGTGTAATAGTGGATTCCAGTCACTGATGATAAAGAGTACTTCATGTTGGCTCTACCTACTATTTGATGGATGTCTTTTTTATATTCAGAGCAGGCATGTCTAAATGCTGCATATACATCAAAGTAATTTGTATTTTTCCAGACAAAGTGCTTATGCTGCTCTAAAACAACAGGGGAAAAAAAAAGAACTGCAAAGTGCATTTCTAACAGCCTCTCAGGGTTGTGTCTCTTAATATGTTTCATTTGATTTTCTCAAAAGTGGGAAACAAATGGGCACCAGTTATCTTACAGAGCAGACTCAAGTTTCCCTGCTTTTTTGATAAACTTGTCAATTCTTTCAGTCTGTATTATTGTAAAGAAAAAGGTGAGCTAAGGAGACTTTTTGGTGGCAGCATATCTCTTAGTCTAAAGGATGAGAAAATATGTCATTCATTCTTTGTCCAAAGATAGCTCTGAGAGCCTAACCACTTTTGGTCAGTTTGAGTAACAGTGCAGATTTACTATACTCTACTGTTCAGAAGAGACGTGTTTGAAGGTATCAAGTCTGTTGGCTTGTTGTTGTTGGACATTTTCTGTGCAGACTGGTTGATCTAGAAGTTTAAATGTATAGCATCACGGAAAATGAAGTTACCGTTTTAACCACATTTAATATCCAGTGTTCTTGTCATATCTCTAAAATGTACAATAAAAATAAAAACAACTCTTTCAATATGATATTTTTACATATGATTCAAGGGCTGGATTAAGACAATAAAGCCACAAACTTGGCTGTCAGCCTAAATATCAATGCATCTTAAAGCTCCTGGAGGAACCTTTGGTTTGTTTCAATTTTGGTACCCCCTGTGGACAAAGTAGTCTTTGTTTATCTTGTCTTTTACATGCTTAATAGTCGTTTCTGAGTAAAGACCTCATCTTGCTGACTTTGGATGGCCAATTGTATAAATTGCACTTGCACTTCTGATTGAGATCATTTTTGATTCCTGCTGCAGCTTATTATTCATTAAGAGATTGAGATCGCCTCCTATTTACGGTCACTTTTATATCTCAGAAAGTTGGAGATAAAGCTTTATTTGAGCTCCCTCTGAGAGGAATATTTTTTGTTCTGTTTTTTTCCTGCTCTTGATTTTAAGTTTGGACTGTACGCTACTATTCTCCATGTCTGTTTTGTGCCCTCCTTAAAAACATGATGGGTTTTATCCTGAGATACTAAATTCCCTCTCTCACTTGTTTCTTGTTGTGGATGACAAAAGATTGGCATTCACATTTTAAGCTCATAGAGATAAGCTTTCACAGAGACGCTCACTTGAGTGAACGTGTTTATTTTTGTGTGAATAAGCTTTGATTCCTTTCTTTCTTTTTGTCCACATCCTCTCCCTTTCACTGTCTGAGTTACTCACAGAAGAGACAGAAACTCTTTCATCCTGTCATAGAGACGACAGTGGGAGCTGTCAGATCTCACACACTGGGGTCACTCAGCAGCAGGAGTTTATATCACTTTCAATCCCACACACAAATGTGAGCATGAAACCACACACCCATGCACACACTCTTTTATATCGGACAATTGCTTATGCTTTGGCTTGGCATGGTTTCTTCCCTTTTCTGCTCTGCTGACAGAGAAAACAACATGAATACCCCAAACTGATCTATTCTAAATATCAACCACATGACAGTTTTCTTCTTTTTCACAAGTCTGACAACTGAGCCAATACAGCAACGTTACAGGTCCAACACTCTGTCAACAGTTCAACATTTACACGAGAGTCTCCTCACAGTGTTCAATCAATTCAGCCTTTATTACTCACAGTGAGGGATTAAGGAAACTGCCTTTTGCTCATCCATCTGGTACATAACTGAAAAAATACTTTGGAGCTTACGTTCTATATTTAATTGAAATTAATTTTCATAAAGTGCTTCACAAATATTACAGAGACAATGGCAGAAGGACAAACAAATAATCATATAATATAATAGCTCAACAGTTATAAGTCAAAACAGTGGATGTGAAATTGGAGGTCTTACTGGGGGAAAATGAGGCTGACTACCAGAGGCCCCTAAAGGAAGGAAAGGGACCCCCAACAGGCCCAAAGACTGTTTATATTTATTTTATTATCTTTTTTCTCTAATTCATAGTTTTGAAAAGTAAAGAAAAAATACCTGAATTAATAGTATCAAAGGTGAAAGAAAGGAGCAATGAGGAAATGAGTTTTTCCACGGTTTTTGTAAAAACAAGCAGAGCAAATGTCACAAAGACCAGTGAAGAAATCAGCCACTAATCAGACTTGGATCAAATTGATATTGTTTACTTGGCGTCCTTCCATATGAAAGTACGACATGCTTCAGCGATAAACAAAAGCACACATTTGAATCACCTAGACATGAATAAATCTGAACCAGTAAAGAGGGCAGAGGACTGCACTGGTGATGTTGTTAAAGCTGCCACATAACAGATATATGAATCTCTGTAACCACAATGCAACTAAAATTCAAAAGACCTAAAAAAAAAAAAGGGCACTGCAGGGTGGCTCTTATGGTGTGTTGGTTGGCACAGATGTCTCACACAAAGCTAGGTCAGATTTCAAATCTAAGCCTGAGTCTGTGCTGAGCAAGAAGATGAGCAGACGTTTACAAAGCACATTGTAAACACCTGTTTTTAAAGGTGCTATATAAATAAAGTTTTTATTATTAGTTAAATGTTTCTGGGTTCGAATCCAGGGGAAAGGGCAAGGTTGAGGCACGGAGAGAAAAAGGGAGTAGGTCAGAAAAGTTAAAGGAGACAGCAGAAAGAGTGAGACAAAGTGGGAAATGAAAAAGGAAGACGGGCCAAAGTTATCCCACTAATCTCTATCCCTGAGAGGGTAGAGAGGGCTTTCCTTTGTTATTCTGATGGACAGAAAAAGAAGACATTAAGATGAGATGTTTTTCATGAAAAAATAGGCTCTTTCTTTAATTGTAAAGATGTTTGACATATGCTAACAGAGGATCCGCAGATGTAGCCATTAACATTAATTAAAGCTGCATCTGCCTGAGGCGGACTGAGCTCAGTGTGTTTGTGTAGAGCATTCTGGCTTACTCGGTCAACAGTCAATAGAAATTGACAGAAGTCATCATTAATGACATTGGATCCACCTGTCCTTTCTTATCTGCAATGCTCCTTTTTTGATTGCTTTGTTGAACCAGCAGCCACATCCCGAACAAACTGTCCCTGACAGTTTTAACTTAACTAGACTGAACAGGTAGAAGAATACTCAGGACTAGTAAATCAATGAAAAAAAACAAATTCAACAACTAAATAAAACAAATTCAAAAGAATAAAGGTTGAATGTACATCATCTACCAGTTTAAGTCCATTACACTGTGTTATTGCAAAGGGTACACTGTAGTCATGCAATAGAAGTTGTAAAAGATTAAATATTACCCTCAAAAACAATTAGCTTGATGACTAGGATTTCTAATGATGATAAGGATATTAAAGACTTCTGTCAGGGTCTGTGTGGTCTGTAGCTGTGGTTGAAATTTCCAGTGGATAGGCATGTGACTTCCTGCAAATGTTAAGTACATGGAGGCAAGTTGAGTCTGTGGCTGTGAAGTTGAAGCTCCAAATGACAGTATTCATGGCTCAAAGTATGAAAGCTAAAATTCTAACATGTTGCTTTTATATTAATGCAAAGGAGTGAAAAGTACTGTATTACCAGCCGAAATACAGAGTAGTGTCATGAAATGAAAACAGGCCTCATAAAGAAACCTTCAGATACTCTACTTCAAACTTGTGCTTTGAATTCGCTAACTTTAGTGAATGCTTTAATGTTTCAAATATATTACATTGTAAAGTGCATGGTCAAGTGCACTGAAAAAGAGTTGTTCATGAAACTTATCTATGCGTATGACTGTACTTGAGTTGAACTGCGGCTAGCTTCTGCTCTCTGCTGCCACCTGCTGCCTTAAAAACATAAACTGTATATAGAAAATGTGGACAAACTTAATAAATCTATTGCACAGAACATAAATCCCCCCTGTTTGCAATGTTGACATGTAGTTATTGTAAGACTGGTTCGTGCTCAAGTCCTCTTTTGTCTGTACAGCTCCGATTTTAAATGTTATTAGGGGGTTCATGTTTCATTCACGTTTCCTATGATTGACGTCTGATACAGCCTATGGGCGTAAAAGCATTGCGTAGCTCACCCGTGGGGATACGCTGTTTGAGCTGAGCGTCATCACAGCGAGCGAACTTCTTTGTAGGATGGTAGGAGAAGGTCCCGCCCTCCTTCGCCTCTGATTGGCTAGAAGTGCTGGGCTCCGATTAGTTACTAGTTATTTCTTCTGACTGTGGAACGTCATCGTCTATCAGGTTAGGATTAGGATTAGGGTTAGAGTTAGGAGATTTAGAAGTGCGATAATGTTCTGTTCGATGTACAAAGCCGACAGCCCGCGTTTGGCTTGAGCGTGTGACGATGTCTCCAGCTTTTCTAGCCAATCAGAGGCGAAGGAGGCGGGACTTTCCACTACCATCCTACAAGAAAAAAAGTTCGCTCACAGCGACTCTCGGCGACTCTACCACTGAATGAGCGCAATGCTTCAGCGCAATGTTGGTTTCAGGAAATGGAGAAAAACGCGGATTTACCGAGAGCTTTTTGGCCTCAAATCCATATAGTGGCGGAGGGCGGAACCAAGTTGTTGATAGTATATACAGTCTATGCTTAAAAGACACTGTCACGCCACCGTCCACTCGGTGTTTCTCAGCATTGTTGTCAATTCCACCCGCGAAAAGTGCACTTCTAGCTGATAGTATTATTAGCCTGCCTTGTCAGTTGATGTTGTGCTTGAAAACGCTCACATAAGGACGCCTTCACGGCTTTAGGAAACACCTCTGAGACTCCTCACCAAGTGTAAGGTAAGAACTAGCTGCTTTTGCAAACACCATGCTGGCTCCCTCTGATCGCTTGTTTTGTAATATCTCTCTGTTACCACTGAATGGTTTCATGTCATTCTACATATTGGCTGGGCTGGGTTTTCCTTTTGTTGGATTATGATGCTGTAATGCTTTTACTTGGCATGGTGGTAAAATGGTGGCTGTTTCAATATGGGAGTGATGTGGGATGAATTTGTTTTCTTGCAGAATATTTCCCCCCAGGTTGCTTGTGTTGTTTTTGTGGAGTTGCCAGTTGGCTCACAGCAAATTGGGTCTCAAGTAGGAGGATGTTGCTGTATTGTATTTTTGCTTGACAAAGTACCTTTTATTGCACAGTAGAATTCTGTGAAATGTCAACAGAATTACTGTCTGGCATAAGACCCATCCAGGTATAGAAACTCTGTTATCTTGGCTATAAGAGAAGCCTTACATTATAGCATTATGTTGTGTTTACATCTTTTTGGTCCTAACACTAGATGAATATTGAGTTTGTGACACATAACTCTACGATTTTTTAAATTTTGGTTTAATGTGTGCAGTAGTACTAAGGTTGTCATTCATGATTTACTAAAATGTGCTTCTTTATGTCAGCCATGTGTATAACTGCTGCCATATTTTGGGGTAAATTTGGCTGTATCTTACTATAATCCAGGAGTTCATCATCCTTATACACTGTGTGTACAAGCTATTGCTGCTATAACACCCCAGCATTGCTGTTGCTTCTCGTTCAGCATGTATAAACCCGACTTCCACCCAGGTACCCACCTGAAGGCTCTGATATCCCCATGGACAAGTTTATCATTGTCACTTGGCAGTGCTGAGGTTGGTGTTTGCTTGCAGGTAGTGATGAGGTCAGTCTCCAGACACAAAATACAATCTGTACTACTCTATATCTGCCCAGTAAGACAGCCAGTCACCCAGTAAAGGGCTTGGTTGAATTACCTTGTCCTCAGTGCCTCAGTGCTGGTGGATGGCTTTAAACCTGTTGTGTGGAGCACTGTTTCCTGTCAAAATAACGCCACCCTTACCAAATCAGTCTGAGCCTTGAGATAGAGAGCACAACACACACACACACACACACACACACACACACACACACACACACACACACACACACACACAGGTGGAAACACACTGCAGTACAACACCCCAATAAGATTATTTTCAACCATTTTTCAGGTCTCTTTCACAGCAAGTTATTTGTACCCATCTCATGTTCTCGCCTTTTGTTTTCAAGTTGCTTTGTTTTGTATGCTTCACATGCACTTTGATGCAAAAGAAATTGCCTTTTCTGGATAAAATGAAAGTGCACTTGGTTAGAGTGAATGAATAAATGATTAAGCTTCAAGTACAGCCCAGTTGTCATCTCTGCCATTTAGGGATTTGCAACAGTACCAGTTGAATGAGTGTTTCTTTTCATTTCTTTGCAGCATACTGGTATTGAAGTATTTTGTTTTTTGAAATATGGAGCTTTCTGTACTGTGTTGCTCCCTTCAAAATTGGCAAATTTTAAAAATGCAGTTTGAACCATGTCTGAGACTGTGGTGTTGTAGGTGAAGGTTTTTGAAGCATGATGTTTATTCGAATCCATCTTTGCAAAAGTATGAAAAGAGATGGTTATAAAAGCGTGAAACTGATAGGCTAAAGCTGTTGATTTTGATGAGTGAGTTCTTCAATTCAGTGTGAAAAGCACTGCTGCTGGTGTGCTGCTTCAACTGACTTTTTTGTCATTGTCAACAAGGAAAAGTGATGCCAGAGAAACTGCTCGAAATGACACTGTAGAGGTAAAATTCTGTCTCTGTACTGCTCCATCCCTAATTATTAAATTAAACATAATGCAGACCAGCTCTTCTTCGTCCTGCAGTCCTATTATATCCTTATCTGGTACTTGTGGTTGGTATTGGATTTCTGTGTTGTACATTTGCATTCCGACTGCAGTTTTTGTTGAAAAACACTTGTTGAAAGGAGCGTGGACTGTGAAGGACAGCAAACAACTCCTTTTGTACTTCCTGGATTTTAGATTAAGCTAACCATTGTGCTAAAAATCAATTTCATATGTTCAAGGCCAAGCCTTTCTGATTGAATCCATTTTCCGTTAAAATAAATGGTTTCATCCACTGTTTAATCAAGGGCAGCTGCAAATCTGATGAAACGTTCTGCTTTTGACATTCAGGGAGGACAACTAGACATATCTTCTCTCTATGTGTCAGTGAAATAAAAGACAAAATCCTGCTTGAGAGCTAAAGTGCGCACAGGTCAGGACTATGGATCCATTCCAAATGAGCTTCCACCTTAATTATGGGTTTCCTTTTAGATAAAAATGATACAACTTAATTTGTAATGCACAAAATACATATCAGTGAAAGCAAAAGTTAGTAGAAGCACATGATAAGACAAACGAGCGTTATATTTTCCACAGCAAGGACTCGCTGTTATTGAGATTTCTTTGACAGTTTCTGTAGATAAAAAAGGAGCAAATTTTCATTTAAATAACTCAGCTTTGACATACAAAACAAGGTCAACAGAGAAGAAACGAGTGTTGCTTTGTTCACAAGGGTTGCCATGATTGCCCGAAATGAAAGTTCCTCACATTAACTTGCAATAACAGAAAAGCTGGATTTTGGACCAAGTAATGGTAGAGTAGAAGAAGGAAGAAATTTCGTTTCTTCACTTGTCCACTTAACTACCAGTCAGAGCAACGGAATTTAAGACCTACAGCAGTAGGCTGCTAAGCTGTCTGTGTACTTAAAACATCCAGATCAGAGGGACTTATTTTAACTGGGGATAGACGGATATGGGGCTGATATTAACTATTAACTCCTGTTAATGATGTTACATATTCTAGTTTTTAATGAACATTTGCATTTAGGAAAAGTTTGAGTTTGTAATATTTCAGTTTCTAAGTTTTGACTGAACTTTTTGAATTCTTGCTGTCATTTATCATCAGTTCCCAATATCAGTTATGGTTTCATGAGCTACAAATAATTAGTAGAGTATTGGCCTTAAAAAACTATATTGGTCAACCACTAACTTTAACTTGATACACTGATATTTGCCATGACATGACTGAATAACCAGACTTACCATTTTGTTCAGTTTGTTTGACTGGGATTCAGTCAAACAAACTGATCAGTGTTTCTCATTACTAGCAGCCATTTTTGTGGAAATGTTTAAAGGGTGCTTAAACATGCCTCATTTTATAAGCACTTGTACTCGCCAAGTTACTCTCATGCGTATGTGAAACATCACAAAGCTTATTTTACACCCCTTGTTTAAACAGTCCATAGGAAACAATATCCAGCCTAAAACTAGACCAGTGCTTTAAAAAAATCCTCTTGACTGCTTGTGTCTTGTAAAAGGTAATTGATTTCTCTCTGCGGGTGTTAAAAAGTAATTTCCCTCAGCTTAACATTATTAAGAGGTATGAATCAATGAGGTTCAGTAAAGTATAACTTTGTAATTATCACTTTGTTAGCTAATAAAAGCCTGACTTTACAACTGAGACTGAATGAAAAACACGAAAACAGAAAATCAAAGTCTTGGTTTCCTCATAACAAAGAGAGAAAATAGTCTGAAATAGGAAATGTCTGTCTTTGTCTGGAATTCCCAATGAGCTCACCAGGTAGTGAAACTGTCTTTCTACTGACAGAAACATTCAGATCTCTGTTGTGTTTGACATTCTTCCATCGATGTCTGAAACAAAGTCAAAAAAAAAAAACCAAAACGGAAAAGATTGAAACTTTTTTGTTTAGATTTGTTTTCATTTGTTCCTGATGGCATATTGATATTTTATTTGATTATATAAGTATAAATAAGATGGTGATATTGAGTTTCATTCAGCCTAAAAAAAACTTAGCAAACACTTTGATCACAGTCAGAAGAAAAGATTTGAAACATTTGTTGCAGAGATTTGGCTCTTGATTACAGTAGATTGCACAGGTGTTGCTGGTATTGTGTCCAACCTCTGCGGGTACTTGACGCTGTGATTTGCAGCAAGTACTAAATTGTGTGAAAGCACAGCTGTGAAATGCATTTGACAGATGTATCTGGCGAATGGTTGAAATGAGGGATGATCAAAGTGTGACAGAACAGGCACAGGTCCCATTCACATATCAGCCGCAGGGAGCCAGGAGCAGCAGAGCTCAAGTGCGACATTGAGAGGCAGCAGGATTGTCTTCTGATTGAGCTGTGTAGCATTAAAGAGACTCATGACTGGCTGACACGCAGCGCCGGTCAAATGAGTCACTTTTTTTTTTTGTTGGTTTAGAGCTAGTGACATAAAATAGTTTGAAAATATTTTGTGTACTTTTCACGCTGTATAAACCTTGTGTCCTTGTAAAAAACTGTATCCTGTATAATTTTTGGTCGATGTTGTAGACAATGTTCATATGAAAGGGGAATTAGATTTTTATCTACAACAAGTGAACTGATCCATGACAGACCAAAGTTTATACATTTTTGACCAGTTTTTTAATGCTTTTTGATTTGAACATTATTGTTTTTCCATTTCATGGCTAAGTCAGTCCTAATCAGCCATTGAAAAAGTGATATCAGTCGACTCAGTAGTCTAAATTCAGGGGTCTAATGGGACATTACTACTAGTGAGCACAATTGAAGATGGAATTTTAAGTCTCTTTCAAAGTATTTACTCAAATGGGGATGTTCATTAGTGACGGATTTCCAAGTCAGTGAATAAAAATTAAATTCAGACCAGCCAATTAGTCGAAAGATGAGCGAACACTCAGGAGTCAGTCAGATTGAGCAGATTGTAACACAGCTGAACAGCGTTCAAAACCGTCTTGTGTGTCGTCCTTTTGATCACTATTTGAAATCACTTTTTAATAATTATATTGACAGCTGTTTGGATGCAGCTGAAATGTGCAGCTCTTTGCACAGTAAAGTATGAACACTTACCCTATCAACCACATCCCCAATTTATACTATATAATTGATATGATCAAATTTTGTTGTATGAACAACAGGGTGAGCCAGACACCAGTGTGGTCACGTAATGGTACAGAAACAGACTAAGCTAATTCAGAAGTATAAGAGATAAGTTGACGACCACTTGAAGACCTATATGCTAACTAATACATGCCGCAGAATTTTTGGCTTGACGTTCATCTCTGATGGGGAGTCAGCCACGCTCGACTATCCCTCCTGCTCCTGATTTTCTGGCATGTCCACATCCCAGCGTGCTCGGCTCTCCTGCTCCTGGAGGGGCTGCGTGGGAGTGATAGACGGTTAGCAGTGACATCCTAAATCAGCCGTATAGACTGATCAAAGTGTGCCATTGTTAGACTGAAATTGGACTTGGGCTGGCAGCGGCGAAGCTCAATATGAGGCAAGTTTCTGTCCTGTCTGCTCTCATTTCCAGCTCAGGGTTGTGAATGATTCATCATAGGGAGTGTGGAAATGATGGAGGAAAAGTTCAAATAGAGAGTGACAAATTCTTGGTTGAGATGTCTGTACCAGAGGGGGCGAGAGGTGTTGTTATTCAAATGCAGATCTTAAGTCTTTGAACACTCTATGTTAGCTGCTTCTGTTCTGAGGAGATTTCCTACCTTTTGTGCTTTAGCTTTCTTTTCCCTTTTTCTCTCTGAATTGTAATTCAGCAACTGACTTTTTTTATTTCACAGCTTTTAGATGTAGTGAATGTCATACTACTTGCATGCAGTCACTTGTATAAAGTGTATGCGAAGCCAAAGAGAGCACCATATTTATGCAAAGCGGCTGGCCCGCGATACTCTAACACTGTCCTCTGTTTGTTTCTTCTTGAAGATACGAGATACTCTCTGAATGGTATCCAAGGCTATCTTTATTCAAAGACACTGTTGCTATGTAGGACTGTTGCTATGGAGGAGTCACCAACCCTTTTCATTGAGCAGGATGGCTGTAGCCTCGCCACAGGGAGGAGCCCTTTCTCTCTCTCTCTCCCTCTCTTTCTCTCTCTTTCTTCTCTTCCTCCTGTGTGATTTTTTTTCCTGAGGTGAACACCCTAGGGTAGACAGCAGGGGGGCTCCTTCCTCACATTGATAAAAATAAAACAGTGAGTCACTCAAGATAAGAAGAAATGGAAAGTTCAAGAAGTGGCCAAAGTGTGCAACTCTGCAGTACTGCAGCATGGAGCTCAACAGGTGAAAGATCTGAATGCTTTAGTGCTGGCTGTTGTCTGTCCCCCTCCTCTTTGTGTTTGTCTGTGAGTATTAAATCAAATCCCACAGTTTGCACACCTTGAAGGCCTACAGGCAGCCAATATTCTCCTCACTTTGGAAATATGCCCCAGAAACAGGTGCTTTATTGCTTTTGATTATCATTAATTTCCTGATGTATTGTAATCTTGTGCAAGAGGGATGCAAGAAGTGCAAAAATATGTCTGGGAAAGAAAGTTAACTTTTATTTTGAAACAACAAATGCCTGTCAGACAGCCTGGGCTGTCAAACAGTCTTAAAATCCCAGACTTTTGTTTCAACTTGCCCTATAAAATTCTCACTGAGGTGAGTAATAAGATTGGCGGCGTTGGATGTAGCAGGAGAGAGCAGCTGTAATATTCAGTTTTCACATGAACAGCCAGCTTTAAAGAGAATTTTGACTTTATCCTTTTTGTAATGACATGAGAGGAGGGATTTATAAGTTACAAGGATTAGGACAGCGTGTCTGAGGAATGTGCTTGCTACTAGGAGATACTTGTTGATTGGTATTTTATTATTCTGCTATAATATCAAATTTATGGGAGCTATTAACACAGGATTCATAAAAGTAGCCTGAGAATTTAGAGGTTCATGTATTTACTGTGAACATTTAGCCATGCTTTGGTTTTACAGCTGAGTGTACAATGGGGTGGCATAACTGGGTGAACACCGTATCTCTATAAAGTCACCAAGTATGGAGACAGAACACAGTGTTGGTCCTGCTATAAATTCGGCCGCCATGATGGGCTTTTTTTTGTGATGCTGTTAAACTGTGTTGCAACTCACCGAGAGTTTGTTATTGATGCTTCCTGAAGCGGATGGAGAAAATAACACCTGTCAGTGAAATGCAGTACACTGCAACGTAACCTCAAAGGTAAATAAACAGCTGCTCAGAAAAGTTTCAACAAGACATAAAAGACCTCATCTTGGTGAGAGTAGAATTGGCTGCAGGACTTTTTGTATTAACCTGCATCAGTTTGCAGATGGTGTAAGATTACAGAGTAAACCTGTAAAGTCCAACATAGACTGCAACCTACCTTAAAGACCCGCTCCGATGAATTTTGTTTTCTTGTTGTCTGTATGTTCGAATTGCATTTTGTAATGCTAGAGGACATACCACAAAAAAAGAGCAAGTGCGAAATTGCATTTCTGAGTATTTCTGCATTCAGATTGTTGTGAACCTCAGGCAGTCGTCCAACTTGCAGGTCAGATTTCATACGTAACCAATCCATGGGTGGGCCACAAGCTCAAAGCTCCGCCCCCCAGCGCCGTGCTCTGTCTCTGCAGGCCAGACTGGCAAGAATTTGAGAGGATGATGGCTGAACAAGTGTGTGCTGTAGCGGACTGCAATGCTAGTAGGAAAGCTAATTGTGATATTAGCGTTCATTGTACCCCCAAAAACTTTAGTCTTCTGGAGTTGTGGACAAAGCTTCTTGGTCACAGCAACATTACAACTAAAACATTCTTCTGCAGTCAGCATTTCACAGAGTCAACGTTTACCTGCTGACTCTTACAGAAACTGATTCACATCAACCCTACAGTTGAAACATGGTGCTAATGTAGCCCGATGAAGGAGCAGAGGTTGTGTCAGAAGTTGATGAGAATTATTACATGATGTTATGGACCGCCCTTCAATCTCTGAAATTAACAAACAGCCTTCAAATTGGTCAATTACCATGAAAACACCCTGTCAAAGAAGGAAAATATTCTGTCAAAGCAAAATCTGTGCAGAAGTTTGCTGTTTGGCTAAACTGAAACTAAATGTGACTCTAACAGCCAGATTTGATTTGACTCATGAAACTCAGATTGTGCTCATCATCCTTTTTGTCCCATCCAGAGTGTTTAGTCACTCTTTTGATTCTTAAACTAAGAAAAAACCTTTGGTTTGACTTAACAAAGTGCTGTAGGCACCTAAATTACCACTACAAATCTTCGTATTTCTTTAGATGCTCCTAGAGGATATTGTAAAAACTAATTAAAATATGTTGTTGCTGAATATTTAGAAAGTGTGCTCGGTACAAACACTTGCAGAGACAGTCATTAACAAGCTTTCCTCATTATGCTAAAAAGACATAATCCAGGTGGCATCATGTTTCCTCATGAACATGTTTGCTGTTCCAATTTAAGAGTATAGGAAAGTAATTTGAAAGAGGCAGTGCTGAGAGAGGAGAGATCGAGATTCCTCCGTATGTCATTTCAGTCTGTTTGAATGAACGTAGAGGGTTTGGAAAGTCTATAAAATAAGCAAGTGGGTTGAAGTTAATGATTGAAATTGCTCTGAAACCAGCATACATTTACTGAATACTCTAAACTCTTCCATGCAAATGTTTCAGGTCTTACAAAAGGAGGATAAATTCTGCTCAGTAATGAGTGCTTGAGTATTGCAGCTCTGGTCTGTGAACCCCACTGAGACACCGTGCTGCTGCACTTTGGCTCTGATGCTGTGCTCAAAGATCAGGCCTCAGTGGACGTATTCAGCCTCCTGGAGTGTCATACCTGCAGCAGCTGTCCTAACAGAGGCCGGCGCTGAGCTGTGCCAGCTGCTGGGGATACTGCTGTACCCTTCTGGAGTGAAACCAGCATCATTAGGGCAGTCCTCTCTCACACCATCCATGTTGAATAACTAAAAAAAAAAAAGTGCCCACACCTGATTTACTGTTGTTTTTCTGCCGACTGTCACGACAATCCTTTGAAAATATTCAAAATAAGTTGTGACACACTGAGAGTTCGCTATAATGAGCTGCCATTGTTTTGTTAGGATTACCCAAAAAACAACATTTTACTTTAAGTTCATCCTTGTTTGATAGATTTCATCTCTGTGTTCATGCTTTCCTGTTTTTAAAGATTTTTGCTGCATCGTCCTCATGTAACTCTGCTAAATTTGCCTTTAACCCCTGCTGTGAGACTGTTTTAAATTCTGGATCACACACTGAGCAGCAGAGCAGCTGTGTGCTGATGCTCTTTATATGAATACCACCCTCTTATGTTTCACCAGACAGTAACAGAATACAGATAGGTTCAGGTAGACATGCAGAGCCTTTCCATATTAGTTCATTTTTGATAATGCGTGAGGCCCTGTAGTAAAAGGGCACCTGCACTGCCTGTTTCACTCTTTCTCACTGAACTTCACTCCCATCTTTTTCACCTTTAAACTATATACAGGTGCTACATGCGCTCTTTACCCTCCTCAACTCCCTCTCCTTTGCCCTCCATTGTACATGACTCCCTCCTGTGTCACCCTGCGACTTGTCCGCCTTCAAGGAGCTCTCGCACTCTGGCCCACAGCAAGGGTCATCGACTCATACCCTGTGTTCTCACCAGCAGACATCACTCAGCTCCAACCTGGGGAAAAAAGACAACCACTAATGCCTCACACCAGCTCAATACCCTCACAAGTCACACAGAAAGGTCCTTGAAGTTGTGTTAGAACTGCTAATCTTAAATGAAGTGTGCTCACTTGAGAGGGAGTCAAATGTTAATGCTGCAAAACAAAGTTGTCCCTGTAGATTTTCGATGTACAACCAAAACTACTCCCACAGCTCTTGTCGGAGGTTTTGATGTGTCCGTTCAGTCTGGCTGTGCTCGACCTTGTCCTTAGTTTTTGTTGCACATTATTCCTGCATTAGTTGATAGAGGTCATGAGGGCATGGATTGGCCAGTTACGATGAGAGCGCCATCTGCTGGATAACACAGCAAAGCTACTTGAGGTGGCCCGATGCACTATTACCATATTTTCCGGACTACAAGTCGCAAACTCAGCCAAACTATGAAAAAAAGAGCAATTTATAATCCGAAAAATATAGTGCACCATATTATTAAGAGCTCAAATAGCTCATTTACCTTAAGTTATAAAACTTTCTTATGTATTTAATCAAACTAACTGGCATTTTAGTTTGTAATGTAAGCCAAGTCTTTTGTCTGTCAAAAGAATTGATTTTGGATTTAATCACCAATTTACACTGACCTGAACCAAAACAACCCAAATCTAATCAGACTGTAATGAAGTGAATCAAACAGAATTATTCTTCACTTTAGTGAATTGATCTTGAAACGAATGGTAGCCATTCAGGCTGATAATTGAATCTGGTTGTTTTGTTTGTCTTATGAGTTTCCATTCTGATTCTCCACCCAGTTTCTCAGAGCAGGGACCGAGCTGACTTGGTGTACACTATTGACAAGTACCTCATATGAACCTGCTTCAGAAAATCTAAACCCACAAATAGACTTTAACTGCGCAGATTAGATGTCATTTAGGGTGTCCAGATTGGGTCTATTTAGGTCGTATGTACATATAGAATTTATCAACATTTGATTGGGTACTTATTCACCTAAAAATACCCTCAGGTTCCCTTCAGAGTGATGTTTTTCTGTTCACTTCGCTTTTTTCTCCTTAAGTGTCACAGAAAAGCACTTACACCGAGTCATGACATTTGGTGGAAGGTTCTGGCGAGAGGTCAAAGAAGAGCTCCATAAATTTGAAAGATCAGGATCTGACTCAGAAAACAAATTTTCCCCCCCATATCTCCTGTGTCTGAATAACAATGGATCAGGCTCAAAGTAAAGTAAAATTTTCTTCCTCAGGACCCGACATTACTCACTATGCGACAGCTGTTCATGATAACAAGGTGCCTTGTTTATGATGCCTCCAGTCTTAGTACTTCAGAGTAGCTGTGAGTCACCAAAATCGGCACGCATGTTGAGGTGTTCATCAGCAAGACACACATTCATATTTGGAAATGACAGTCAGGATTATAACTTGAGGAAAATATTTTCCATTTGCTCTTGCTGTTTTGCAAATATAAAATTGAACCATCATTTTGTCAAAATCTTACAAATAGTGAATTTTCTTCCTTCCTCCCACCAGCCTGCAAATTTCTACACCCTCTTCCTTCCCGAAGCATCGGCTGCAGAGTCTGGCAGAGCTGCTGAGCTCAGCTGTCCTTATCTCCATTCAGACATGGCAGCTCATAGATTATGTATGGTTCCTGCGGTATAAAGCCATGTCCTCCCACAGATCATGAGGAGGCCTGGTTGTGAAAACACACACAGTTAGAACCTGCAACATACGTACATGGACTGTGATCATATTAATGCCCCCTTGGATATCTTGATAGGTACTTAAAGCTTTCACACCTCCTGCTGTGCACACAAGAGTGCTTCACAGGGTCTGACAGAGGTCTTTAGTGATTTTACTGAAGCACAATAAGGTTATTGAGTAAATTATAGGGGGCATTTTGACAGGTTTGCATTATAGTCCATAAAGATTAGATTGTATTGCAATGGACTTTTTGTATTATTCTATTGCACTAGCATTTCTATGCAACTCAATGCAACTAGCAGTCATTCTTAAACCTTTCAAATCCAGAGAATGTGGAAGTGAAAAAGGCTCTGCATTGTTTCTGTAGTCCACCGAGGGAAATGTAGGAGTTTAAATTGGCTCCATCAAAAACTCATCTAAAACACTTATAAAACATGTCTTAAGCACTTATAAAACATACTTATCCCTTTTTATTTCCCACTGTAAATAAACACAAACATAAAACCTGTATTTTCCTGGTACAAATCCATCCATGTTTCAGGCTCTGTTGTCTGCTCATGCAGCAGAAGCTTCTCCTCCTTCTATTATCCTGTTTTCCTTCACCCTAGGCGTGCCTGGGGAGGCATGTTGACCAAAGTGTAGGGCCTCACATCTCTATAGGTGGGGATGAATCCACCTTGGATCTGTGTGTCAGCATGTTTACCCGTCCTTCAGGGGAGTGGGTGTAAGGAATCTGGGCCAGCCCTTCAGGCCGGCTCCCAGTGACCAAGCACAGCACCCCACAATAGAGGCGACTAATTATTACACATAGGCGTCGACACACTGATGTTTCCCTGCTCGTCTTCCACCTTTTTGTCTTTTTCTGCAGTGGAAGGTACAGGACAGAGTGTTTGAGAGGAAAATAAGTTAAAAGATGAGAGTAAAAAGGAAGAAGAGAAGGCCCAAAGCCTGTTTGCTGGCAGGGCCACTTACAGAGCGCCAAGGGGTGAGGACTCCCTATTCAGTACGTGCCATCAAGTGGTCTGTTCCCACAGGGAAACACTGGCACAGCCAGGGGCACCACTGAGGCACAGGAGAGGACTCCTTTCTCCCCCTGAAAAGAAAATGTCCTCCAGAGCAGGAGTGCTGTAATTTTCTTTTATCATTTACTTCTCTCTTTTCTTCTCTGCCTCCTTTTTTATGTCTCTTACAAGCTCTTGTTTGAATGACCACCATGGCTGCTTTCCCAACACTTGTGGAAAGCTGTTTTTCAAAGAGGCCAATCGCACACACTCTTTCAGGTTGTGGAGTAGTAAGATCTACTGTACCACACTACACAGTGAGTTTAACTGGACTTTCCAGAGAAGTATCACGGCTTTCTAGTAGGTAGTCTACCAGTAAGTTTGTACTTTCGGTGCAGGTAATCGTAAAGTCTGAAAATTCTTCTTCTTGTGGTCCAGAGAAGTCAGTTTAAGATTTGCAGTTGATTCTTTTTCTCTAAGGAACAGAGTGAGGGTGAGCTTTATATAATGTGTAGGATGCAACAGGGCCACACAGCAGGTGGTACAGGATTTTTTTTTTTGGGGGGTGGGGGGGATCATAAACCCAGCTCTACTTTTTAACACTAGCTGCATATACATGTGCACAAATAATCAGAATAAATTCCCGATCGGAATATAAATGCGTCATGTAAACATGTCGATCGGAAGATTCTGATCCAATTCAGCTCAATCGGAACGAAATTGTATGCTGATAGTTATTCCGAAATGCGTCCATGTAAACACTTATTCCGATTGTGACTTTCTTACCTGACTCGATCGTCACTCTTTATTCGGCTTATTTATTAAGGCCAGTCCAGGAGGTTTCATTATTAACACACTGGCATAAAACACAACCGCAGTCGCTGTGTCTGCTCCTCCGATAACATAACAAGGCGTACATACAGCGTAATGATGTCACATCTGCACACACAGTGCAACCTTTTTTAGAACAGTAAAATAAGTATGCAAGGGCGCCATCCAGTGACAACATTTAGAAGGGGGAAAACTCCTGAATCGGATGGAGTAAGCCACTACTGCGTTTGTTGACAGCACAGGCATAAATACAACTCTTCTTCTGCGGTTGTTTTAGCAAAATCAGACAACTCTGCGCATGTCCAAATGCTTCTAATCTGAATAAATCTTGGTGCATGTATACGCATGTCATGATCAGATTATTTGTTTTTGCACCCACATAAACAGTGGATTCAGATTATGCGATCCCTCAAATTTTAACCGGATCAAGAAATTTTGCCCATGTAAACATGGCTAGTGTGAGGATGGAAGCACACTGTCCTAATGAATATATTTTTCTTTTTATATATTTATATTTATATTTATATTTATGATTTCTTTTAATCCAATTGATTCACCAGGCAAGTTTTGCTTATTTTGAGAGTCCTTCTAATATAAATAGTGGAACTTGTCGTCCTCTATCTCATCATTTTTGGAGGGTCTCAGTGAGTGCTGATAAAAGTTGACTCATCAAAAGCCTTATGAAATACCGAGTCCTCTCGATTTCTAGTCATCCTTGAGAAAAATGCTCAAAACAAAAGTGTTAATAGACCTTCACATAATGAAATCCCAGCTGAAGGACAGAACAAATCCAATGTTGCTGTGCTTGTGAATGACGTTGTTTTCCTTTTGAAAACTAAAAAGATTTTGAGGGAACAGAAGGAACACAGTCACAGTGTTGGAGTCTCTGTTGTCATCAGATGTCCTCTCTGTCGAGGTATTGCAATTTCACAGAAATCATTTTTGAACTCACTGGAGCCAAATATCCATCCTCAGTCTGTTGCACACTGTTCAAAAAACTCCACGGGACACCATCTTCAATCTAGACGCTCCTAAAGTCCCACAAACCCGTCTCCAGTCTTACGTACAGTAGATGACAGATATCACAGACTGGAGTAAAACACAAACAGCAGGACCCTGACCCTCGCTCAGACTCGGTGCACTTTTCCTGATTTGAAATATTGAGCGTGAGGTGAAATGACTGAGCCTTAAGTGGAAATAATCCACTTTCTCTGGTTCTTCTTCCAGAGTCAGAGCTCACCTTTAGTTCACCTCACTCTCAGAATTAACTTTTCCCTGCCTTCAAGAGTTTACAAACTTGTTTTCCTCATCACTCTCAAGCAATGTCATTCCTGTGTTTTTTTCTCACTTATTTTTTTGCTTCTGTGCTCCACTTTTTTTTTTGCCTTTCCTGTGCAAATTAAGGCATAAATTAGAAAAGCAAACGGCTCCTGACAGCTTCTGTTTCTCATGGGATTTGAGGCTGATTTGCTGCACATCTTACATCCTGGTTGTCTGCTGAGATGTGTAATACTATCAGACTGTTAAGACACAAACAGTGTAAATATTGGTTCTAACTAAGGTATCAAGCTTTAGAAGTTTCAGAGATATAAGGGTGTTTTTTGGCTTCCTTTTCCTCAACTTGTGAGCTTTTTAAGATCAGCCAAATTTCTCAGTTTGTGTGTGTGTGTGTGCTTGTGTGCATGAATGTACAGTGTGTTTTTGTGTCCTATATTGCAAATTGTGTGCCCCAAAAATGTATCACTGAAAGTTAAGTATGTCAGTGCTCTGACTTGGATTGACTTCCAAAGCATGCTTCTCTTTCCTGTCTGTCTGAGATGTATGTGTGTGTATGTGTGTGTGTGTGTGTGTGTGTGTGCGTGTCTGTGTGTGATACTAACTCTAACAAGGCCATAACACTTCTATTTACCAGGGATAGGAGGAGTTTGACCTCTGTATTTTCTGTGGGGCAGTCTTGTGTGGTTCCTGATGAGAAGCGGGCGATACTGTGACCCTCAGGTCAGCTGCAATGAGAGATTGGATTATTGTTTTGGTACTGACTGTCAGTGTTTGTTAAGATGTCATGCTGGGATTAATGTTTTCCAAAGAGACTCAGAGGAGTGGGAAGAAGAGATGGAAACAGCAGGGACAGGCCTGAAGTAGCTGCTACTGAAGTAGAGACTTTTTGAGTCCTCCAAAGTGCGCTGTTAAATATTTTGATCACATTCTCTCATACCAAAACTTGCAAAGTCATATTCCTCCATTGGGCACCTTTTTCTCTGTGCTTTTCATTGAGATCAGTTATCATTCATATTAGGGCTGGGTGATGTGGCCTCAAATCAATGTCACGATATATTGAGCAGTTCACCTCGATAATGATAAATGGACGATAACTACTCCACATGCTGCTCACCCCCTCTCACATTAACTTAGTCTACTTCAGCCACTACAACTTTTGAACCACCGTCCATCCCCTCACCTGTCTTTCCCTTTTGGACTGGATTGGGTCTTAAAGGGATATGAGACTGTAGCCTAACTACACACATCCAAAAACAACTTTTATTTATTTATTTTTTTGACACCGGATATATTGACACAGGCAAAATGATGTCGGTAACTATCGTAAATTTTGGTATCGGTAACCTTTTGGTTTATCGCCCCAGCCCTAATTCATCTAATAGGAAGTTTGAATACATTTGAGATAGCCACTTACCCATTCCAATGATTGTATTAATGGGAAAAGCAGTCGTATAACCCATGGGCAATCGCTGGACATCTCCTTGTGATTGATTTACAATGATCAGGTCTTAGGGTAGCTGGATTAACAACTACCCGATTAAGATTAGTGGTACGTAAAAAATAGTTTTTACGTCTCCCTCTGAGAGAACAAGAAAACTCCTTTTTAAAAGCTTGTTTGTTGAATAGAGGTCAGACCCATCATTTCTGATGCATTCCAGCAAGTCAGAAAATCCAAACCCTGATTGGTTTTGGTGACATGGTGTCAGGCAGATTTGTAGCTCAGGTTGAAATCTTACTTTTTCGTTTGGAGACACTTAAATTGTCACCAAAATACTGCAGATTGGATTCTGGCCATCAGTACGTCAAAATGTCATTCTATCTGCTTTTGTACCCCATGCAGAATGTTTGTCCTTAATTCACTAAAAAACTTGCTAAAATGTGATTCTGCTCAGGCAGCAGGAAAAAAAGCACTTTCATTGAAATCAGTTGATAAAACTTTGATTTTTTTCCCCCCTACGGACATAGCTGAAGCCAGCCCCCAATATCACAACGCCTGAATGCCGTCCTTTTACTGAGGTTTGACTCAGGCTTTGACATTGGGTCTTAAAAGTACAGCCAGAAACCTGAGGGCTAATAAATTTTGTCCAGTTTCTCCTGCCGTCATTCTAATTTAGCAAAAGCTTCATTCTTTTCAAACTGAACCACGAAATACATTTATTTAGCAGATAGTTCAGCCATTCGCCACAAACTGGTGCTGACTACTATCTATGTGTGTGATGGGTCCTTGTGATTCTTCTTACCGCAAAAAAACTCCATGTTTGTTGGGTTCACCTTGAACACCAGTCCCTTCTTTTATTTCCCTGCAGTATCCTTCCTCCTCCCCTTGTCCCTGTGCATTTATGAAGCACGTTCATGAATACCTTGAATAGGCTCAATTAAATTTGTTGAAGTTGAACAGTCTTACTTTTGGTATGTTTTGCTCCTGGCAGTGAGGATCTAGTTGTTTCTGTGAGGTTAAAACTCTTACATATGAAATGAGGTTATGTGCATCTTATGTGAGGAAGCCGCACCACAGATGTATGACATAAAAAGGGAAAAAAAAGCTTAGTTCTTTCTCTTCTCTTCTCTGAGTAGACTGTCAGGCTTTAAACTTTGCTCTGTTCATTTTTTTCTGTCGCTCTTTCTTGCTCTATGCCTGTGTCTGTCGCCTCATTTTCCTCGTTGTTCCAAAATAGTAATTAGTTCACAATCACACTGGTGCCAGAACACAAAACCACAGAAATATGCAATCTGAGGCTTGGGGGGCAGCTGCCTCTTCAGCAACAAGCATATGGCAGACACCCTTTTTGGAATGTAACACCCTGAATTGATTGATCATGCCTGCACCCCCTTCTCCCCCACATCCGCTCACTCTACTCTTCATCAAATTAGGCCAGTTTTACATTTTTCCCACAACTATTAGCTTTTATTTATAGCTCTCATTAGCAGCAATTACCTCAAACCTGTGTGAATGAAAAGGAAGGTATCATTTTGGGCCTGTGGTGTGTGCTGCAACGCAACAGGGCTGAGATGATGTGGTCCTGGAAGACAACATACACGTGCACACACACACACTGACACAGAAACACTCACATTTGGTTTATGCATTCCCCTTGGCCTCCATGATAGGGGAATGTTAACGAGTGGAGCCAGCCTTCAAGCTGAGCTCTGTGCCATATGGGCCTGCCAGGGGAGTGGCACAATTCCTATTGACTAATTTCCCTCAGAAGCATCTCACACACACACACACACACACACACACACACACACACACACACACACACACACACACACACACACACACACACACACACACACACACAGACTGACAAAACAAAACAAAAAGCAATGAAAAACTGGCTCTCCATTATGACTTTAGCGCCAGTGCAGCCACAGGCCTGCTAAAGTTTCCCACATTGAAAAATATACTTCTAAACAGAAGTTTTAACAATATTAAAACATGAACCTTTACTCACCTCATTATTTGAAATTGCATAAAATCAAAAGCTGCTTGGTAGAGTTGTAACATCTTTGTCAGCACTGGCCTCCAGTATAGTTACAATGTAGTGGTATTAGTATTGAGGAGTATGCCAGTAACTGTACCAGGGCTTGAGAAGGAGCACATGTGCTCCTAAGTTAAAAAAGTAAGGAGCACACAAAGAACTTTAGGGGCACAATGAAAATTGAACAAATAATGTGTGTCTTATTGGTTGACATAAGTATTATTTGAAATGAATTGCAGGTCTTTTGGTCACATGACATGGAAGCTATTGGAGGAAAACAGCCTTTTTGAGAACATCAACAGGTAATTTATTGATGGTCCCTTTAATTCAACACAGCGAGGGTGTCGAGTAGATTTAATTGTGCTGCTGTTGCTATTCCTGGTTACGGAGAGGGAGAAGACACCGTAGATCCTCAGTAAATTTCCGTCGGATATCCAACCTGAAACTAACTTCACCTCTGTATTTACATTAAAAAACATTTGTTGCCTCGGCTGATTTTATTTTGCACACATGTGCCCCTGAATGCATTTTACAATTCGCACACATGTATTTTTAGTTGCAAATGCAAGTGAAACGGTTGCACTGTCGGGCCCTGTGTACCCATATGAAACCGAAACCATAACCCCCATTCATTTATCATTATTTGATTGTAATGATATTTAAATTGATAAGCCTGGTATTGCTGTGTCTTGATACTGTCTTATTACTGCTCTATTGTCGTGTCGTGTTGTATCATATCGTGAATACGGGGGTTTTACAATTATTGTGATTCTTTGAACGCAAGCATTGATTATTATTACATGTTTTGGTTCAACTGTCTTAATAAAAGCAAATGTGGAAATCGCTTGAATAGAACAGAAACTGCATTTCTGATAAATACTACCAATTCTGTCAGCTCTATCGCCGACATTGAGGTTTTTGGTCCATCTCCTCCTCCTCCTCCTCCTCCTCTTCTTTAGTCTCGTTCCCAGTTCCTCTATCAAAGACTTGGTGGGGGGCAGGTTTCCCCTCAACGGAAGCCAAAGTCACACACTCCTAACACTTGTTCACACTGAGTCTTTGTCCGACACACTCGGTGTAACTTCCACCGACAGAAATGTGTTTGTGAAATTGTGATCTGACTCAGTGTGAAGACGTGGTCAAGGCGTACTTTGGTATGGATGCCACATTTTTGTTCATGTCTCAGGGTGGGCTTTAGCAGCAGAAACATACGGAGCCCCTAAAGGGACATGGGTGGACTTTTTTTTTTTGCGAGATCTCGCAAAAGTATTGCGAGATCTCGCAATACTTTTTGCGAGATCTCGCAAAACGTATTGCGGGATCTCGCAATACTTTTTGCGAGATCTCGCAAAAGTTTTTTCTCCATTCAGTGAACCGGAAGTAAAACACGCCTAAAATAGCCTAAAATAAGCCTAAAATAATAATAATAATAATAATAAGAAGGAGCAACAGAGCACGGATGATGTGTACCATAGACATAATAAAAGATAGACCCCGCATCGGCCGCTACCACGAATGGGCGCTGTCGAGAAATGCGGCCGCCATCTTGGTCCGGTCATCCGCCTCACTCTGCACCACTGTCTTCCTCTTTGGCCTACAAATGACTCTACAGTCAAGTGTAATGTTGAAAAAACGTGTAATCATAACTGTGAAAAGTTATTCCTTGAGCCCTGTTCTCTGCTGTCCGCCTGTTGGCACAGGAATACGCCGCACAGTGCTCCGGCATCGCTGAATGAATGAATGAATGAATATGATTGACCGGAGCGTATGGGAAGCTTGACCTGACCAAGATGGCGGCCGCATTTCTCGCTGCGCAGCACCCCCAGCGGGGTCTACCCTTTTATTATGTCTATGATGTGTACGCTCCTCCATCATGTGTGTCTGTTTTACTTCCGGTTCACCGAAGTAGGACAGAACTTTGCGAGATCTCGCAAAAAAGTATTGCGAGATCTGGCAATACTTATTGCGAGCGCTCGCAATACTTTTGCGAGATCTCGCAATACTTATTGCGAGCTCTCGCAATACTTTTGCGAGATCTCGCAAAAAAAAAAAGTCCATCCATGTCCCTTTAGGGGCTCCGTAGAAACACAATGTTGTCAAAACTAACATCAGATGGGTTTGCTTGGCTTCTTTTGTTTTTTGGACTTTTGGACAGAAGTTTCACAGCATTTGTTGTATTTTATCTATATATGTATGTTTTGATAAGCAGCATACTAATTTAGACAAATGGTCTTCTCTATAAAATAACTGAAATTTCAGTAAATTTCCAGTTAATTTGTCAATATTGGAGCCGATATCCGATCCAAATATCGGATCTGTGCATCTCTAGTTTTAGGCATTAAAATTCACAATATGAACACCGTCAGTCTTTTATCGTGGATGATCTTGTTAGAGGTTTGTTATCATAATAAAGCATCAATATAAAAATTTTTAGTCTATTTCATAGTCATCAAAAAAACCCTCAAAGGAGCTTTAAAACACATGCATAAACGTACCACTTAAACTCCTTTAAACAACACAAAAAAGTAACTGTAAAATATAAAAGTGTTGTACATTCAGCCATCACCATCCAAAAACACTATCTAGTTAAAACATCATAATTTTTACTGAGTGTAAAGCTGCTCATTCTTCCTCCTGGAGACTCATCAGTGGGCCCATGAGCCTTGAAGAGTTTGATGGTGTGGGAGATGAGGGAATTTCTAACCCTGTTAGACGTAGCCCTTGGCGGTCTTAATCTCCGTCCAGAGGGGAGAAACTCCTCAAAAGGACAATGGAAACGGCTCTTCAGAAATGATTCAAGCCTTTGAAATTGCTCTCTTGGAAAAATGTGAGACAGATCAGGCAGTTTAACACCATTGATCATACTGGCAAGCCCCGCTGCACTCTTGAGCAATAAAACTGCAGTTGTTCTCTTTTTTTCAGTCAAGCTTTCAATAATATGCAGCCATTGATTTGATGGTGACAGATATTCACCTGAGTAAAAGTATTTGGAGTTTGGAATATTTTCGGTTCATGACGGTGTGAGGGATCCAAGCTGACCATGATCCCTACAGTAGCAAAGTAAGATATTCACAGTTTAGTCTGATAAAAACAAAGTGAAATGAATACTAATGCAGATGCAATCAGCATAAGTAAAGTGTAAAGCCCATCATTAGGGACCGCCTCTGCTGCTGCTAGCTGAAAATGCTGAGCTCTAATCATACATTCATCCTGATGTAACAGGTTACACAGAGTCTGGGAATACACTGCACCAATTCTGCAAGTCAAATTTCTGAAAACTGTAAAAATATGCAAAACTGTGAGAGACAATTTGGCCCTTGGAGTTTCCATAATGTATTCTAATTTACTCATTTCTGTTCCGTGTTGTCAAGATGTTTTGTCACTTAATTACACAGCTACATTGCATTAATTCTTTCCCCAAAGTTAAGCTCAAAAATAGGATCTCTACTATTTTGCTGAGTGAAGCCTATTCCCAGTGCATACAGAGGCCACTCAATTAACTGAACTTTTTAATTGGCCTAAACCCTACCCTCATGGCCCCAGGGTCACTTTGAATAAATGCATCTTTTATTCATCTGGCATATGCCTAAATTGAAATCTATTAGAAGTCATCTGAAACAACATAAACATCGTATCAAAAAGATGTTTCTGAAAGTGAAAAACTAACAAGGATTTATTCTCATTGTCGTCTTTCTTAGTAAAATGAAGCCACGCTTTAGATCGTTTCTGCCTACTTTTCATACCATCCACTATGTTTTTTCCTCAAAGTCTCTGTTCTTGTTCGCGTAGACTGCCTCTCACAAGACCGTTTTCCAAAGCACCCGAAAGAAAGGAATCGTTAAGGGAATCAATAAAATGAAATGTAAACAATGTCGACGGATTGAACCATTTGAAACCGGTTATCAACAAGAACCGGTTCTCGATTCCCATCCCTAATGCTCTTGCTTGCACATAAGTATGACTCCAGTATAACACAGCGACCAAGTGCTGTCCTTGGGAATGTGACAGTTTTTGCTTTTTTAAGTTGAGATTTAAATTAGACATGAAGAGAAACAACGGGGAGAAGAGATTTGAGGAGAAGTCAAACTGAGATACAGAGTAAACCACACAACCACACAATTAGAACAAACACAGAAGATGAAACAGCGACTCTGTGGTTCTCTGTGGCTGTCACACAACCTGGCATTGTTACTCGGTCCGTGGCGGAGGCTGTGCACCCATAATTCAGTCTGATTTAGAGCTGTGATGGGGATAATCAGCAGTATAATTTGGAGGAGGGTGTGACTGGACTGGATAAAAGGAATTCTGCTGTTTGTGGCACACCTCACTCCCTCCTTATCCTCTATCTCAAATCAAAGTCATTTCACTCCACTTCTGCTGCTTTCGGCCATGTCCAGATCACTTTATTTTCTTTTTTAAACACTTAGCATTTATTAGATTTTACATATTCTGGCATAAACAGCCCCACAGTTTGCCTGGGACATGCCTCTTAAGGTTTGTTTAGCTGTCAAGTTTTGGTAAAGCATTTTCACTGGGCTTTTGCTTTATAACAGCAGGAGTCATGAGAAAGTCAACATTTGATTCTGGAGGCTTAATGTGTTTGCTTTTTACACCTCTTTCATTATCCTTGTCATTGTTGTGACTTCAGCCAGCAGTGCTGATGGCTGTTTGAACAAAACGCCCAGAGAAATCTGATGAGGAATACTGCTACTATTAGGTCATTGTCAAGGCATTGCAGGACAAAATATCAATACAACAACATACCCTTACCCTTACAAGGATGTATGGTGTTAAAAACTACCTGCGCTAAATGATTATTTGTTAAATTAAAAAGTTGTGATACTCCAAATACATTTCCTTGCCAGTTTGACCTAGCCTCGTCACTTGTCCTTGCCAATTTGACTCATCATGTCACAGCTTTGTGACTCCTCACAGTGGCGTGAATGACGTAAATAAGTAGAATGTGAACTGAAGGTAATCGACTGATAAAGACGTTAACAGCTAAAAAATGTTGTTGTAGTACAGTAAAACCAAAGTGCAGTGAATGAATGAATAATACAGTACTCTGTCTTTTTGGGTGATTTTGTATTCTTTTGTTAAACAGATATTATGACTCATTATATAAGCACTTGCAATACATCAGTGTAGCTTTATCATGATATTACTGATATATTGGCCCATGTTTGGTATGTAGTATCGTGTTGCACAGCATTGCAGTGTATTGTGTGCTATCTGCTGATCTCCATCCCTAATAGCAACAGTAGCTTCTGAGGTATGAGCTTGATTGACCACAGCTAAGGAAGATAATTTCAAATATTCTTCGATAAATTATAAGTGTGCGGTGCTGTGATGAGAGGAATTTATCCACAGTCTTTGGTTTGGTTTCATGTATTTACGTTTCAAACTAGATGAAAATCGACAGGAGTATATTGACTTTGTTCTCTTCTGACACCATTTTAGTTTGGCTAAAAGGGGTTGCTGTGATTTTTTCGCATTTTCTCATCTAAACTGACAGGCTTTCATTTGGTTGACAGCTGAAATGTTCCTGAATTGCAGAGGTTACATTAGGGTTATCTAACAAGAACAGCTGCCATTATTTCCACTTCGAAAAAGAAACTGAAAATATGTGGCAGAACAGTAAAAAAAACAGTCTTAGTAGTTGTCATTTTGAATTCAATTAAAATTCAGTGCAAACACAGTTGAAGGACAAAAATTAATGAAAATTTTAGAGAAATGTGAGAGGTTGTTCCGTTGGATTATAATCCATCAAGGTTTGCTTGTCAAATGGCAGCATTACTTTGATGCCATTAACTTGACAGCCATTGTGTTTTCCCCCTCTACATCTTAACCTTTATTGGAGAGAACTCTACCCTCTGAATCACCCACAAACCCAACATAAGTCCATTTACTTGTTCTTAAAAGTCATCCCCCCATTTGTGATTAACTTCCTCCAGCATGGCCAGACCGACTATCGGTTTTCGCCACAGTAATTGCGTCTCGTTCGAAGAGGGGGCTCGGCAATAAAGTTGTCAGTGTGTATTACAATGTGGGACAGATGAGGAGGAAAATGCCGGCCTGTCCTCTCATCTTAATGACAGCCATCTCCAGCAACAGACAGCTCATCTCATCTTCACCATTAAGACTGAACAGTCAGGGTGACATTGTGTCTATCATGGTAGCTTTATGAAAAACAGGGAGCTTCTTGTCAGCCAGGTAACACCGACAATCATGCAGCTTCACCCTGATGAATTCATTTGGTAATGATGGTTTGATGTTGCAGTCTTGTCGGGGGCTGATATTTGATGCGAGGAGCACGTGTTGGGTCATTTCTCAGTCAGGGTTAATGTCGACTTTGCAGCTTGTTAATAGCGTACAGGGTATTCTGCCCATCAGAGTCCTGCATCATTGGATTCTACTCAACTCTAGCAACCTGCTCACTGTATGTTGTTCCACTTGAAGCTCCGATGATGACTTTTTTGACATTTATAAAATAGACAAAATTCATTCTGATGCCATTTAATTAGCAACAAAAACAAACAAGCCAGTCATCAACAAAATTGATGATTTTTATTAATTTATAGCCTAAAACTAGTGTGAGAGGGTAGCTGTTAGCTAAGAAACGGCTCAGTTTTTACATTTTCCACGTGAATAGTACAACAAAGTATATATTTGACTATCAAGGGTCAGACAGATGAGGTTTCTTGTCATAAGACACTACTGGAGTGTGTAGATGACAAGATAAGCAAAGACGTCTTTGTCCACCACGGGTGTCTCAAACCAAAAGTTTAACACAGGAGCTTTAAAGGAATAGTGCACACCTGAAAAAAAGAATCAACAGTAGATACTACTCTCTTGGCAACAGTAAACTTTGGAGTAGATCGGTCAACTTAACCTTTTTTTTTTTAAACATTGTCCTATGACGTATGGGTCTGGAACCTCTGTTACTCTAAAGTTTCCCTGTAGGTGGCAGATGTACCAACCCAATCACAGTCCTTTATTTAGGATAAAGACATAGGAGTGCTGCTTTAGCTTATTGGTAAACAACCAAGAAGGCTGCTTCTGCCATAGGGAGCTCTCTGTTTACATCACTGTTGCCATGCATTACCTTACGTGCTGCAATCTGATAGTGTCTCTACAATCACTTTCAGTGGTATTTTTGTATGCAGCTGTTGCTAATAACCTCCTAACAGGTGGAATGAATTGACAGTCCTGGATTCATTCACTAATGGCTTTATTTTAACTTTATTCTAAATTCTTTGTTTTTCATAGCAATGGTCTGCTATTGAGAAATAGCAGACCTCAGTATGCCAGAAATGACTGATTAAGTATTTAACACAGTTGTGAAATAATCAGCTGTAACAACCTGCTCACTGTACATTATACCTCTTATTGTAGGAGTACAATTAAAAAAAAGGATTGAACTCAAAGTTTTAAATGACGTATTGTTTTTATGATATGAAAAAAAAAACTGTATTTATTGTGACAAAATAGTCCCTCAGTCTCTAAAGTCGGAGCTGCAACATCTTCACACTAAGGCTCCTTTGTAAATGAGAACCAAATAACCAACACAGCTGTGTCATAATAAATGATGTATCACACCAAGCAGTGAAAGCGGTGACAGTTTGCTGTGAGACAGCCAGATTGTGCGGCCCAACAGCTTGAGGATATTATATTTACCTCTCATCTACACTGTTCCCTCTGGAGCACTGTTTAACTGTCCAATGAGGCTCACACCCTCCTGTTTTATAGATGGCCTCAGTTAACACCATATCAGCACCCGCCTCTAAGAATTCATTAGGGAGCACCTCAATCATACAGGCGGAGAGGGACGAGTCAATTTGGCGGCGTGCTGGAGGTGCAGGTGGAGTTATCATCCTGTGTGTGAGCGGGAAGACCAGCCAGCTATCAGTTTATTCTGTCTTGGGCTGGGGGGGTGGTGGTACAAAATGTAACTGTGGAGGTGGGGAACAACTGCAACACCAACCTGAGGTGATGCAGTCACCTGTCTCCATCCTGCAATAAGCAGCCAAAATTGAGCTCATAGTGTAGGTGGTGACATGCGCAGCACAGTCCCTGTAAGCCTGCAGTTCATTCATTATTTATATCCTGATATGTGTATTTTTTGTTCTAAATAAATACCTGCAGGACACTGAAGTAAAACTCAAGGGAAACAGTATGACAGACGAAAATAGGATAAATTGAAATCATTGCTTATCAAGATGTTTCAGGGGAAAAAAAAACATCCAAGTGTGGTTTGAGTGACTGTTTTGTTGGCCTTCAATAATTGAATCCTTTCCAAAGACATACTTAAATTTACCAGTGTCATATTTATGTTTGTTTTATTGGAGGAGGCTGTAACTTCATCTGTCATCTGTCTGAAAGTGGAAAACACAGGAGCAAGAACTGAGGATGGGATCTGACCCTAGAAGTGGCCTTAATTAATTTTTTTATGACTTGATGACAATGATTGTGATTTTTCCAGTATTTTAATTCATAACTGAATACCTGTAAAACTTAAACTCTTCAGTTTTCTCAGATATGCTCATATTTGGTGCTATTTTGCAAAATTCATTTAGTTGAATTGAGAAAAAAAAGGCAGCAGCAGTTGACCTCTGCAGTCATTTTTGGTGGATGAGCATTAGTCCCATTAACATTTGTCCAAATTAAAACAAACAAACAAAAAAAAAAATCCCTTCTTCTTGGTTTTAGATGTTCATAACAAAAGGATAATTAATGTTATAGCTTGGACAGATTATGCATATTTGTGAAATAGTGCTACAAAAAGGTGACACTGATTGTTGTGCACTATCTTGATTGAACCTTGGAGTCCTTGGTCACTGTTCTGATCTCACCTTATTCACCAGAATAAACAGACATACAGTGATATTGTTTTGGTATAGTTTGAGTGAAACTAACTTCAGAGGGTGGCTGTTTTTTAATAGGTAAATCCGGTACAGAGAATTGCAGCTTTTAACACAGGTCTTAACAAAGGGTATACTGAGTGTGTGTTTGAGACACTGTTAGATCAGTATTTCAGTGTGAGATTTACTATCGTCGAAGTTTACTGTTAAAACAGTTAATTGGTAAGTAGGTCTTAATAATAAGTAATAAAATTGTAGTCTAATTTAATGTTCTGCAGATTTTGGCAGCCTTTACTACCCCTTAGCAAGTCGTCCTTTTACCGTCCATTTTTGACCCTCTTTTCTGTACTCTACTCTGAGATGACAACCTGTTGTAGCATTTTAGCTACATCCTCAAAACTAGTGTGGCCGCACTGACATCCAGACTTCTATTTAAATTATGTACAACTTCAGCAAACTTCCAGCAAAGTTGTTACAGCTCAAGATGTGTCTACAGTAAATTTTTTTTTACAGTACAAGATAACAAAACAGCTTTATAGGAGAGTTTTCTGCTTTGCCTCAAGCTGCCTGATGTAAGGCTGCCTCTAGCAAACTGTAGGAACCTGATACATCACAGCCTATGTGCTGGCAAACATTTCACTACAGGTCAGGATGACAGATGTGTGATGTTGAGTTCTTTTTTTTTGCAAGAAAAGCAAAACTTTCTAGCTTTTCCTTACTCGCAGAGAGTCTGCTTAATCCAGAAAGTAATCTGCCTCTGTGCAGTACATGGCCTCCAGTTTGTTTTGCAGCCTCCAACCATTTGAACTTCCTCCTGGTTTTTTTAAGTGACTTAAAACTTTTAACTATCATATCTGTAACAAGAAGACAAAACAGGGTATTTATTGCAATAATGCAACACTTTTGGTCACATTTATGTCAGTAGTTAGCAGTGGTTCCAGGGATTTCAGCATTATAAATCATTGTTAAAGAGGATTTGGGTAGAAGGAACAATGAGACCTTTTGTATCAGCTGAAAATTTCACCTGAGGGTCTGCAGATCTTACATGAATCCTCAATTCTGGTCACAATTGTGGTAGCACACAGCAATTACTACCATTAAGTATTTTGATTAAGTTTTTATAGTTTAAATCCTCTTATATTAAGCCTTGGTACATTGGCGCACAAGCATGTATGACAAAATTACACTCGCCGTGGGTCCGAAGCTCCTGGTGCTTATTTTGTGCCTGTAATTGAAATATATGACTGCCCATATATTTTTAGATTTATTGACTCTCCTGTTATAGCTGCAGCAAGACCTTGATCTCCTCAGTGTCATCTCTCATTACTCTCAGCCAGCTCCGTGAGGGAAGATGGTGGTGGTGTTGTCTTCCTCACCCTTCCAGTCGTTAGGAGAACGAGCGTTCAGAGAAATGTCACTCCCAGTGAGGTCTTAATTAACACACTCAATCATGGTGACACTGCTGCAGCCAACATGGAGGCATGAGGAACCATTTAGTTATTAAACGAAGCACATACCAAGACACTTAATATGTGTCTTTTCATTCGAATTACATGTCAGTTCTTGCTATTGCAATTTGTGGTTAATTTCCAGACTGAATCTAGTAAGTGGGTGAAGTGACCTTGATGTCAACTCGGGTCTTCAGACTAAAGTAATCAAGCGTCTCTCTCCATCTTGTTTTCTAGAATCCAGAGGTGACCAGTCTTTAGGAATACTGGACTATAGTACAAACAACTTTACTGTGAAAACTGACCCTCCTGCTTATGAATCTGTTGTACCCTGTAGGAAAAAATCGGAATTGTGTCAAAAACTAGTTGCCTTGAGGAAAAGAAAATCCTATTATACAAGCTAGCAAGTTGATGTGACATGTTTCTCCCTGCAGAGATGGTTCTGGGTCAGTAAAGCTGAAAAAGCAGCCTGAATTCTCCAGTGCGGGATGAAATAAGACTGAGATCGCAGCGGTGTTTAACCTTGCAAAGCAGATGGGCTGGCCAGATTCCATGTCTGTCATCAGGCAGGTCTATCTTGCAGAGCCTCAAGCTGATATGCCTGCTCCTGGTCAAAGGATGACCGGACCAATCAGTGTCATTTGAGGAGAAAGATGTGGTAGCTGCTGGCATGAGGGAAGAAGTGGCTGCAGACTTGAAGAATGGAGAGTGAAAAGTTATTGGGGAAAACAAATAGTGAGATAACAATGTAGTTGTATAATTCTATGTTAGAGGATTGTCTTTGCGCTGATGTACGGTTGAAGCTTACAGCTAAGATAAAGGACTAGTGCCTATCACATATGAAGAAGTGACCTTTCTGCTTGCACCTTGTCCTTTGGTGTTTGTTTACAGTCAGAATGAGCGGACTGCTCAAAAATTTTAAAATGTTGACTACACAGACATAACAAAACACAGTGATAAAGTGATATTTCCAAATGTCATCAATAGCTAATAGCTATTGACTGATATTAAAAGCTTTTTTGTATATACCCCAAGAACAAAGATGTAGACCTGTCTACCCCACCTTTTAAGGGTGTTTTTGCATGTTGGAGGCTAAAATCAATTAACTGTATTGGTTTTAATAAGAAATAGGTGCTAACAAAGCAGAAAAACACTATTGGTGGACAATGAGGCTCTATCATCTATGTTACTGTGTTTGGAACCATAGTTACCAAAGTGATCACTATACTACAATAAACAGACTTGTATCTAGAGGATTAAGGCGTAACCTTGCTGGAATAATGTTTATACAGTCTGTGGTGCACTGGCAGGGCAGATCAGAAGTGCATTTGTTGTGTGACCAAAATATCTTCCCAGAGAAATCAACATTTGTAACCCACTTTGCACATTTCTTGACTCTGACTGTAACTCCTCTAATGCTGTCAGCTTCTTAAAACGGTTCGGTTCACCTCCGAGGCTGAAGGCAGGAAAAGATGCATCAAACGAAGGCCACTGAGTCTCATTCACTCTCCACTCAGAGAGTAAAAATCGTGGCCTGACTTTGGTTGTTGGTGTGAAGATGCTTTTTGTACCTCCATCATAAAAAATGATCTCCCTCTCCACCGTCCCTGCTGCCTCTTTTTCTCCTTCCCTCCTCTCGGGAATTCAATGAGACAGGAGAGATAGATGTTCGAAGAGGCCACAGGAGTGATTCGTATCCCTTTTTATGGAGTAAATGGATTGATGTTGTGTCACAGCGAGTCATTTAGTATCAGAAGGCCTATTGTGCTGCTTATGGCGTGTTATCAATCACACATGTAGTATTGATTCTAAATAGTAAAGTCTTTCTCATCTTCTTGTATGACTGTGAGATAACCCATCACCTTGTCTCTTTGACTTGTTTCAACTAGTTTTCGCAAGTAAGTCATATGCATTGTCAGCATTACTTTACTGGATATAATGCAGACATAAAGTTGCCTTAAATCCTTTATATTATAACAGTCTCAGTCTATACATGGAAAGTCTGGCACATATTAAGTTTTCTAAAATCTTGGCTTATACTTGTAACTCTTGCATTCCTTTGGTTCCCCCCCACACAACAGGGTTTCTGATCATTAATACTAAACATGTTATTGATGATACTGAACATTTTAAGTGTGGACCAACTGATCACACACATATACACCCAAAGCCTGCCTTGACTCAGACAAAATCAAAGAAATTGCACTCGGCCCCAAACACCTCGGCAGTCCATGTTTTTGAAGGTATCATTGCCCAAGATAGCATCACTCTTGCATCCAGCACCACTGTCAGAAATATGAATTTTATATTTGTTTGAACACAACTCCCACTATAAGATAATATTTTACCTGCAAAAATCAGACAACTCTTTCCTAATAACAATGGAGGAGAAGTGGCCCATGCTAATTTAATTGTTGCAGTTTGAAGTGAAAGATAATATTTCTCCTTGCACAAGATGGCTGTCTGTCACTCAGTCTGGTTCTGTTCAGGGTCTCTGTCTATTATTAAAGGGATGTTTTTCCTACTACTGTCATCAAGAGCGTGCTAATATAAGTAATTATACTTAAGGGTGTGGTCTGCTTGCTTTGTAAGAAAATCCCTCTCGTGTTTTGAGCCACATACATATAATAATATATTTTTTCCATCAAGTCTGGACCATTAGCTATAGAAACAAACAGCGGGAGAGTTTATATCTGGCTGATAATCTCACTTTAGATTCAGTGTGACAAAGATAAATAAATCTCTGGATACTTAGGGCAAACAGGACCTCTGACAGCCTATAAATGCATTATTTGTCACTTCTTTTCTGCAGGGCCCCCTCATTAAATGTTTTATTCAGCCATGCCAATTACTGCAGACAACCCTGTTAGGGGACCTACTGCTAATGAAGTCCTAATCTACACTGTCTGCATCAGATATCAGAAAAGTTTTCATTTCCCCCTCTGCTTGTTTCTCTCCAAACTTCCTGGGTCAGTTTAATGATACGGTGGCAGAATTTAAAATTTAGTTGTTGTTTTTTTTTTTTTTTTTTTGAGATTCGTTTGGATGCAGACAAAATGAGGAAACTGCACCCACAGCTCCAGAGTTGTTGTTTATGATTTAATTTTCAATAATTCCAAGGTAGAGCATATTCCATGGCCTCTGGCTTTCGAGGGCGCGTCACACTCTGAGAGAAAAACTAATAAAGGCCAGCTTTATGTCCTGTGAAATTAAATCCAACTTATTGCCGTATATTTTTTTGTCCATTTGTTCTGCAGTTTCCCTTGCTACCTCGTCCCCTAAAATACAGACATATCACGAAACACCTTTACACTTCTTTATCTGCTGTGCATAGTTCGCTTTATGCTACATGCAGTGGTGTGAGAAACTGCAAAGTGGAGAGCAGTTGATGTTACGGTGTGGTAGTAGTGTGTTGATTTATGGGTGCACACCAGGTTTTAGTGGAAACGCATCAGCTGTAAGATATTTGTTGTACCCCCGCTGTTGTGAGAGTCCTCGTTAGCTTAGGAAGTAAGTAATCAGATGGCTGTCTCTGCGCTCTAACAAACCGCCTCCAGCAGCTTTCTCCATCCCTTTTCTCTCTTTCGCTTCAATTCTCAAAGAGTCCTTGACACTGTGGATACAGGATGAGCTGCTAAAAGTCTGGTCTGGATCTCTTCCCCCCCCCCGACTTGTCTCTCTCTCTCCAGATTCCATTTCCTTTCCTGTGCTGCAATAGAAAAAAAGTCTGGTCTAGTAAATAAAATGTCTCAAATAACATCCGATTAGACCATGCCATCTCTCTTTTTTCTGGTACGTGTGAAAAAAAAGAGTCTTGTCTGTGTCAGTCTCTATGGATCCATTTGGCTCCTTGTGCTCTTCAGTCTAGTCTGAATATGATTAGCTCAGACTGCAACAGTCATGTCAAGAAAAAAATTATTGAGAGAGAACTGCAAGGAAAAATTGAAGGTGTTACCACTGTGGCTCTTAAAGGGATATTCTGTAGTAAAATTAATTTTGGGTCAAACACACTGTAACACCAAGTTAGACTCTCCGTGGAGAGATGAATGTTGCCGACCGCTTGCTTCTCTAGTTATACCAACTTTAGTAATAGCCACAGATAGCAATACAGAGAGCCATGCGCTCAACCAAAACGCCACTTTATAGCCACAAATAATGCTCAGAACAGCACCTAACTCCATCAACAGTACATATAGGGTCCCAACCACAGCACTGGCCACCAAACATCTTTTTAACTTTGCCTGATTTCTTTAGCAGAGAGACTAAACACAACTCACCTACTCTCTTCCAGCAGCTGCTTCTTTGTACAGAGATGTTACGGTAATTTTCGTGTCAGTTCAGTCCCTCTTTATGCTGTCATGTCTCTTGAACACATTTGTGCACACTGAGTTTGGGTAAGTTTCCACAAGCACTTATCCAAGGTTACTCATGTTGACCCGTTTTAAAACTCTACAGTTCACATTGGGTGTGAACTGTGAAGTACAATGTACAGTGTCATCACTGTTCTTGTTAACTGGTGAATCCTCATCCTGCTGCAGAGCTCTCTATATTTGGGTCTGTATGTGTGGGTTGGCTGCATTTTTAATTAGATTTAATAATAGTTATTTCCCACCAGCATCTACAGGGTAGTCAAATCTGGAAGACATTCTCATGCATTTAAAGTTTGAGCAAGTTTTATATGCACCCATTACTAGTTCATTAGTTGACTTTACAAAATGGAAAAACATCCATTAAATTTACTAATAAATTTTTAAGACCCCTCAGGTTGGTCCAGTCCACAGCAGAATAGATCTCTGTGTTTATCTGAAGCAGACACTAATGACTTATGGAGAGTTCAATGACTCTTTTTCACAGTGTTTATGTTTTCTGTATCATAAATGTTCTTCCTTGATCTGCGTCACCCTGCAGCAGTCCGTAATGGATTGGCTCATGGTCTCGCTATAAACATGCGGTTGCTGGAAGAGAGTGGGTGAGTTGTGTTTGGTCTCTTTGCCAAAGAAATTAGGCAAAGTTAAAAAGATGTTTGATGGCTAGTGCTGTGACTGGGACCCTACATGTACTGTTGATGAAGTTAGGTGCTGTTCTGAGCATTATTTGTGGCTATAGAGTGGCTCTTTGGTTGAGGTTTGTGTGTGGTTCCATGGACCACTGTGTGTTGCTATCGTGTGGTCGTTACTAAAGTTGGTATAACTAGAGAAGCAAGCGGTCTGCAACATTCATCTCTTGAGGTGGTGTCTCACTCGGTGTTATGGTGTGTTTGACCCTAAATTAATTTTATGCCGGAATATCCCTTTAAGCCACATATGGGAAACCAGCATGCTGATAACATTAAGGATGATGTGTTTGTTGCATTGAGTCTCGGTACAAGTGCTGGTATATTTAAATAAAAATCATGGTGATATTTTGTAAAGACACATCTGGTTTATGTGTCACAGACGTAGATATTTTCTCACTCTCTAACTTGCTGAAGTTAAAGATTTGACAGCACAGACAGAGTCAGAGAAAGTTCAAACCAGGGTGCCTTTTACCACCAGCAGCTACAGCGAAGCTGAACGCATCAACTTGCAAGACATCGGAGCCATCATGAGTGCAACTTTTTGTAAATTTGATCATCTGCTGTCAAACATGGAAATGGTAAATCCTCAAATCAGAAGATCCTAGAGGGAGCGCTCTCTTTTTCTCCCTCGTTCTCTCAGCTCTGCACTCTGATCTGACGTGTTATTCCTAAGACAACATCTTGTTAAGCTGCTCCAAGAGAACAAAAACCTAAGCAGGGTCTCTGTGGTGATAAAACTCCAGCGATGATACCTTTACTGTTGCTTACATCGGGGCCTTTGAAGTTGACCACATGTGATGAATAATGCATAAAGTCTTCACTGCCTCCTCCAAAGACAATATTACCTTTGGCAAACTTCCTCTGACTTCCTCCTCCCAGAGGACAGATACGAGAAGTTTTACTCTTTCTCTGCAAGTACAGCAGCACAATTATTCCTGGAAACTCTTTCGTGTAGCTGAGGATCAAAAGTTTTTCTTCTTTAATTTGAGCGGTTTTAACCCCCCACGCTCTCTGGAGCCTTTGCCAATCCTCAAACGCAACTTGTGAATTATACTGATTACACTACTCTTGCAGGAGACTGGAAACAATCTCAGTGGCAAAAAGACCGTGGTGATCAAACACCTTGTCACTCTCAGGAGTCTGAACTGCACACCGTCGTGAGCACTGAGAGTTGAGGACCTTATATCACACTCTTTGAACCAATAACTTCAACTTTATTGAGCTTCTTTCACTAAGAAATAAAGGAAAAAAAGCTGATTCATCCGATTTCTGCAACACAGCTAATTAGAGCTTTTCTTTTGAAGTCTGAAATAAAAATATCTCACCATCAGTCAGTTTTTAAGACACAAACATGATGGGAAATCTGTTTCATTTCCTCTCCTTATTTCCTGATTTGCATAAAATTGGACAGCTCCTCTACATCATTCCCCTTGCATCATTACTACAATTCCCATTATGCCGCTCTGGCATTATTAATTGCTGCGAGTTTGTTTACTCAGCTCATCTAAACAACCCGACTAACAAGCTTGAGTCTGTGATGTTCAAATTTGTTGCCCTTCATGGCTAATTCTGCTGCCTTTGATAGCAGATACCATTAACACTGTCATTGTGTCCCCTCTCAGTGTGAAGTGGGCATGAGTGTGCATGTGTGCCCATTGAGATATGAGTGTGTGTTGTGGTGTGTGTACTGCCAGTCTGGCTTTGCTGTCTGCAATTACTCCCTTCAGTGGAAACATTAAAACTCTACTACCATGGAAAGCTGCCACGACTGGGACATTCATGCCTGTACCCGAGTACGACAAAGACCCTGCAGTGGGCTGGATTTGCCACTTATGCATGTTTCAGTCAGCCAGTAGATGCCAAGACTGGAATGACTGCTCCAGACTGAATGAATGGTGCAGTAATGCCCTGACTGCAGATTTTGGGTTTGTGTACTCAGGAACGTCCCAGTTTAAGAGCCCCTTCAGATAAGGAGCACATGGGAGGCTCATTGAGATCAGCTCTGAGATGAGCAGGCTGTAAATATTCAAATGTTGTTGTCTCAGAGCCACAGAGGGTCCATTAAAAGGGGCTGCATTCTGCAGAAAGAAAACAACTTTCTTTGTCAGGGAAAAGTGCTAACAACACAACTATTTGTATAAGCACGCCGCAAAAGGAATTTACATCTGCACTGATTCTTCATAGTTGCATATTTAGGTCTGTTTGGGCATCAGTAATTTCAGTGAGAGATAACTGGAGAGGAGGCTATCCCCTGAATCTGACCCTGATACCTGCAACACTTTTATTTCTGCACAGCAGCCTCTTCTGCTCAAGCGGCAGCCTCTCGTCTTGAAGCCAATGGGGAAGTGTTAAAACCTCCCCAGAGTGCCTGCTTGAAACTGGCTGCAGAAGCACCTGAAACCATGTAAGCCAAAAAAGCCAGTTTTAGAGTGAAGATAACCACATTTACAGCCTGGTTCAATAACCAGTTTTGGTTTGGATAGCTCAGGGCCCCATGATACGAAGGTTACAAGATCAGCGAATTAGAGGCATGACTGACCTGAATGACAGGCAGGCACACGATAGATTCAAGATTCAGGATTTGTTTAAGTTGGTGGGATAAATGAGGTATGAGAATTTCCATATTGCACATGATAAATAATGGTGTAAGAATTGCTGTATTGCACATGTATTGCATATCACAGATAATATTGCACAGTTCAGTGGGTTATTGCACAGAGTATTGTCTAGTGGTACTGTCAGGAGTTTAGTAAACAAACTGAGTTGCGGTAGGTAGTTGCAAGGAGCTGAAGGCCCGCCTATGGTAGGTTGATTGGCTAGGTGATTCCGCTGTCGGGGTGTCTGCGGCTGGCCAGCTGATGTTAGCCGCCGCTGCCACCAGGGTGTCTGCTTTGAAAACTCCTCAGTGTCAGTGAAAACTTGGGTGAAATATCCGTTACCACGTTGCTTCTTCTCTGCTATGACGAGTGATGAGTTTTCTAAAAATCCTCTCAGTGCAGCAGACAACACAACTACATTTAAGTACATATAATCATGATTAAATTGATATTTAGCGCCTTCACGTCTTGGTTACAGCATGTTGGTGTGTGACTGAAAAGCGCTGACATGCACAAGTACTGTGGAATAATTGATAATGAAAAGGTACACAATTATGTGTTATTATTGCTACAGATTGTCCCTGAGGCAGTAAGAGACTCAGAGGTAAGGGTTTAGTCTTATGACTCAGTGTTTCATCACACCCTCATGGCTGTTTGTGCATGTGAACCAGTCAGCAGAATGCTAAGCTGAAATTTGCCATTTATACCTTTATTCTGTACAGCCATTAGAGCTGCAGATTACAGCAATACTACACTGTGGGTCTGTTCCAGTAGATTCAGCAATATGATGCTTTCAACCTATAATGAGAAAGTAGTTTAAATAGTTCTGAGATTTTCAAATCTCTGAAGAACCTTCTTTGTACTCGAGTCTTCCTTTTACTTTTACAGAAACCTCTGCAAACCTCCTTTACTCATGTCTGTGTGCCTTCATCCCTCTTTTTTGCAGGATTTATAGATGAATGGATTAGAGATTAAATCTGAACTTGTTTCCTTCAGTAAACTGTAGTTTCTAAGTCTGTTTAGATCCTCTTCCTGTCTCTGGCATTTCCAGTACAGTCTTAATAAGCTTCAGCAGCTCTGTAGAAAAACACAGGCCAGGAAATTTATCGACATTGATACAGTGTGTCTGAAGTCAATATACCTCTTTCAGTTTCCAGGCAGTATTTTCTCTCAGCAGAACTCCACATCGTCTATTACACCCATTAGAACAAGATGTTACCAACATAAAGACGAGCGGACAGATTTACAACCAGTTATATGAACTGTTGGTTTTCTCCTCAATCTAAAAGCTGAAGTAAAGGATTCTTGCTATTTCGTTTATGGCCTAACAATATAACACGGCCTCCTAAAAGCTGAGAGGAGCGTTTAAAAAGACAGTGATTGCCTGCACGGTCATCTGTGTGCTTTTCTCATGTGGTCACGGTGGCTAACTCTGCTCTCAAACTCTGTCCTGAACACTTTGTCTGCCCCCGTATCACAATTATGGAATCTATCAACAAAGAGGGCCGCTGTGATGAAACCGTCTCAGTTTCAATTTATGTTTTCCTCTAAACCTTTAGTCCCATTTCACAGGGACGGAAGTGTCAGTGACAGAGGAGGGATCTATCCACCTCAGAGTGTAATTTCCGCTTTGTTGTGAAGCATCTCCAGTCAGAGATCCTTAATTAGGCTTCTCCTCTGTTATAGTGATGATGATTCTGTGTATTCAGATAATGGGAAGCATTCTTTGTCTATTCCCACTGAAACTAGATATTAGAAGTGACACGGACACAAACACAGGGGACTGTGCAGTGATTGTTTTTCATTTTTATTCCCTATCAAAGTTGATAAAACAGCCTACAGACTTAAACACACAATGAAATATCTGTCTTCATCGGTTTACTTTCGTGTGTCCTAAAACAACAGATGTTCCGTGAGCTTAAGGACATTGCAGTAAATAATTCACCATATTTGTGTTGTGCTCAGTGGAGGAGGCAACCCAGCCAATTGTGTGAATAATGCGACTTCTGTACGTCAAACCACTTAATGTACCTTTTCTTACTGTCTGAAAACAAAGTAGGTGAACACCTTCGCCTAACGAAAATGTCATGACTAATATCGACTGTGTTATTGCAGACTGTTCATCATGGATCCGGTTCTGCCCAAGGTGTCTACCTGTCAAAAAAAGCTTTTCTTTGCCACAGTTGTGAAAGTTTGCCTCAAGTTTTTGGAGGGTGGGTGTATGTTGTGTCTTTGTTACCAACAGCAAAGATGAATTTACACTTCGCAGGAGAAGCGTTAATAAACAAACTCAACAGCAGCTTGGTAGCCTGCCATTGATGTTCGTGTCCTCCTACTCACACATTACTGGGAACATTGGGTGTGCGAATGGAGCTGTGGCGCAAATGTTTTCACAGGAAATCCATATTGCAGGTTTACATGTTGACAGAGTAAGTGGTGATTTCAAAAGATATCCGTCTGGAACCTGGTTCCAAAAGTTTGTGTTTTTAGCCACCTTGTTTATGCGGTTTCTCATGAAGAAACAACCAAAACATAACAATAGATTACTTACTCCCATAAGCCTCAGACAAGGAAACAGAACCAGTAAAGGGGGGTGGTGATAGTGGTGGTGGTCCTGAGTCATAAAAGATTAGGTGGTCAACTTGCAAGGTTATAATATCATTTTGTGTTGTTGGCTGCTGTTGCTGGATATTATAGTTATATATTCAGTGACATTGTTGCTATAGAACATCAGTTCTGCTCCTATTAACTGTGACTCATACTTTAAAGGTTTTAAAGTAAGGAGCTTTGAACTGGTGGAGAAACTGACTGAAACTGATAATAATGCCTTTCTACAACCTTTAAGAGCAGCCGAGACCATCAGCAATAAGGTTGAAACTTTTTCTGAGTAATTTTGGTGTCTGAAAATGCTGCGAGAGGGAACGATTTAACAACATAATTGCAGCTGATAAATCTGTTTTTTTGAATGTTTCTTTGTGACAAATACAATGAGTGATAGATTTTACTGTCAAAAGACAACAGCAGTATAGCAGACTGATGATCTCTTTAAACACAGAGGTTGTAGAGCGAAAAACTTGTTTGGTATTTATATTATGAGGATGAAGCACTCGTGAGTTTATTCCAGAAATGATAAACACAACAGTCATGATGTCAAATAAAAACTCCTTTAGCTGTGCTGCATAATGTGATGTAATTATACGGATGCTAGGTGTGCTATCAAATCACTCTCTGTGTGTTTCAATGATGCACAAACACTAATCAAGCCAACAAGAAGCACATGCTTCAAGGCTCTTTATTCACAGTGAATGCACTCCTCAACTAATTTCATCATGTGCTGTGTTTGTCTGCTATCAATATATTTGCCAGAAATGCTACGGAGATTCATTAACAGCACTGTTCATGGAGCCAAACCCTTCAGTCATAAACTCAGGTAACTGACAGGCACACATCCGCCTTGTCAGTGCTCTGCCTTTGATTATGTATTCATCCTTTTGAGATGAAGGCAGAGGCAGTTGGGATTTCAGGGTGTTTCCTTTGATTTAACGTGGCGTGTGATCCTGAACTATCATTATGATATATTATGGTGCTTTCTGTCATTTCATGAGCCATAGATTTGTATGTGTGAAGTATTGCAGACAATAGCCATGGCTTCAGTGACTGCATCCCATATAACAGTGGGCTGATTGCTTGCTGTGATTGAAAATGCCCCCTTACAACAGAGACAGGGTGAAAATTGCAATCTCCATGTATACAGCCTACACATCTATATCAATCAAGGAGCACAGCTGCTCTCAACGCTGAGATATATTCATATCCAGTTTGTGCAAGCACCACCTACCCTGAGATTGATTCATCTGAGGAGGACAGTAGGAGGAAGATATAAAGATTGGAATTATGTTAAAAATGCATTAGGTTCAAAGAGCAGGTAATTGTAACTGTAGATTAACACATTTATTCCTCTCAAATCTTTGTAGGGACACAGTACAACAATGCAAGACAGCTGAAAATCAGTTCACGTAAAGTATTATTCATAACTCAAATAATGCATTGAAATGTGATACAGATTTTTTTTTCTAAGCTTAGCTGAATGGAAGGAGCAGCAGATTTTTAAAAAAATTGCTGTTTAAGTTTCATGTTAAAAAGTCAAAATTCTTAAAAAGAAATTTGTGATTTTTTTTTTAAAGAAATAACTTAACAAAACTTTTTTTTTTTTTTTTTTCCGCATATTAGGGCTTTGGACTGCAGCAAAGAAGTCCAAATTTTGTGCTCACAAAAGGTAAGCACACAATACAAGACACACAATACATATAATACTGACACACCCCTTTACTGGTTCAAATCTTATCCTTCAGGCTACTGCTCAGTTCATCCAACTCAAAACCTTCAAATACAAGCTTTTTCCTGTTACAGTGTTCCACAGGGTTCTTTCCTGGGGCCTTTTCTGTTTAATATCTTTGTACTTCCCCTTAGCCATCTTTATGTAAATTAAACACCCAATTTTCTTGGTATGTGGATGACACACAGCTTTACCTGTCCACCAAACTTACCTCATCCCTTCCACCCTCTTCCCTGTCTGATTGCGTTAAGGCAATCACAAGCACAATTGGATAAAATGTCTTATTTTTTATTGCTATTAATATTATTAAGATAATCAGGCAGATTTTTTCTACCTTTTAATACAAACCAGCAAAGTCCCTTTTTTCTTAGGGTTTTCAAGATCTAATCAGATATTCATGTGGAGCAAGGTGTGTTGAGACCACTGTGTGACTGTGCTGTTTACTTTCCCCCAATCTCTTAGGAAGACCCTACTGATTTGAAAATATGAATATTAAACATTTTCAATATTTATGATCAGAAATTCTCATGTGTGCGGGGAACCCTGAGGACAGCCGAGCTCTCAGCCTTTGGATTAAAACAATATTCAATCAGGAAGCAAGCTGACAGCAGAGAGAAGCTCAACAGACACAGCAGTAGCAACAGTATGGGGCTCTGTTTGTCTCTGTGTTTGAGCGTGGAGTGCATTACTCCACACTTAACAAACTAAAGGCCAGTCAGAGCTGCAAAGCCTGTGGCGTACAGGAGTAGGTGTGTGCTGCTGCTGCTGGAGAGTAAACAGTTAGAGAGACAGCAATTGTCATGTCATTATGCAATTTTTGATGTGTATCAGCTCGATGCTTTGCAAGATGGATCCTCCTGATGACAGACATGGAATCTGGCCAATCCATCTGCTTTGCAAGGTTACAGTCATAAGCCATGACTGGAAAATTCTGGCTAGTAGGAGGTGTCTCGCACTTGCTCAGTTCCTGGAAAGAGATGAGCTGCTGTATATTTTCAGATGCCTGTGAAATTGTCAGATTTGGGGTGTTACGGATCATCTCTAATATTGAACGCAAAGCTTGATAACAATGTCAACTTTAACCTGAAGTCTTAGCAGAAGAGCCCGTGTTTGCTGAGAATGAGTGTGCGGTATATGGGTTTAGGGGGGCGGTGCTGGTTCTATAATCATCTTTCTTTCAGACAGGAAATGTAATATTGAATGTTTTGATTCAGTGTCTGAGGCCGGTAAAAATGAGTACACAATACATTTGGCTTGGAAATGCCTGCTGCTCTGTCTCTCCACCATCCAGCAATGAGCAGAAGATGAAATGATTCATCACAGCAGAGACAGCTTCAACACAATGAGATGTGATGAGAGGGAAAATGGTGTCGTTTTATATCTCCCTGAGATCTACACATAGCAAAGATGAATAGAAGCTTCTTGAGGCCAATAGGATACCACCGGCACAGAATCTGGCAGCGTCCCACAGGTGTGATGTTTTTATGATATCTTTCCAGCTCCTGGATTTAAAGAGGCAATCATCTGCTGATGTCGCTCTCTCATCTGTACGGTGTTGACAAACTGAAGGTCAGAGGTAGAACTGGTCTAAATTTGTGAAAGTCATACAGTCCCACAAGTGAGTCTTAGTATAGGCTATCAGTCAAGGTTAAAAATCCACAATTGCCTTTGTCCAGATGAAACTGGACTTTTAAAAAAACATGTAAACACATAAGTCTAGCTGGAATCACATGAAATCAAATTTGTCATAGTCTGACTAACATACCCAGATAATGCAGTTAGGGGATCCCTCCTCAAACAGACTGCACTGGCTCAATTGTTGTGCACCTGCTCCACTGTTTACATGCCAGGCTGTGAGTCAGTAGTACAGCACAAATGAGTTGCTAGGGAGTGTTAAGGATGTCAAAAAGACAAAACTTTCTCATTCTACAAACAAATGGTACAGAAATGTTGAAAATGACTGTTTTCATATTTCAATTTATATGCTATTTGCCATTTGGTAATGCGTTTTGTTGATTGTTTTGATAAGTAATCAATCATAAGGTCAACCGGGAGATGACCCAATAGTATCAAGTCTAAAGAGGGCACGTCACTACCTATTGTAGCAGATGTGGACATGCTCTTGTCAGTATCTAGTTTTACCTAATCTAGTTCTAACTGAAGCTAGATTTAACTGCATCTAAATGTACTGATTAACAAAACCACATATGGCCAGGTTCAAGGGGGGATATTATGCTTTTCCACATTTACAACAAAAACTGCAAGTTACAATGTTTGGTGTCCATACTAGATTTATGCAAAGTTTTAAATCAGGAGGTAAATGCATGTTGTAGTAATCTTGATGTTATAGTGGATTACATGCCCCAACCTTCAGTGTCAGAATGTGAAGGTTTGTATGTGAGTAAACAGAAACAACTGTTACTGGCTGTGTCCATACAGCAAAACCGCAATACTGGAATTATAGATCATGATAAAGTATTTTCTTTCATCAAGTGTTCTCAATTCAGGGAAAATTTCTGCAATATTTAAATTGGCACATGACACCTTTATAATGAGTCCACTGCTACTTTTCATTCATTCAATCAACCTAATTGCACTCAGGACATTTCAGGGGACTAAAAAGGTGATGCCATGTTTAATCTCTTATCAGCTTGTTGCAGCTGTGTTTGTTCTTCTTCACTCCATGTTATAGCGGATTACATGCCCCAACCTTCAGTGTCAGAATGTGAAGGTTTGTGAGTAAACAGAAACAAGTGTTACTGGCTGTGTCCATACAGCAAAACCGCAATACTGGAATTATAGATCATGATGAAGTATTTTCTTTATCAGGCCAAATACAGATTACATTGTCCAACTTTAAATACCCACTCTGATGAAAATCCAGTTTTTCTTGTTTTCTTTTTACATGTAACTGATACAGTAACTTTACATTTCTGATGCTACAGGATATATCATGAGAAAAAGTGTGAAATTGCATCTCTGAGCAATTCAAATTGCTGTGAATCTCTGGCAGACCCAACCGGTAGACTCAGACACAGTGGGATTTCCTATGTCACAATTCCAAGCTCCGCCCCCGGAGCCTTGCCATGCAGACCAGACTCAGAGAAAAAGAGCAGACAATCACGGAACAAGCGTCTGTGTTTAGCAGATTGCAATGCTTGTAGGAAAGCTAATTATATTAACTTTTATCATGCCCCCAAAGACAATAGTGTCCGAGAGCTGAATAGCTCCTATGTACCTGCTACTTCTACTACACTGGCAATGTTAGGCTGCAAACTAGCTTGAAGGGGAATGTGCAGAGCAGCGCTGTCTCCGCCCACGACTCAGAGGCGAAGAGCTGATGAGCTATTGGAGCTCTGCAGAAGAAAAGCCCTTGAAAATGACACAGGTAACGTGATTTTGGCTAAAAACTTAATAATCACAATTTAAAGACCACTGAGAACACTTTAAGTAGTAAAAAAAAAGAGACCAATCAGAGTGGGACTTTAAGGCTTAGCAGAACTAAAATGAATGAGTTACATCAATTAAACCCAAGGCAGAGAAAATCTGGTTATAGACTGTTCCTTGTATCACACTGTAAACATATTGAACCCTGCAGGTAGGTGGTAATATGAGGCCTACTGAAGGCTAACACACTTTCAGAGCCATGTGGCGACTTAAAGAACTACAGTTCTGGTTACATCTGAATTGGCTTCACTCGTGAGTCTGGGTGTGATATGCTATTTCATTATGGAACCAACTTTTTTTTTATTTTTTTAAAGCTTGAAATCTTTTGCAATTACACAGTGAAATAATAAATCTAATATGAAGGCTGCAGGCATCAGCCACAACATCCCGGAGTGGCTGTTATTAATTTTCTGTATGATCTTGATCCATTTGTGTCTAATGAAACAAAATCACAGCCTCTCATAATGAATTGAAAAGAGGGGTGCTCACATTGTTTTGATCCCAGAAACAAAGGGATAAATTTCACATGAACCAGACTGAATTGCGGAAGACGCCCTCTGGTCTTTTCCATTCATAAAGGCTTTCCTGAAATATTTAATTTCCATGCATGTGTGTCTTTGAGAGGATTTTGGTTAGCTGCATTTAGAAGGCTAAAGCCATAATAATTACTTAACTAATTTGCAGCATTTGTGCTAAACCGATAAGACGCCGTCTTTCATGGGATTCAGAAGCTGCCATCAATAATGTGACTGCTTGGGGTAAAAAGTGATTTAAAGCCCATTTCACACTCGGCTTCAGAAAGAGAGTGATGGCTGGGCATTCTCTGATCCTCACAGCTGCCATCATGACCACGTCCTCTCCACAAGCTCTGCATTTAATTCTCAAAAATAACACTGAAGTCGGAGGAAATGTCTGCCTCTTAAAGTTCTCTCCTTCCGACTTTTATCCTCTTTGTTTAGGTTAGACTATGTTCACTGATCTGCACAGCGCGTATACTCAAGGAATTTTTCTGTATGTGACAAATCCACACTTCAAATCCACAAGATTTATAGTCTTTGAAAATGCTCAGTGCTGATGCCGGTGGTAGGGTGGGTGTGGATGTCTTGGTGATGGATTGACCATTGAGTAAAAAACAGAAGATCATGCAGAAAGGGTCAGTTTGAGTCTCCTGTCACTAACTTGTGGTATATTATTAGAGGTGCACTGATTGCAAAATTCAAGACCAATAGAAAAGCCTTATGTTTAAAAACACATCCCTGTAGATAATAACCAACAGATACTGATAGATTTGTATACATTCTTAATTAGTGTTAACCTCTTTCTGAGCCATCTCCACGATTTCAGAACAACCGAATACATTCTGAAAGAAGGAATTCATTGAACGGGAAAATGTACATCCACAATACCTATTCACAGATACATTTGTATTTAAACCCCCTCAAGTAATCCACAAAAGTCATTAATTTTTGTACCATTTCTGTACATCTTAATCCATCCAATAGCTGTTAAAATATTGAATATGGTCCAAATGGTCTGCATATTGTGGAAATGAGAAATAAAAAAAACATTGTCACTGCAGATTGTGCAAGGATTTTGCTTTGCATCTTCTTCAGCAAATACAATACTCAGAGCATACCCACATGCACACAACCACACACAATTACAAGCATGCAGTATTAACTTAGAGAGGAAGAATATGACCCAACAGGCTGGCTTGGTCAATCCCAGAACTACCCTGTAAACATTTCTAAAAGTGTCCTAAATTTGACAGAATATTGACATTTTTCCTGGGCAATTGGTTTTATCACACATTTGACAGAGATCCCAAATGTTTGATTCGGCGAAACACCAATAGAACCAAGTGTGTGTGACTCAATAAATGTTCTGCTCTTGTTGCCTTTAGCCAACAAGTCGTTGGGTCAGTGACTTCATTACTAGACTGATGGTCCTCTCTGGACTGTGAACACTGATGATCAACACAGAGCTCTGCTGATTAAAGTCCCATTCCCTCAGCGTAAGCACTAATTACCAAGACTGACATGCAGTTCCAGCTCGTCTCGGAGCTCAGAGGTCTGTAGTCTCTTTCTGCCCTCTATCATCTTTGGTCATGAGCACTGACAGCAGACAAGGGATTATCACTGTCATCACAAAATAGTAGCTTTAGACCAGTAGCTATTATTTGGCCATGATAGTATGTCATGGCTGTTAGAGAACCTTTGTGTGTATTCACCACCCTGGAAAACACAACCTGTAAAACCTCAAACTTACTGGTTTCTCATGGTAAGGGGGTACAGTACCTACTTATCACAATTTTTCAGCTTAAGATGTTGCATTGGCTAAAGCCATACACTTTACATCAATCTCCATTAATGTTTATTTAAAATAAGACTTTAGAAAGATTTTCTTAGCACAAAAATTACCCCAGGGTTCAAAAGCTGCTGCAATTCATTTTTGTGTCAAGAGCAGTAAATAAATAGACCTTAGCCCTTTTTATATTTTAAGCTAGCAAAAGTGTTATTAAGAAACTCTGCTTTCATCACTCCTTTGTTTTTTTAATGTCTCTTTTTAGGCATTCTTGCCAGAAGGATGCACAAACAGACCATATATTGTATATTAAAATGTATACCACAATTGCTCTCTGGCTTTGAAGCCAAAACATTCAGAGCTCCCCCTACTGACTGGCTGCAGTATCAGTCAACTCACTCACTTTAGCAGATGAAAAACGAGTTCGACTGTAAAATTAGATAATTGTCAAATGAACTTTTCTCAAACATGCTTTCTGTCATTACTGTTACTTCTTATTGTGCTGATCTTATTTTAGAAGTTTGGCTTCGACTAGATATTTGATAACACAACATAGATTAATTGACAGCTCTTTTCACAAATGCGGGCTATTACAGCATTCTGTACCAAATTAGCAGACTACCTAATAGGATTTGGTCAGCAGAGACCGACGCTGGCTGGTGTATAAAAAAGAGTTAATTGAAAATCAAAAGAGCTGGCAGTGAAAGGAGGAAGCTTGCTTGGACAAAACTCTGGTGAGGAGTAACTAGAAAAACTCAGGAATTAAAGAATGCTGGACTAGCAGGTGGTGAGGCAGGATAACCTAAGCATAAAGAAGAAAACACTGGTAACACTCAAAAATTGGCAGCTTGAGCACCACAAGTACACACAGTACTACTGGACAAGATGGAATTAGCTGGCAGAATAGTGGAGTGAAGACCAGGCTTTATTGGACAAGTTGCAGAGCAGAGTGGAAGCAGGTGTGCCTCACCTGCTGTCATGCCCCCTGCCACACACCTGCCCTGCAAGAAAAAGACCTTAAGGAGAGGAGGAAAGAGACCACAAAAAAATACAACAAAACCAAAACAGAATTGTCAAAGACATGTTGGGACAGTGGAGAAAACCTACAAAAACTAATGCAAGCGTCAAGTGTCTGTTTCAAATTAGCGCAAAATCTGATCTGCTGTGGACTGTACCCACCTGAGGGATCTTTGACATTTTACCTCATTGTCCATTTTATTAATAGTCAATAATTCAAACATACACACATTTGACTGTTCCACCTTACCTGCTCCAGCAGTTCTTAGTAATTACGGCTGGCCCCAGTACCCTATTTTTCAGGTTAACATCAGGTAGCTGTAATTTTCAGTTTTGGCACAATAACTCCTTCTTTCACCTTCAAACAAACACGGCCAGTCGGAATATTTCAGCCGGTCATAAAAATCTTATTCCCAAGATAAACTTATCATGACGGCAGATAATAGATAACTTAATTTTTGATTTGGGAAAATCTGCATAATTACATAAATAGTATGCAAAATGCCTGCATACTCCTTCACAGTTGGAGCTAATGTCATTACCAGCTTGTTGAAGTACCCCCCTTGCCCCCTTAAACAAGTATTTGGGCTTTTGCATTAACACAATGAAATACAAACTCAACAAATAAATCTGAGCATAGAAGAGAAGCTTACACAACTTTTTTCTTTTGTTCCTTTCTTGGCATACTGTGGAAAATCAACAGCAGGCATCAACCTGGGATGTTAATTGAATGACCTCAGCAATGTATTCTCCCTGTCCATTAGTGTCTGTGCTGCCTAAAGCTCCATCACTCAGACACAATATCTCATCTTTAGATTACAATGTGCCAAAACCTGCTGGAATTGTTTGACTCTATCATGACTGGAAAGCAAAAAAAGAAAAAAAATGTTAACACTGTAGATACATAAACAAAATGCCCCCTTATCTCTGCATGTATCGCTTAAATGATCAAATAGACCTGTGAGGAAGAGATAAATAGAAAGATGCAGCACAAACACTGTCTTCGTAATGAGATTATGTTCACTCTGGCTGATTAAATTTGGCTCCTTCAGGCTTTAGATTTGTCTGAACATTTTGCTGAGATGTTTCTTTTGTGCCTCTGTCACACTACATGAAGTACAGTATGCAGCACAATGGGGCTGACGTTTGTGGAGCAACACAGTCTTCTAATAAGAAAAAAGTTTCTTTTCATTTCCTTGAACCACATTTTTCTCCTCTGATGGAAAAATATGAAAGCTTTTTGAAGGTGTGTATTTCGTCAGACAATGAGATGAAAGGACTTCAGACCCCATGGCAGAAATAAAGAACGGATTTTCCTGGACATGTTCAAGTCTGCCGTGGGTTGAAAGGACCCAGAGACGGTTAATAATCTGATTTGACATCCATTACTTGCTTGCAGGAACATGGCTAAAGTGCAGGAACCCATTGTGTAGCTACAACAAACACAGCACATGGACTGGATACTGTAAGACAGTGCACTGAGTCCAGACTTAATGTTGTAGACTGTTGATGCTGACACAAAGCAGACGCCTCAATCATTTCCATTTTCAGATCCTATGTGCAGTTCTACACATGCAGCTACTATTTCATCTTTTGTAAGATTTTTAACTATTTACATATGAACACATTCTTCTATGTGTGTCGTAATGCCTCTGTGGTAAACTGCTGTCTCAATGAACCATAGAAAATATGTAAAACAAATCAAAAATGCCTGATGCCAAGTCGGTCTTTTAGTTTGGATTATGCTATTGTGGTTAGGTTTTTCTCATTTTTACAGTAATCTCCCGTTAAAGAGAAGAATGTTCTGGTTGCATTGTCATTTTTATTAAACAGTATAAAAAAGAACTAATTCATGTAATGAGATGCTGCATTGGTCTGGATGTGTAAACAGAGGAAAAGCTATCATAAATAGCATAAAGAAAAAAGAGCTCCAGTAATAAGACACTGTGATCTTTTCCCCTTGTATTCCCTCTCTCCAGTGCCGACATTATCTCCTGTTAGATATGATGTGAACCTGCGCTGGTATCTGCTCTAACTCATTAACATTAACTGTCATTGCTGTGATTTAGAGGGCTGGCACGGCGCTGTTAAAACTTTAACCTCAAGACATACCTCGAGGGAGGGAAATAATGAAGACCATGACTTTAGCATAATAACGTGTCTCCTACATGGCTGCATATTTATAAATCAATACAGTACAAGTAACTTTTTGAACTGTACTATCACTTAGTAAAAGAGTTGTCTTATACTTATTTCTGAATGTTGTAATTTGGTTTATGCTGCTGATAAGATCTGAAACTTATTTGTATTTTCAATCAGCTGTGTTTTGTTGATGCATCAGCTACTTTTTTTCAGACAGTGAAACATCAGATTAAGCTTTTAAAATTTTGCGTACACTTTTCAGTAAAAAAAAAGGGAATGATTAGATTATTCGAACAAGTTCAGCTACAAAGAAATCAGACCTGTGACAAAAAAAAGGGAGATTGAGATTAACATGTTACTTAAACTCTCTCAGTCTAGAACTAGTCAACGCTTGTTCTAGCTGTTTAATATTTTTGACTTTAAATGAGAAATTATACATGGCTTAATGGATGGATAGATAAATCGAAAAGCACCTTGCTGATTTTTCACTGTTATATCACTGAACTCTCTCTCTTCTTGATCAATTTGTTATAAGACTATTGTATAACCAAACATCAGGATGTCTGGTCAACTAAATACTGAATGACCCTGAGAAGGGAGAGGGCGGAATTGATTTATTTGTTCCCTGCACTTTGGTTTGGTTTCACTAAGACGAAACAGTGTGGATTGATTTTAGAAAACTGCAGAATAACTGTAAAAGTAGAGTATAATAAACATGTGTCATCTGAAAAGGCCTAGAGATAGAATATTTTCAGCTCAGATATCAATACGAGACTGTTATAGCAAAAGCTTTTGTTGGCACTGAATCTGATACATAGCTGGTGTTAAATTCATTAAAAGGAAAAGACATAGATCAGTATTTCTATTATCCTTTTAAATGCTGTGAATCCAGAGGCCCATTATTCCCGTCCTTTTAAGAAACTTTCTGTTTCATCACCTTGATAAGATCCTGAAATAGATTCAGAGGTCTTTCCTCTACACTGCAATCATATTAAAGAAACACGCTGGCTCTGAGCCTAAAGACCTGGAAGAATTCGTCACCCGTGATTATAACATTTACTCACCTGACACTGTGTTCCTGGTTGTGTTTTTCCTCCCACAGTCTCTCTCTCTCTCTCTCTTTCACTCTCCTTTGCTTGTTTATTTGTGCTGGATTGCTTCCTCATTTGTTTTGCGTGATTGAGGAGGGAGACGTACGCAACTGGGTACCGCCTCGGGTAAGAGAGAGGATCCAGACACAGCTGGTGTGTCACTTGCTCGTAATGAGCAAACGTGACAGGATGAAAATGTGGAGCGTCTGCCATGTGCCACAGCTGTAGGAGGCTCTTTGAGGGCAATTTATAGATACTCATACTCATGTGGCACTGTAATTGTCCGTGGGCATAATAGAACTTTCTTTTCTTTTCTGTCATCTATAAGCTAGAATCATAGACAATTACCCAGTTGACACTATCTCCCATATCTCCCATATCTCCCATATCTCCTATACCCAGCCTTTAATGTGTGACTCATATGAGGTGGTGACTCATGGGCTGTTATCCAAGATAGTCCCCTTTCTTGTCTGTCCAACAGAGGAGCTATTGAAAATCTATGTCTAAGGATACTGGGCTGAACCAGTTTCAATCTATTGTAAACAAATGTAATGAAGGAGATAAAGCTGCATGACTGAATCATGAAGTTAAGAAATTGCGTACCTCGTATGGTCTACTATAGTGGTGGGCAAAACCGGTCATTTCAGTGAACCGGATCATTCCGGGTAGTTCAGTAAAAAGACCCGTTCATTTCGTTCTTTTTGGTCATTTCGGTCAATCGGTCATTTGTCAGTCCGCTCGTCGTCGTGCCCCCCCCCCCCGCGGTCCGACGCTGTGACTGCTGCACTCTCCATTTCCCACCCCCGGTCCAACGCTGCGATCTCACTGCACTACTTGTAATATAAAATTATAGTAGGAGTAACAAAATATATAAGGTTTTTAATGTTTTTTGATTATTTTGAGGTGCATTAAAAACAATAATAAAAAGTACAAAATGTCAACAGACAGTGCAAATGCGTATTAATAGTTGTCTCTCTGCCTCTGGCTGCAGCAGCAGCTGTGTGCCTTTGTGTGTGTGTGTGACTGTCCCACTCGCTCCGGCTCGGCTGTCGGGCCTCGTGCGGCGGCCACTCAACTCGGTCTTTCAGTCAACTCGTTCATCTGTCTGGATCTTTCGTTCACTCGGTCTTTCAGCCAACTCGTTCACCGTCTGGATCTTTCGTTCACTCGGTCTCTCGTTCAACTCGTTCATCCGTCTGGGTCTTTCGTTCACTCGGTCTTTCGTTCACTCGGTCTTTCGTTCAACTCGTTCATCGGTCTGGATCTTTCGTTCACTCGGTCTTTCGTTCAACTCGTTCATCCGTCTGGATCTTTTGTTCACTCAGTCTTTCGTTCAACTCGTTCATCGGTCTGGGTCTTTCGTTCACTCGGTCTTTCGTTCAACTCGTTCATCCGTCTGGGTCTTTCGTTCACTCGGTCTTTCGTTCACTCGGTCTTTCGTTCAACTCGTTCATCGGTCTGGATCTTTCGTTCACTCGGTCTTTCGTTCAACTCGTTCATCCGTCTGGATCTTTTGTTCACTCAGTCTTTCGTTCAACTCGTTCATCGGTCTGGGTCTTTCGTTCACTCGGTCTTTCGTTCAACTCGTTCATAGGTCTGGGTCTTTCGTTCAACTCGGTCTTTCGTTCATTTGACCCGTTCTTTCAGTCAACTAGGTCTTTCGTTCATTTGACCCGTTCCTTCAGTGAACTAGGTCTTTCGTTCATTTGACCCGTTCTTTCAGTCAACTCGGTCATTCCGGTCTTTCAGTCAGCTCAGTAGTACTGCTGCGGCTTCTCTAAGCCCCACCCACACACAGAACGAGGCGCGACGATAGGATAAGACAGGCAAGCAGTCCCTCTTCAGCCAATCAAAAGAACTGAACGGATTGAACGGGTCATTTAGGGGGGGAGAACTAGTTCATTTCGTTCATCAAAAAGAACTAGTTCTTTTGATCCGTTCGTTCAAGACCGACACACCACTAGTCTACTAGACTATGAAGTTATTAAACAGTTGGGGGAAATGCCTGGTTTTGTATAATGCAGCGAGCAAACAGCCAGGCTGTATCACTATAAAGTAAAAAATTCATAAAAATGGACTTTTCACACAAACAAATCTAATCATAGCACTGTGATCATTTATATAGTTGAATTCCCTCAACTAGCAGCGTCTTATTTCTACAGATTTTCAGACTGGGCTGCTCGTATGAATGCAAACTGCTTCATCATTCGTAACAGTGACTTTTCTTGGGCTTTTGCCTCTCAGTGCTCAGTTAAATTCCTGCAGAAAGTCGGGTAGAGCTGATGTGTGAACAATGCAGAAAAAAGTCAGGAAAATCAACCCACATCAAGTGGAAGGGAGTGATGACATCCATAGACCAGATGCCCTACTTTCCTCCTGTCTTCAATAAAAATAGAGATAATTGCACATAAGGATGAAAAAAGTCTCTGTTGAACCTAAATAGCACAGATACAGTAGGAATCTAAAGGGATATAACAATATATATTTTATAAGTAACATGGCAAGGCAACAGCAGACGTTGTTGTTATCCTTATTTAGGGCATCCCAGCTATAGCTGATCATTATTCAAGTTATTTTTAGCTCTGTAGGATAATAATGAACAGCCCCCTTTTTTTTATCTGTTTGCAGTGCAGTTGTATCTCATGTCTCAAGTACACTTCATCTGTACTTCTTGTACTTTAGTGGAGATTTAGGGAACAGGTGATGTGGTAGGGTTCTCACACCAATAAGTAAATAAATAAATAAGCATTGCAGTAAAAGTTTTGCAATGTGCATTCAGACTGGACAAAATTAATTTAGAAACAGCAGCTCTTGTCACTTAGCAACTCTGAACGCTGGTTGCCTGGCAACTTCACTGTGATGACAAGACTGTGGCAGGTCAGTGCGCCCGATTGTTGTTTCCCAAGATACAGTAAAAAAAAGAAAGCCTGTCACTTTCCTTTAAACCACAACTTGTGTTTTGTTTCTCATTATTGCTTTTGTTCTGAAGAATTACGATATGATAAGGCAGCTTTGTAAGTTTTAGTGTCAGAGTTTTCAAACTTCAGCTGCTTTGTGCTTCCAACATTTGTGAATTTGTGTTATCAAACCATTGGAGAAAAAAAAAGTGATCTATTTAAAATAAAAGATGTCATTAGATACGATAAGCCTGTCTGTGTGAGTTTAAAGAAACTTTAAGATGGAAACTGGGTGGTTTACTAGTGAAACTGTGTAATACAGTTTGACATACACTTCGCTTCTCTTTTGGACTGACTGAAGAAGCTTCACGTTAAATCCTAGGATCTCTCTGGCACTTTTAATGTCAGCACTGTAGCCAACACTTAACTGTATTATTTATATTTTCTGACATGTCATAATTGACAGGATTCATGATAGCTGTCCAAAAATCTGTGAACTGTTTATTACTGCCCAAGTCAAATAAACAAGTTAATCAGAATAATAAAAAACACTAAGTGGCTTAAAGTTAACATGTGGACTGCAAAAAAGTTTTTCTCTAGGAGCCCTGTAACAGAGCTAATACCTGCTCCTACTACTCAGTAGCATTTTGTGTCAATTTTTTTCTTGTGTTAAAAAAATGAGAAGCTTAAAAGCTGTTTCGGCTTTAAAAACCATGTGGAGTAAAAGTTTTTGAAACTTTTTATCATTCAATCAAAAATATTGTGGATTTTATGCATTTTGAGATAATTGTTGCTCAGCACTGATGCTGGGCTTGTAATCGTGTTTGAACAGCTGCAGTCTTAAAAATCTCAGCCATGCCTGACATTCCTGTCTCCTTCTTTTATTCTAAATCGTCCCAGTCCTTTAGCACTGGACTGAGGCTCGAGCATATCTGCTCTCACTCTGACGACATGATATAGAAAACCATATAGGAGTCTATACGGTCAACTGCATGCCCAGAAATAGTGTGGCTGTCCAAAATGCAGTCCTGCTCTGATTGCAGCCTGAGCTCCTATGAGGGGGAAGGAGGAAGCTGCCAAATCCTCCCTGCAGCCCGTCATCTATCTGCCCTCTTCAGACACGCAGGATGTCAGTGGACTGTAGAAATAAACTGCTACAGGTAGAAAGAGGGTGTTTCAACAGTAGGATAAGTTTTGCATATAAAAGATATTCCAGCCATGTTTTGATACATGAAAAAATTCACAGGCTGCTCCTTTATGTCCTCCGTCTGTGCACTGAAGCTCTGATTTAATCTCAGAGTTTTTTCTTGCCTGGCTTTTATGAACATTTCCTCTCATACTTGGAGTAATAGTTTCCTTTTAAGGGATTAGCATTTTCATCTTTTGTGAGGAATCTTCGGTGTGAGATCAAAGTCGCTCATTAATAGATAAAAAAATCGAAGTACCACCACACTTCAACCTAGTTTTCTGTCATACTGGCTTCAGTTTTAGCAGGAAGTAAAAAAAGACCACCACAGAAATTATTATTCAGTTAAGTATTCTTCTTAGAACAGTAACAAAATATTTTAAGCTGAGTTTTCACCAGATCTTTCCTTTTTATTCCTCCTCCAGAACATCTGCATCAGAAGCACACAGAGAACGTAGTTTTATTCAGTTAATGCTGCATATTTGGAGCTTCATTTCCACACCATTGCCACAGAGATGTCAGGTGATAGATGTTCAAAATAGCACTCAGGTTATTCTCCAAACTGTCACCCATCAGCTCAGGAGTTACAACAACAAAAATATTCCAATCTCTGAAATTAAACCTGATTTTGTTCAATCTTTGCTGTGACATGCTCCGATTGAGAACATCTGACCTCTTGCTTTGTTTGTCTAAGTATTCTCTTACCTAACATGGAGGACCACAAGGGTCACAGGATAATTCAAACACAATCAGACAATTACAAAAAGAGTTAATTAACTGGTTTACAAATTCACTGATTAAAGATAACAGAGGAATTATGAAGGAAATGGATCTTTAAAATGTCAAATAATAAATTATAAATGCATTCCTTAATAAAAAGTTGAATTTGGAAATCAATTTGAAAAAGAGTAATAAAAAAGTGGATTCACAAACTGTATGAAGAATACATCTTTTAATCAGCTATTTAAAAGGACCGTTCCTTTCCCATTTTCACCTCCACTTCCTGGCAGCTTTTCCTAATCCTGGTCAAAAGAAAGATTTGAGAAGACCATTTTCAATTTCCATTTCCCCTCCTCCCTTCGCCTCTCCATGACCCTTTGGGCCGTCAGCAAGGTAAACACAATGCAAATTAGCCATGAAACAAGCTCTCTGATTGGTTAAAATCTAGCCTGTTACAATCTCAGGTACTTGGGGAGGTGACTCGTATTATATGTTGCGATCCTTTAGATTCAACAGGTTTTAACATCTGTTCAAATGACAAGGAATTAGTTGCTGTTTCACTTGTGTCCTGCCTCTAAAGTGCGTTGTTAACCTGAGAGACAGATACAGCTGTAAACTCAAATGGACAAGTGATGGGTCCACTCACAGCCTGAGGAGTCAAGGGTGTGTTTACACCAGCCAGACCAGTATTTGTCAGATCAGGGTTTAGTGACTCCTATAAGGATCCAGCAGAAATAAAATGATCATTAAGGCAATTTAGTATAGCTGTCTTATTAGACACTGTACCAAGAAGAGAAGTTAAAGAAATTGGCAAGTCATTAGTTGTCACATGATTTGAAGGAGATATTAAGACTTTCTCAAATTTTGGGGGATCATTTATAGTTTTTATGGATTCATTCAAGTGAAAGCCAGACTTAGCACTCGTAATAAGGGCAGTACATTCATTTCTAAGCTGGCAAAAGCTGAGCCAGTTTATGTCTCTTTGTTTTCCGAGCCCTGGCCCAAGCATTGTCTCTCTCTGTGAGGAGGTTTCCAATTTCAGAGGAAAACCAGGGATTATTTGGACCCTTCACCCTAAATTTTTGAAAAGGAGCATGTTTATTCACTGTACCTCAGAATTCATCATAAAGATATTTCAGAGCCAACACTATAGCATCTTTTTTCAAGATTATGACAACCATTTCCATTTTTCTGTTTATTTGGCACATTTTAAAATACAATAGAACACAACAACAACCACGATAGTGGACGGACATAAACAATAGTCGATTAAATTTTAAAAAGCATGCCAGGGAAATCCCAGAAAAGGGGCTTGAAGAGGAGCATAAACGTTTACCTTGTGATTGAAAATTTGCATACATCTAGTATGGATACCAAACACTGTAACTTTGCAGTTTTTGTTGTGAATGTGGAAACTCATAATACCACCCCTTTGTATGAGCCCTGAACTCTTTTTTACATACAGATCCATAAACAGCATAAATTGAGTGACATCGAATTAAACTGAGAATAAAGGCCTTGCTCCCCTTTTTATTCTGATGATAGTACACACCGGTGAAGGTCTGACCCTCTATTTTATGAAAATTTAAGAGAGACCTGTTTTTTGACATCATCTTTGTTGTTAGATCTTGCTAATAAAGATGCAGGTGTACCTTATGAACAGCTGATATTGTGTTCTTTACTGCTTTTGCTCAAAGTTCATTAGGGATTTTAAATTTGATTCACAGCTGTCGTATTAAAAATATTTTATTAAATATATGCTTTTGCTAAACTTACTTGAAGGCCATTGACTTCTAAACTTTTGTCAAATTATTAGGAACAAAAATACAGTCAAAAGAATAACACTGAGTGCATTTGCTTCAGTCACCATGGAGACCGCAATGCTGTGCACTGTGCTAGGCTGCACTTCTTTTCATGGTAAGAGAGGGTACTGAGTGTAAGGTCATAATACCTCCTCTGACGTCATTGTGACTCATTTTACTTCACACGGCATTTACAAAAGTGTGAAAAAAGACGAGCTGACATTATCAACAAAGAAATAATCTGTGCTGTTGAGGAGTTCTGCGGGTTTGCCTGACTGAGTATAATTTGGAAAAGTGGTGTCAGACCTCCTAATGATTTTGCAGAGGTGTTTTAGAGTAAGTTTGAATGGTCTTTGAGCTGAACCGCAACTTGACCAAGTGACTCTGACAAGTTCTGGAGGATAAAATCGACCACTTGAGAATTTCTTTACTGGCTTATTTTTTTGCTGAAGGTTTAGCACAACATAAGCATACAGACTAAAACCTGCAGTTGAACTGTAGAGTTGTGGACAAGGTTGATAAACAGGAATGATTCACTGCTCATTTTTTTTCAGACTGGGAGGTCAGATGTTCAAAAGACGCACTCCAGCAGCAGACATATAGCTGCCATTCGGCCAAATCTGTCCCTCCTGAGGAAATAAGTTGTTTACCAGACAATGACCTTTAGCTGCTGTGTGACTGATGGCTCCTGTCAAATAAGTGCCATTATGATATCATTAGCCCTAAAATACCGCAAAGTAAGAGCTCTGGGGTTGGACTGGTCAGTGCAGTGTGTGATCCTGGAACAAAGGGCTGCTGTTTCTTCTTCCCTTACATCAACAGATTCTTTTCTTACCTATGAATGTCCCTTTTCGTTTACTGCTTCTGCATAAGAGATGGAGAATCTGCACACAGGTGACCAGATTTTGTTAATGTATAGGCTTCGTTTTTAGTTGGTAGTACAAGCTGTAAAATCCTCAATCTGCTCTTTGACCTTTTTGTCAGTTCCAACGCAATTCTGTTTCTCCAGTCACCAGTTTGACTTTAAACAATGGCAACAAACATGAAAAGAAGTCTTGGCAAGAAAACTTTTGATTGTAATGCTGGCCACATAAACTTTTCATAGCTGCCAGAGGCTGTAGTCATAAACTGATAGCCAGTGGATTCCAGTTTTACTTTATATAAACTAAAGACAGTTATGGGTTTATGAAAAATGAACAGGATTCCCAAGTGAAGTCAGTATAGAAAGACAGTAGGTTAACATGCACAGATAAGTCCAGCTCAATTAGGCAATTTAAAGGGATATTCCGGCGTAAAATTAACTTAGTGTCAAACACACCGTAACACTGCTTTAGACACCCCCTTGAGAGATGAATGTTGTGGACTGCTTGCCTCTAAGTTACACCAACTTTTGTAATGACCACACGGTAGGAATACACAGTGGTCTATGGATCCACACGCACAGCTCAACCAAAAAGCCATCATTACTTCATCATTGAATTAATAATCATCATATTAAATGTTCTTCATTGAGCTGCATCCCCCCTGCTGTCAGTAGTGGACTTGTCCAAGGTCTTCCTACAAACAGCGGCTGCTGGAAGAGAGTAGGTGAGTTGTGTTTAGTCTCTTTGCTAAAGAAATTAGACAAAGTTAGAAAGATGTTTGGTGTCTAGTACTATGGCTGGGACCCTATATGTGCTGTTGATGAAGTTAGGTGCTGTTCTGAGCATTATTTGACTATAGAGTGGCTTTTTGGTTGAGTGCGTGGCCCTGTAGACCACTGTGTATTGCTATCGTGCGGTCGTTACTAAAGTTGGTAGTAACTCCTCTCGAGGAGTTGTCTAACTCAGTGTTACAGTGTGTTTGACCCTAATGTAATTTTACGCTGGAATATCCCTTTAATTGGACTACTAACCTTGTCCCAGTATGACTGTACAAGCACCTGGCAAGAGTCCATTCATTGACAAAAGTATTTCTGCCCCCGCTGCAGTAGGTGGTGAAATATCTCCTTTTATCTTTTTGCTGTTGGGCCATCCCTGGGTTGACCTTTTGTTTCTTGTGCCAAAACAATCAACCAACGCATCAACAAGAGACCACCAGGCTGAATATTAAAAAAGGAAAATACCAACAACTTTACAGCTCTGCACCTTTCACACACACAGAATCTGTGGAGCATGTGCAGAACACTGCTAGCCTGAGCCTGGTTATGGTGTGAACATACAAGAGAAAATAGATCCCCTGCTACTGCAATGTCAGTCAGACTAATGTGTTTCCATGTGTTTTAAAAAAAGTCCAGTTTCAGTCAGACTAAGCAATAAATCTGTTTTTCAAACAGCATGTAAACATACTGACAGAGCCACACTCATGGCTGTCTGGATTCATCTCCAAACCTTGTTCTTTTGCAGCATGCCATTCCTCACTTTCTCTTCTAGGTTTTCTGCTCTCTCCACTGTCCAATCCTCTCTCCTGTTTGTGTTGATGCACGACTTCTCTCAGATTTGATAACAACTCAATAAAAAAAAAATCCATTTAATGTCCGATTGAAAACATCACGTAGAGGATAGCCTGATAGAGTTTACATCCACTGCTTGCCAACATCTCGAGTTGTTTAGATTTGGATAAACATGATTTGGGGGACTGATGGTGCGAGTAATCAGGCATGACCCTGATCAATTTGATTAAGGAAAAGCAATCAAGGTAACACTGCCTTGAATCAAAATCCACTTAATATCCTTCAAAGACTCTTAATTGAACAATAATCTTTCTCCAAATTGTCACTAAGAAGCACTTAAGACAAGATGACATCAGTTACTGAGACCCTAAACTCACAGGGGGAAAGAGTTTGATCAATGTACATTTCCACAGAGACCTTGAGGATCATTCCTCTTGAATGAAATTCAGTCATTTCTCTGGGAACACTTTACTGCCTTTCGATAAATTGCATCTTAAAGCTTTCAGGCACTGTCTTCAGAACTGAGTTATGGTAGATGCCTCTTTGAAAAAATCTCCTGTGATGACATCCCCCCTTAGAGATCTTTTTTAAAAATGGGATTAAGAAATATGCGTCATTATTTGGAAGATGCACCGCCATCCCCAGGGTCATGTGTAGACTGTGCTGCCAATCAGGTCACAGGTGAAGACAGCAAGAGACTTTGGCATCCTGGGAGTCTGGCTAGGACGCCTGTGTCTGGGGATCTAAGTGTCAGCTGCCTGAGGGGACAGAGCAGGAGTCATTGGCAGTGCAAAAGACTTGGCCACACTGCTACAATAACACTGGGGAAAAAAAACTCCTGGAAATCAGCTCTCTCATTTTTACAAGTTGATTTGCTCCAGAGTTTCAGGAGACAAGACAGGTGAGAATACCAAAGATAGTGTGCAGCATGGACATAGACTTAGTGACACTAGTTTATGAAGAGGGATTTTGAAGTGATGCTTGCCAACAAATTAAGAGCTCATCCAGAAACTGTCAAACAGTTGCAGTTTAGGCCATAGTTACAAAATGCTCATCTACCGGTTAACCCAGTCAAGCACCTAAATATGCCTGAATTGGTATAAGTCTTCGCCTGAGAGTCAGAATCATTCACCTTCTGTACTTGAGTTACAAATGGAGAAACAAGGTTGAGACATCATTTTTTTATCAGACTGTGGACACATTCAGCCCTTTTTAAATTAATCTTTTGAACTTTTTGCCCTTTTTTAACAGGACAGCCTGAGAGATAGACATGAAACATATGGAGAGAATGGGTATTAACATGCACTTGATCCTATTTGGGCCACAGATCAATCCATTGACCAGTGAGATGAAGACCCTAGCCGTACATCGGGCCTCAGTGTAACATATTTTTGCTATACTGATTAGTCATGCATTTGAATTTGGATTTTTAATGTAGTTCCCTCTGAATTTGATAGTATAAGACTGTATTCAAACCTGTCCAATAGCGCGGTTTGACATTTGCATATTTATGAGGTCAATATTCAAATTTGCATATGTACTTTAAGGTTGAGTTTACCTTGAAAGAGAAAAAGTCACCTCTCGTCTCTGAAATGATATATTATCATCCTCGACAATGGGATTCAAAGACAGCAGTACAATAGTGTATCGTAATACTGGCATGTGTGACACTTTCCTCTGTTGTGTGTATAACTCCAGTGTAGCAGCACATCATTTTTCTTCCTCAAACTCTCTTATCTGACTTTGAGGCTGGGTAAGCAAACGGTTCTGCACAGAAGTGTTTTAGGATTGATTGTTCAGACTCACATCAGCATTATCTTCCTCCTGTTTGAAGTGAAGTCACACTTTTATGGGCAGCCAGTTCAGTTTTTAGTGATATGAGGGCTGAGAAAATGAAGAAAGTTCCAGTCAAAGAACCACTGACCTGTTCTGTTTGCCTCAAAACACTTTGTCCTCAAAATGTGGAGTTCAAGTTTAACAGGCTGTGATTCAGTGCCAACATTCCTCAACAAGGATATAAAATGGAAATAGCTCTTTATAAATCACATGACATGTCCACTTAGAGGAGAGAATATGGATATTAAAACAGCCGTACGGAACAATGTGTTATAAAGGGCTATGGAGAAATTTATTCTGGTTCAAGTCAGGTTATTCTTCTGAGCTCTGAATGAAAGCGGTGTGATCATGCGTGCAGTGAGTCTGCCTCACAGGAGAGCTGATGGGATCTTATCAATGAAAGCTTCCTGACTGCAGCCCAGATAGCAGCTTGCCTGGCACTGCCCTCTGATTACTGCTGCCACAGAGAGCTGCTTCAACTCCAGCAGCACTGTTAGCATGACAGTGCACATTAGTGATGGTGGAGGGTAGAGGATGTGGAGGAGATCAAAGGGAGGGTGCATAAAGACGGAGGAAGGAGATGAAGATAAAGCACGGAAACAAACAAGAGCGCTATTTTTGGTGCTTAATGGGGTAACTGGGTTGGTGAGATTTTTTTTCCAAGTTTCTCTCCTCTCTTGCCGACACATGCTGATGCATACTTGTGGCTTGGAGAGCTGCCTCGGTGTGCAGGTCTGTGGTCAGAAATGCTTTTAGGAATAATGAAAAACATACAAAAACCATCCTGCTGTTTTTTGCTGGTTAAATGTGTCTCTTGTTGACACTGTATGTAGGAAGAAAACTATTTTGGTAGAGTGTAATTAACATAGACTGTCTATACTACGGACACCTGTGTTCCTCCTTCCGCCAGTATATGGGTTTTAAGCCGTTCCGCGATTTTTCTCCACTTCCTGAAACCAACATTGCGCAGTAGCATTGTACGCATTCGGCAGGAGAGTCGCCGTGAGTTACTGTGATGATGCTCGACTCAAACAGTGTATCCCCCGGGTGAGCTACGCAATCTTCGCATGACCATAGGATGTATCAAGTGTCAATCATAGAAAACATGAACCCCCAATAACTTTTAAAAATGGAGCTGTACAGAAAAAAAGAGGACTTGTGAACAAACCAGTCTTACATTAACTACATGTCAACATCACAAGCAGGGGGAGGGGGAATTTATATTCCGTGTAATTAATTTCTGAAGTTTGTCCACAGCACCATAGGGATTGCTGGAGGAGGTGGGATTAAAGCCTATACTGCAGCCTGTCACCAGAGGGTGCTGTTCTCAGGGTGGCTTCACCCAGCAAGGAGGCAGACGTTGTCCATTCTATATACAGTCTATGGAAATTAAACATCCAATCAGACCAGGCAGCAGCAACTTAAAACATTATTAAAACAGAACTGGTACATCTCGCCATTTATGGTTGTCTCATTTGGTTTTGTAACTCGTGAGAATATGGACTGGCACCACTGCCCCTTTCAGTGAAAAGCCCAATAATTGTTATATTCTGTATTACTGTACAGAAAGTTTAGGGAACATGCAAATTGTATATGCTATATTTTTTATAATTAGTATTAATCTGATTTCTTGATATGTGTCTTTTCTTAAATTCTTTTATTGTTTTGGCTCACTGTTGCTGTAACACCATAATTTCCCAGTTTGGGATCAGTAAAGTAATTCTGATTCTGATTCTGATTCTGATGAAGAAGTTACAATATAATTGAACTCCTTACAAGAGCTTTCACATCTGAAAAAATTCAAAATATTTTAGGCGTATGTTTGAACAACCTGAATTAAGTTTACCATAAAGATTTTTCAGATTGTAAAATATGTTTTGGTCAAGTTTTTGAAGATGTAACATTCAGGATGATGTATGAGACTTTCATTTGACGTAATTCTGAATAAATAAGAAATTAACATTCAACATGATACATTTTGATAGAGTGTAAGTCGTGATAACTATTTTTCTTCTAGGGCTTGAAAATTGCTTTATTTATTGTCAGGAAGAAATCCTGTTTTAAGGTCTCAAGGAGACACCTTCTGAATGCAAATCCACTGCAGGGATGTGTGCACTAGTCAAAGTCTGAGTCATCAGTGCAGGAGTTCATGAAAATGGATGTGAGCATCACAACACTGAATCTCACAATCCGCATTTGTGAAGAAGTGCATCCGATTTCTTTAGGCTGTGAATCTCTCTTTGTCAAATCAGTCTTAAATCCTGAAGGTGATGAATGAAGAGCTGTTTTAAGCCAGAAATATCCACAAGTAGAGAGTGAAGGAGAAGACGAAGTGAATCAAAGGTTGACCACAGCCTTGATGAAACTTGTTCAGTCAGCAGAGTCAGCCCCTGTCTGTGTGTCTGACCCCGACCAGCATGCCTGATCCTCCATGTTGGAGCATCAGCTGAACTCAGGCCGTACTCCCAAGCCTTCCTGTTGATTTCTTGTTAACAAACATGACAGTGATTGACGGAAAGGTCCAATTACAGCCACAACTGGCTGACACCTGCACAGGTCACCCAGTGCCTGTTCAGACTAAAAGAAAGTCTCATTGATTTACCAGCTGAGGTTTTATTGGAGGCTGATGAGGATCTGTTACTGAGCTGCTTGGAGTGAGATGAGTCTGCATTGGATTCAATTAATGATGCATCGTGGGAGGTTGAGGTAGTGATGTGAGTGCTGTTCTTCTGCTCTTAAAAACTGCGTTTAAGTAAGAGGTAGAAAAAAAAGGCTTAGACTGGGTCTACATATTATTTTACATACATGAGTGAAAGATTTGGGACTCACTGTCAATATGCTCTTACTGTTTTCATTTTTGAGCATTAGAGTGTTGTTGCAACTTAGTAAAACAACGATTATTGGTATGTGTGTGTGTGTGTATGTATGTAATGTATGTATGTATGTACGTAATGTATAGATGTGTATATATATATGTTTAATGTAACAGTTGATCATTAAAAACACAGCGATACAGTCTTTGTCCTCCAGAAGTACCATTTTAAGTCACAGCTCCACAAAGTGAGCTACATTTAATGTGGATCATCAGTTTCCGATTGATATTCAAATAATTGAATGTTTCCAAATCATTGAGTCCCAACAAGGACATCTCCTCAGTAAATCAGTTTGATGATGATCAACTCTTTGTCTCATGTCAACGACGGTTACGAAAATAATTCTTTCAGCTGATCATGTTTATCCCACACTAGCCAAACAATTAGTCAAATGATCTGAAATCATTAGTGGTATCCCGTCTGTTGATGTGTCTGTCTGAGATTTACAACATATCAGCCTGTGTGTGTCTTCTAACCCTCATGATCATAAGAGGTATTTGTGGATTCAACATCAGGAAACACTTGAATTTTGACTTGTTGAACAAAAAGATAAACAATAATCTAACAATTTACCGGATCAGCACCACTTTGAGTTTATGATATCACTATTTCACCGTAATAAACTTTTCAACAGTAGATGGGGTAGATTTTTAAAAATTTAATCTGTTTTCATTCAGCTCTATGACCTATGATCTACTGAAAGCAGCATACAGGAAATGGAGCAACCGGAATCCTGGATAGGAATTTCTTCAAAATCAAAACATGAATAACTGTTTATTGAGTAATTATCCTCTTTTAAGAAATTTTAAATCCCAGTGCTGGTGGTAAACCATAGAAATGGAGGAGACACATGAGTTAATTGTGTTTGTGAACTAATTAATGTGTGTGTAGTGTTCTCCGTGCAAGAGAATTAAGTGGATTAGTCTGAGCTCATTGGATATAGAAAATATTTGAGTCTTCTTTAACACACTGTGCCAGTAGTTCCCTCAAATCTGAGTAAATATCACTCATGTCAAAACTCTTGTAAAAGAAATGAGGATGATTTTACGACTTACTACTACTCTACCACTACTCTTGGGGAGTTCCTTACTGTATATTTTGCTCTAATCTGCCTTCAAAGGTTTTGTAATGTTTTGGCCTGAACAGACCCGAAATAAAGAAGCACAAATCATTAACAGAAGAAATATAAGAAAGAGACAATTAGCTATTACGATGGTTTTAAAAAGTTGGAGCCTGATCTTGATCCAAACTGAATTATTGTCCAGTTGAAAAATGCCGTTTGAAAGAGTTTGATAAAAGCCCTGCAGTGTTTCTTTTTCCATCAGTCAGGAGACCAGAAAACTTTGACTGAGGTCAAAGCAGGGTTTGCTAAAGTCTACACTCAGATACAGGCATGGATAACCCTCTCACAGCTTATAAAGGACATATGAGATTTTATTTAGAGATGTTGATCACCAGCAGCAGAGCGGGCTCACCCCTGTTGACCCGATGAGTGAAACAGTGCTCAGAGTTTATGTGATCTGGGCTCTGAGATACAACCTGCCAAGATGCTCTTTTGTTGTGCTGCAAGACTTTAGTGCAAACACAGAACAAACTCAGCTCCCCCGCCAGTTGTTTATTCAGATTTATTCCACAGAATCAACGAAACTCATTCACCATCCACTGCTGATTTATTTTGGGCGTTTGGGAGCTGCTGTCAGTGAGGAGAGAAATCAAACTACTGGCAACACTTTTGTGCACCAAACAGCACTGTAATGTTCACTTATTGCAAAATATAAAATCCACTTAAGTTCTGGCCTACCCTCATACACATTTGTTTGTTACTTTGATTCACAATTCTCCCCATGATCATTTCACTGTTTAAGAGCCAAAGCAGCTTAAAAGTTATCACCTCCAATGTGTCGGCTGTTTTAAAAGCCTATTATGGATCCCACTTGTGCATTTGTGTTGTCAGGACTCTTTAAAAAGAGACGATTTGACTTGTTGGCTGCTCTGAGTTAAGGTGACTAAGATCATCAGCTGAGGAGGTCCTTATCTGTGATCCTTTTGTAGTGATTATGCTGCATTAATGTATTGTGTGATTTGTTACAGTCTTGATTAAAATATCTGAGAGTGACTAGAAGAGCTGACTTTCATATTGACACTATTTAAGATGTTTCCAACAGTTTTCAAGCCATAAAGCTATTATGGCTGCAACTAACAGCAGCCTTGATCATGGACTAATCATCTGTTATTAAAGTAAATAATTGACTGATCTGATAAAGAATTGCAAAGTGATACTTAATGGATTTTATTGAGGAATTACCTTTTTTATTTTAAATTGCTCTTACAGCTAAAAACAGGACATTAAAGCTTCTGTGAGTAACTTTGAGTTTGTGGCAATTTTTGCATCCTCTGTGGAAAAACATTCATGGCTTGTCTTCTGAAAAAATATTGTCCTGCTGACTTTTTACAGCCAAATGTTTCATTTATCCTGAATATTTTATATGGACATTGTAAAAACGGGACTGGATCTTCAGCCGTGCTGCTGACACCTTCCCTCTCACACATCAGGGAGTGCCAATCCTCAGTCTTGTTGCTAACAGTCTTGTTTGCTTTTGTCTTGCTTTTGGATATCATAGAGAGGCACATTTGCCAATTTCAGTCCATTTCATGAAGGTTAAAAAAACCCTCATAGGAGTCACTTCATGTCTCAATATATAATGGACATGTGGTGAAGTGTGGCTCTCTTCAACACTTGCTTTTTTAGTTTAAACTAGGAAACAAGGTCCTTTTTAACTAAACCAGGAATACTGACATTATATTAACCCAAACCAAGAGTTATTGCTGATCAAAAGTTCTTCGCCCAAGTCATAGTCATACTCAGAAAAGCCTCTTTGTTTTGTTTAAAGGGCAAAGACAAACATTGTATTTCAGGATGTAATCTGAAAGACTTGTGGGTCACCTTCCTTTCTGCTTCCTCGTCTCATTCTTTCAGTCTCTGTGCTGAATAAATAAAAAAAAATCTGTTGCTACTGTTTGTGTTTGAAACACTTTGTGAGAAGTAGAACGGAAGAGTGAGCTGCCGGTGACGTAGGAGGAGACAAAGACCAGGAACTGTGAGAGTGACGGAGACCTTCAGCACATTAAATGAACAAAGCCTGGCTTTAACTGGCACCGAGAAGTCCACTTTAACGTAGACACAGGACTAAAACCATCCTTTCTTTAGACTGCATTACTTTCTGCACATTTACCTTTATTCACAGGAACATAGGTTTAGATAGATCGATGGATAGATGGATCTAATTTTGGTATATTGTCATCAGATCTGTTAATTTGTCAGTGGGACAACAAGAGAAGGAACACGGCTCCTTGCTGCTGATGGATGGCTGCAATAATAAACTCATTTGAAATAATCATCACACTCCCCCCTGTCGCCTCCAACACCTCATTGGACAGATGAATTGTTTATTTGGCCCATTCACCACAGATCTGCACTCTGCCAGTCATGACAGCTACTTTTCATTTGACTGATATACAGAAACAGAAACAGAAACAGAAACGTGGCAAATTTGAGAGCTGATGAGTTTCCAAACAGAGCTTACACTTGAGCCAAACAGTGCTTTTGTTGGAGTTTCTTAAAATTAGCTAACTTACAAAGTAGACCTGATCCCCCTCTGTAGCCGTTAACAGCTTAGCTAGCTTGCATCTTCTTTTGCTAACACTCTTGCTATTAATAAGTGCCCCACAAAAACAAACAGACAAACAGTCCCTTCAAGCAAAAGCCAAACTCTTGCAAGTTTTTGTTCTTGTTAGTCATCAGTTCTTCTTTGCCAAGATGATCCATCAGGCTGACATTTGCAGCATGATTATTATTCAATTGTGCTCCGGACTCATCACAATAAAAGGCCAGAGCAAAATAAGCAGATGTAGCAAGTTTAAAGGAATTAGTCATTTTACAAATTTCCATCTATTAGTATTATAATCTATCTATTAGTATGATAATACATTGTGTGCATAAAAATCACACTTAGTTGGTTCCTGTGTCTGATGCTGACCAGTGTGTTGTGCTTTTAACAAATATTTATAACACCTTGGGCCTTTCCAAAACTGCTCCTCACACCCTCCCCCTACAAACTTCCCCTATGTTTGCATGTGCCTGCTGAGTGCCATGCAAAACCTCTGAATGTAGAGTGGAAGGTGGTTATCAGACCCTCCCTCAGCAAGTCATGGAGATGTAAAAAATATGAAAGTATATGTGCACAGATCGAATCGGCCCTTTCCACTCAGCACATTTTTTTATCATGAAGAGTTTTCATGACCATCAAATTAAAAATAATGCGATAACTAAAAAAATGCTACCAGAAAGGATGAGGAGTTTGCTCTCAAGTTGTGGAGAGATTTTTCTGAGTATGCTCAGTAGTTATTTATGTGAACCCCTTATTATTTGTGTAACATGTAACCATGGTTAAATAAAGTCTTTGCTTCCATGGGAGTGAGAGAAATCTGTCTCAAAGCTTGCAGTTGAATCTGCTACATCTTTCTAAATTGAGCTTCATCAAGCTCTAAATGCGACTTCAAACACAATTCACTCAGGCGGAGTGGAAGAAGGTAGGGACCAATTTGACAGAGGTTCATCTTCTCTCTTGAATTGATGACACCAGAGGTGCTGTGCTTCACTCATCTCTTGTTACAGTCTTGTTAAAAACACAGATGGCACCAGATTACTAATAAATAACCTGAGGTTAGCTGAGGGCAAACTGGAGGATTTATGGTCGAATTGCAAAATATTGCGACTGTTTTTTTCAAAATTATAAGCTATCTGCAGTGCTTTACTGAGATATCTATTCAACAGTACAAAAATCTGTCTGCACAACCTTTAACACAGCGTAAAAAGTAAAGTAAAGCTCCCCCTACCAGTGTCTGAAGGCTTATTTCAACTTAAGTGGAGGCGAGTCAATGAGATGTCCATTCATTCCCATGGTAATGTCTGTAAAACTCCTCTTCTGTGCATGATTTCAGTCTGTAATCTGCCTCAAAGATGTTCAAAAACTTACATTTTAAGCAGTAAACCATCTAAGCTAACAGGCTGCTAATTTTCTTTAACTCGGTTGCCAGTGTTGGTTGTATAGTGAGTTGCTATAATTAAGAGGAACCTGTTTATCTGGTGTAATCACCTTGTTTATGTGAGTAATTCTTTCCTGCTGTGACATGCTTACATAAATTGTATACCTTCACATTGTCTTTGCCAGTTTGATATGAAACACAGTCAGATTTATTAGTTATTCCTCCATAGCTACCAGTAGTTATAGGGGATAGACTTACAGTCATGCTATTAAATAATAAGTGTCTGGTTTACCAACACCGATTTATTGGAGAAAGTAGGAGTTAAGTAAGCTATACTGAGACTTGAAAAAGTAAAAACCTGAAAAACTAGAGAAAAAATAAATGTTGCAGTTTTTGCCAGTGACATTTTCATGACTTTGTCCACAATGCACTGGAAAAAAAAGCATTAGTTATGCCCAAAAAGAGTCATGCTCCAAGGACTGCTTTCGTGTGGACTGCAGCATTTTGAAAAGGCTTTAAAGATGGAGACATGAAAGATGAGCACATCTGTTTGAAAACGCAACATTTGCATGAGCTTGAGTTATTTGAATTTAAATTCCCCTCATTTCATGGCTCTCCACAAACATGCAACTGTAAAAATGCTGAAGGTGTCTGTTGTATTCAAACTATGGAAGGATACAGAATGTCCTATTAGAGTTGGGCAAGCAGCTACGGTGTATTTCCATATTTGTTATTGCTTTGGTCCAAATGACTTGTTTTCCTCTCTGAAGGAGATCAATCTGTTTGGTGTTGATATTAACTGAAACTAATGCTGCCTGGTTATTTTGTTGTTGTGTTTGTTTGGCAGTTCCACCCCTCACCGTAACATTGCATCTGATAGAAGAGGCGAGGGAGCTTACCAGAAAGGATTCATGGCCTTTCCAAAAACTGCCCCTGGCCTCTCCACCTTCTGTTTGTGCAATCACACGGAGGGTCCACTACATTAAGCAGCTGACTGTGTGAGTATTTAGTGGAGTAATTATTGAATCTTACTGATGTTTGTTCATGAAAAGTGTTTATTATTTTGTGACATAGTTATACAAAGCTTCCACAGAGGTGAAGGGAGTCCGCCCCAAAGCTTGCAGCTGAATCTGATTCTTATATGTTGATGAGGCGAGCTTCACTCAGCTCTGAGTGGGACTTCAAACAGAAAGTCCCTCTGATCAGAGAAAGGGCCATAGTCTCAAAAGTTTCACTTTTTTATTTCGACAAGCTCATAACAATCACAGTGCAGATGTCTTCTGCCTCTCCTTAAGCCTAAAAAGAGCAGAACTTTTTTTTTGTTTTGGTGCTTACCTGCTGAATTCTGCGACATAACATGCAGATTTAAAATGTCAAAAAAACAACCTCAAGTGCTCCACAATTTTATTCAAATTAGCCATGCCCCATAGAAACAGCTGTCATGTGATTAACCAATGACCGATTCTTCCCAGAGTGAAGAATTATTACCATTTACACAGCACACATGACTGTAGTTTACCAATGAAGACAACAACTTCCATGATTTCACACTTTGTATCATCCTTAGACTTTGACTTTCATTTGCATTTTGATTGAAAGCCTCTTTGTAGCAGTATTTGTTTAAAGCAGTGAAAGTCTCTACATATAGGAAGACAACTCAGAACCCCTAAATTTGATTGAGTCCCATATACTGCTGCATCCTATATTCTGGATTTCTTGTTTGTACCTAAAAAGTCAGAAAGTCATGTCTACAGTGAGCACCTTGTCTGTAGTAACTCTCCCTCACTCACTCTTTCAGCAGAAGGAGAATTTAAAATATGGATGATGACATCCTGGTAACCTGCTGGAAAAATCCACATGGCTCCAGGAAATGTCATAAAATTCACCTTCAGTTCAGTTTCTACACTCTTCAACTGCATCACTGCCTACTCCTTACAGTTACCTTTCAAAATGTCAAAATAAAGAAACCCCTTTCACTGTATCCCTGCACAAAGATTTTGTGTCAAATAAGGTCAATGTCTACAGACAAAATCATAATAATTATAAATGGAGGATTTCTCTCCAGCACAAGCAAATGTGGCACACTGAAATGTTGCAAAAGATGAAATCACGCCCTATCTATTTAAAGCAACAGGTCACACTTACGGACTTATGATTTATGTCTTATGCACAGACTGTCAATCTAAGTCCAGGATCACTGGGAAGTTTATCAGATATCAGGGGAATGCTTGCTGTATGACAACTTGCTCTACCACTGTGCCGCAGTAGCAGTTACAGGAAAGCTCTGGTTACAAAATTTTGCTATGTTGTACATCCTACATGGTCCTATTCAGTCTTTTGCAGGCCCTTATCTGAAGGGTCTCAGTTAAACAGTTCCTATGTTCCAGCAATAGGCTGTATATCTTATGGACAACTTTACTCTGCCTCCTGTCATCGTACCAATATGAAGCCAAATTGTTTTCGGTAATTCCGGGAATTTTCTTGTTTTCCAGAAAGTGTTCATTAACTACATATATAACACCACAACCAGGGGGGAGAAAAAATTATATTCCACTTAATTGATTTTTAAAGTTTGTCTACAGCTTCATTAATTTTGCTGGAGGAGGTGGGGTTTATGACCTATACTGCAACCAGTTGTCTTGTGAAGGCTTCACCCAGCGAGGAGGTTAATGACGTCTATCCTACAGCATATACAGTCCATGATTCTAGCAGTTTGAGTATCAGTTCTTGCGACAGCACTTAACATACTTCCTCAAAGTTATACTTTTGTCCATTGAATCACAGAAGGCCAGAAAACATCCATCTTCATTCCCAACCATGAGCTCCTTTCACTATTGAAGCCATTCTATTTTCTATCAGTGCAGCGACTTAAATAGCCATTCACTCTAGTCAAAGGCTGCATTTCCACTTGACGCATACATCTTTAAATGTAAGTGATAACAGTAATTGAAATTGAGCGCTATTGCCAGGACTGCTGCTGTAATGACTTGCTACATCTCACAGCAAACACAGCTCACACAATTCACAGCAGACGTCCTGAAAAGCAGTTTCTAATTCATCTTATTTCAGTCTGTCTCAAAGCCAGACCTTGAACCAGTTGAGTGTGTTGTGATTGTTCTTGCAGAACACAAAGTCTTCTCCAGAGCTCTCTTCAGAGTTTCCAGGGAGAGAGGCTGTTTTTCAGCGTGCATACAGAGGAACTTTAAGTGGGTCAAAAAACAACTCTGAAATTAGAGAAAAAATCATTAACGAGCATATAAAAAAGTTTTTAAAAGCTAGTCAAAGTAGACTTTCATGCTTACAGTCTGCAGCTTCAGTTTTTTCACCATAAACCTATCAAAAGTCAGTTTTTAAAGGGTTTGAGTAATGAGAAAGTGGGTCTCAAATTTAAGAACTTTTACTGATTTCCAAACAGTGACTTCCATATTTCCCAAGCACAAGAACATTATCCAACACCGATAACATGAAGCATACACAGGTTTCAATAATATCTTAGTGAGCGGGAATGGTAAAATGCAACTCTTGAACAAAGATTGAAGTCAACGGCTGCGTGTAATTGTCAGTATCTCAGTAAAAGAGAGCATTAAAACCCTTTAAAGTGTTTTACAGTCATATTAAAATGGACAGAGCTAATGGTTGGTGTGAACTCCACATCAGAAGAGTTTATAGATAGTTAACTCAGTAAATCAGAGTAATTAAAGTCAGCATTAAAACTCAGGGCTGACTATCTCAACACACGAACAGTGCATACATTCTTATTTTATTGCTCGTTCTTCCTGTAAAGTGCGAAGGATTGGACATTTTCTTTATAAATGCTTGAAAGGCGTTTTGTTGTTAATCTTGTTAAATTAAATTGAACGTTGTTGGTTAAGGCTGCTGTTGCTGTGGTTTCTGTTCCCATGTACTCTACCAGTCGTGCTCTTTTTATGTTTTTTTAGTCTTGTAAATAGCGTATTCAAGAGTGCACATGCACAGAAATCCCTTTGAGGAGGTAAGAATAAACAAAGCAGCAAATTATGATGTGAAACGTGGATCATTTTATTCAGAGCTGTATTTTTATTACTTAAATGTGCATGTTTGCTCAGTCTGCTGACACCTACTGCTGCACTGTTTACACATGTAGAGGAATCTTCACTTGTTCGATTTTTTTCTAAACTGGATCATTTGCTCCTACTCAAAAAGAAGTGTAATATTTATGAGTTGTGGTGGTAGGATTGGAAGTGGGAGTGATGGTGTGAACAGTAGCACTGGAAAAATTTGTAGTAGAAGTGATATTATAGAGAGTAGTAGTGGTATTAAAAGTATCAGAGGCAGTTGTTATGGTATCAGCAGTTGTATTTGGAGCACAAGTAGTAGTATTAGGAATAGACATGGTGGTACTGGGAGTAGTGGATGTGGTATGAGTAGTTGAAGGAGAAATAGAATTGGTGGTAGTGAGAGGAAAAGAAGAAGTTGTACAAGATGTAGCAAGTGTTGTATTGAGACTACTAGTCGATACTATGAAGAGTAATGTAGGCATTAGGAGTTGCAGCAGTTGTTTTAGTGGTAGTGTTGTGTTATTTGAGAAAAAGTGCTGGTATTAAGGATAGTATTGGTAGCAGTGGTGGTATAGTGGTATATACCAGGGAATTTGGACTCATAGAGATGAACTCAGAAGGCATAAATGAAAAGAGTCTCTTATTACTTTCAAGATACGTTTGACATTTTTTAAAATATGATTAAGAGCGATTGAGATTGTTGGTTCTTTAAGTTATGCTTAGTGTTAGTTCAGGTGGTACAGTACAACCCACAGTACACCAGCTGATCCTATACTGCCAGCCATAAATTACAGCTCAGCCAGTTACCTTCATCAAATCCGGTTGTCAAATGTGCATTCTGTTTAAACGTTGTGTACTTTCACTGATGCTCACTCTGTTGTGCGTCTTTGCTGCACTACCCGCCTGAATTTTTTTTGTAGGCACAGAAAACAGAGGAGAAGTGTGTTCTCCCTGCAGGCATTAGCATGTTAGCATGCGTATGAATAACAGGGGGTCTCACTCTGGTATCCCACTGGACCCAGAATGGCTCCGCTATGCTCCGGACCGGCAGGCGGATCAAATACGCAAACATACAGCGCCCACTGGATCCGATCCGCCTCTGCCATCGGAGGAGAAGTGCTTGCGAGATTACCGATATTTCTCACGAGACTTGACAAGATCTTGTGTGTTTCCCCGTGAGACATTGAATGAGATCTGCCGATGGGTGTACATAAACACCCACATCCCACAACCCTGGCCTCCCCTATTGCTATCACTGTCTTCACTATCAAGTGAAGAAACAGTTCAACGTATTGACTTTATTTTATTTTGAAAATTAACTGGATATTTTACTCTGTAGCCAGAAACAACTTCTGCTGCTGCTTGTGCTGCGCTGCACTGAATTGATGCACCGTGCTGCGGCGTCCGGCAAAAATAGAAGCCTTGTGTATCGGGTCCGGCCGCCAGAGCCGATCTGCAGCGGAGCCAGACGGTGGACGGATTGTGTGGAGTCACTCACATTGATTATAATGCTTGCATATTTGATCCGCCTGCTGTGCTGGAGCGGAGAGGAGCCGTTCTGGATCCTGTGGGTTTAAGCCATAAGAAACTCCAAATATAAGTTATAGCACGCAGTAAATTAATCTTCTTTGACAAAAGTGGTCCTGATTTAATCCCAATTTGACTTTAGGGCTGCCAGTTCAAAGATTCCATCCATATAAGGTGGAGGTGTCTTAGTAGTATTTGTTTTGTTTGAAGGATTATCCTGAAATAAACAAGCACTTTGTTTCCTTCACAGAGAAAGTGATAGTCTCTCATCTCCATCTTGCCGCCTTATCAGTTTGGTAAAAGTGTGTCAGTCTCAGAGTGAATTACCAATCTAAGTTAATGGTTCTGACCTGTGGTGCACTGATGACTGTTTTTCACACACATCAGCTCCCGACTGTGACTGGGTTGTTTGTCTCCACTTTTCCCAGAACTTTCTCTCTTTTCCCCAAGATTCTGATGTGTGCTCTAATTAATTACCGCTCAACCATCACACAGTGGGATGGATCAATCAATCTCCTGCTGGGCTGAATGAAACAGGTCCTGATGCATCTCATCTTGTTATCAAAGTCCCGGGATGACAGTAAACACTCACCTCTTTTGTTTAATATGACCTCTTTCTGTGTGATGTGGACTACTTTTTTATCTGCCTTATCAACTCAAACAATGACAAAAACCTTTTTTTATAGTTGTGAAGAACAAAGACTTGTAGAAGATCATTTTAAAACCTTCCCCAGGTTTTCCTCCCTTTTTTTATCTTGTCAGCAGATTTTTTTAAAGCAGATCAATAACATCAGTCACTTATCTCTCAGGTTGACAGTAATGACAGTTAATGACAAACTGATGGGTGGTGGCCAAGATAGAGAGCAAATAGTAGGAGTAAGAATCACAAGTGGCCCTACGATAGGATATCACTGCAATTTTTAACATTTTGCAATACAGCAAGTATTGCGATACAATATATTGCGATTTACGCAGTTTTTTCCATCTGTTGAGCTAATTCAGCATTCGGCTTTCCTTTTTGTTTGTCTTATTGACGCTGTATTTTATTTAATGGAGCACATCTTGCAAACCTTCTTTATATTGGTTGCACTAACCAACAGTTGATTTAATTTTTCCGTTATCATAGATTTTACTTTGTATTAACAATAAATTTGAAAAAATAGATACTTGGTAAATGAGACGATATGATATATCACCAGACATTATATTGCAATATTATGCTGAATGGATTTTTTCTCCCACCCCTAGTAAATGGGTCAGAAACTTACTGGTTTCATGATAAAATATCTTTAATTTTTTACCCAAACAGTGTTAAGATTTTGCATCATGATACGGCCTCCAATCTTTGGTAGCTAATTTAAGTATTTAAACAGCATTAGAAAATCTGTTAAAGAGGGCATATCGT